AAGGCGACTCTTATACTGAAAAGGTAACAAAAGCAGTGCAAACAAAAGAAAAGAGAAGAAAAAAATGAAAAATGGTAAGCTCGCACTCATTCAGTGCCATCGTTGGAGTCGTCTTCCTAGAGCCCTATCGATAATTAATATTTCAAATCAATAGAGAATTGATCAAAGACAATCACAATACAAACATCCATTAAAAATTAGCAATGAAGGACTCAAGACTTTCCTATGCTATCCTGGGAAATGAATCGGTTGTCCAAAATGTGCGAATATTGCTTACACTCCAAAAACTGTTGCGGAGCTACAGACTGACTTCTCCATCTTGAAAACTGCTGCAAAGGACAAAAATCTAACATACAGAAAGTTACTCTGTGAACTGACCAATACAATCAACTGTGAGTCTGACTGGTTTCTTGTTCTTGAAGAATGTCTTGGAGATATTAACCCAAAGACTGATTCCCAACAAACCACTACAAGAGAAGAATTTCAACTGCTAGTAAATATGCAAAATTGGTCTGAAACAATTATAAAACTAAATGGACTTGCGAGCAACTAATGGAGTGATCTGCTAGAACTCAACAACAGCTTAAACTCCTTTGTCTTTGCTCTCTTCTCGAAAATGCAAATCTCAAGTTTCCATATAATACCACAAGTTGAAGCAACAATAAGTGTTGCATAAAGTGTGTAGACTTCAAAAAGATAGAAAAAATGGTACACAAAAAAACACTAAAGTCTACCAGGAACTCAGTGCTCAAGAGAACTCGATGGACGGTTATGAAAGAATGAATTCCAGAACTTTACAAAGAAACGTAGATAATAAAAGTACACTTGTCCAACTAAAACAATGAATTAGTTGGAAATTAAAGACGGAATAGTTTCAGTACTAAACTTGAGCCAAGTTCAAAGCGTTGACAACACTGGCTCTTCTTTATGTACAAAAACAGGTCACTTGGTCCAGAATGGAATCCAACTACTCTTTCTCTCAAAATGCAGTTTTTTAGACTCGAGTCAAAACGAATCCTAACAAACACTAAAAGTAACTTTATTAAGTCCACAAACCCCATTATTTAAGAAGACCCTCTTGAATAGGTAAACAAGCGGTACTCTCGGCAACTTTTTCATATGGTTCACAGCGACCTCCAATATATTTGGACAAAAATATTTCTGCTCTTCCTAAAAAGTCTAATCGATTAGGTGGTCTAGCAAAACCTACACAAAACGAAATGAAATTGAAAACTATTGAACAAAATGCCAATATCTAAACTACCGTGTCCTTCATCGGGATACAGCACATATTCAACAGGTATATTCCTTTCCAACATTGCCTTTACTATTTGATCACTTTCGCGCTGCTTCACTCTAGGATCGTTTGCTCCTTGTCCTATTAAAAGTGGTGCCTTGATGTTCTCCACATGAAACAAAGGAGATATTTTTCGATTGAATTCCTCATCTGTATCTACAGGCCCTATTCTCAATAACAATTCCTTCTTCATAGGCTTCCAGTAATCAGGAACACTGTCTATCAAGGTTTTCAAGTTGGAGGGTCCAACGATATCAACTCCACAACAATATAGTTCTGGAGTAAACACAAGACCTGCCAATGTAGCATATCCACCATAAGAACCCTATTTCAAGAATACAATTATCCAATAGAATATGAGCAACCTGACTTACACCATAAATAGCCACTTGATTCCAAACTGTAATGTTATTTTCTATAGCCCATTTGACAGCATCCGTTAAATCATTTTGCATATTGCCAATGCCCCATTGTTTATCTCCTGCATTCAAATAACTTTTACCCTAACCAAATAAAACCAGTCTTTAATAATATAAATAAAATATACTTACGAAACCTGCAGAACCACGATAGTTGACTTGAAGACAAGCATATCCTCTATTGCTAAACCATTGTGACATGGGATTGAAACCCCAATAGTCTCTTGCCCAAGGACCACCATGTACAAAGAGAACAAGAGGAAATGGTGCAGTTCCATAGACAGGTCTTGTTAAATAACACTGCAACTGCATTCCATCTCTTGCACTTACAATAATGGACTCCATCTTACTCAATATATATTCATCAAGTTCGGGACGTTCATGGAATAAAGGTGTTATCGTTCTTGATCTTCTATCAAACATAATATATTGAACAGAACGACTGTCACGAATTACTGATAAAACCCATATAGAGTCTGCATGGTCACGACTTGTAAAGTCCAAATCAACGTCACCAAACTTTTGTTCTATAAAAAGAAAGTCTTCTTTCATGGATTCATCAAAAAAATTCCATTCCTTTCGGGCAAATGTAAAAGAAACGGCCTATGTAAAGGTTCATAAAAGAAGGCTCTTATTATAAAATATCAACAAGGCTTAGGCTTACTTGAAGTCGTTTATCATCAGGATGCAATAGAACACGACCAACGTTGGCTTGATGAGAAAAAGCCAACGTTTGAACAATGGCCCCGTTGGAACGCTTAGCTAAAACTAGTTGTGTCTTGTCTGCTTCTAAAGAGCTTCGAAGATATACATGCTCATGGTCTGCACTAAAATCCACAATGTCTCCTTCCTCACCATATGGAAAGTATTTCAGCTCTCTCCAAGGTACCTCAGGACTATCACGAATACGAAGAATGGTACTTCCATCTTCTGGATGGGTAGCAGTAGCTCCCAATATTGTCATGGTACTTTCATCCAACGTCCATGATACAACATCTCCAGGATTTTCAGTATCAAAACATATCTCTCGTGAATCTAGAAAAATACGATGAACATCAAAACAAGACGAGTCTCGTTGATTCATTCCAATGAGAAGCTCATTAGGTCTCTTGGGGGAAGACATCAGTCCCTCCACCTTGACATTTTCAAAAGGAGTTAGGTCTATACTTGGAGAGCCTTCCTCAGTAATATCAACTGCCCATACTAACTTACAAAATAAGTAAAGAACGATGAAAGAGAAATATATACATACAGTGAAAGTTTTCATCGCCATCCTTATCCTGTAAATACAAAATACTCCTTGAATCTTCTGACCATTGAAAAAATCGAATACCACGCTGAGTATCTCTAGTCATTATACGCTTCAACTCACTCCCACGAGGATAAACCCAAACGTTCAGCACGTTTTGATCACTTGGAGCTAGATAGGCTAGAAAACTTCCATCTAAAACAAAGCCTCAGTTGTATTTCTCAAGTCAACTTTCTACAAGTTTACCTGGAGATACTTTTACTGCTGTTTGTTTGGGGTTATCAAACAAGATCTTTCGAGGAATCAAAGGGACACTTGCGACGTTGGTTTGATGAACTGTCATGATCTTTCTTATTGAATAAGAAGGAGTCACTTGAAACCGTCCTTCACAGAGTACAAAATGTCTTGCAACCTTTCTAAAGCCAGACACGATTTTCTGAGCATCAAACTTCGGTATCCACACCTTGGAGAGATGATGAATTCATGGCCACGTAGAATCCTTTCTCTTTCAGTCAATAACAAATCATATGCTTCAAGAAATTTTTTTCTATTGTTGGGTAAATAAGAGACGACGTAAAGAGCTCAACTTGGCATCAACATTCTTCAGTCTGCGATACGGCCATTGTTTGATTCCATTCTTGCGACAAAAATTTTTAAGAAGCGTTACACATATACCCAGCTCTTGTGCAACTTCATCTATATGAGTTGAAAAGAAATCAATCGAATCTTTCTAAAAATGGTATAGAAGATAGTTCTTTTGCTTTTGCCAATAATTCGCTTACTCACTCAATTGTGCCAATTTTTCACGTACATCTTTGTATGCCTCGTTTGACTAGTGGCTGAGCCGTCATCATTGGTCTTGGCATCTTCCGAGCTGTCGTGAGTGTAATGACGAATATCATAGTAGCAGGATCTATAAGAAATAAAATTGTTTGCTTCAAGTTCCGTTGATGAGCCTATGAAGAGTGAAAGAAAGAGTTGAATACTCCAAAGGAGGACTATTTTGTTTCTCAAAAGGACCATTTCAAGATAAAAGGAGCCTGTATCATTCGCAAATACAACACAGCGTGCAATGAAATAAGGTTTTTGGATAGTTATTGTTGATCATTGTAGAATCCTTGTCCATTTGTGAGATCTTTGAACTATCCAAGCTTTGATTTAGCATATAAATTAGGTTCGTTGGCCGTTTTAGCATGGAAGCCACGAAATAATTCCAGCTACAAGAGACTTTATGAGAAATTAAGCCAATGAAATATGAAGCAACCAACTTAAGGTCTCTCTAAAAAGAAATCTAAACGAAACTTCAAGTAGCTACTTTAAAATTTTTTTGGTGGTTGGAAAAATTAATGAGTTGAAAATGCTCTCTCAAAACCACTGCTGCAGTCCAACTATAATGGATCAAAAGGAGGGTCTGCTTCATTCTCCTGGTGTTGATCGGAGACAAGCTTATCTCACAGCAGAAGCTAGATCTTTCTACTGCCTTTCGAATTCAATAGCTTTCGATTTCCGTTCTTGCTCAGTGTTTTGATTTTCTTTGGAATTCATTTCTAGAAGTTCTGAACTTTTCTAATATTGCAAGAGGCAACTTTATGGTTACATTCGTTCAGAAACACAAGTTCATAACGCTGGGTTTCTTTCATAACAGACTCTTTCAATTTGATGATGGTACTCCTCGAAACGTAATACTTTATGGAGTGTATTGGCGATAGAACCAATTGCCATTTATCTTCATGGACATTAAGCACATCAAAATAAAAGATGCTTCAAAGCAATTGTTTTGAAAAGTAAAAAATTTTAGGATTCGAAATTTCCACTTCATTACTTTATTATACAATGATTGGAAAGGGTCCAATAGATGCAGCGGGATTGATTGTACCAATTCTTTATGATTATATGTCAATAGACAATTCATAAATGAAAAACAACACAGTTAGATTTTGGAGAAAATCGTAAAGAGCACTGCTCCTCTTTGCTATTATAAACCCAAAATATTCATGTCAGGCATGTCCTAATATCCATTCTTCCCGAAAAAAAATGAACCGTCCCTTAACCATACCATCATTCAAATGTTTGAGGCAAAAAAGAATGTTTCAAATGCAAGTCCTATACAGCACTTTTACAACAAGATACGAAAGAGATCATTTTGAAAGAATATAAAAATAATGTACGCTCGAAACTAGAAATAACCGACAGGATTTTGTCAGAAATTGAAAACAGACAACGCTGCTCTTCTTTGGACAATTGATTCCAGAGTTGGGCATTAATGGCACTGCTTCGCTACTGGAAACAAACTCTAAGTCAATAAATTATATGAGTCACAGACTAGGGAAAGTACTCATAACTTGCCTGCTTTTAACTGAAATTTCCAAAACCTCTCTTGTTCAAAACACAATATATTAGAACAAAGACGTTGGCAAAAACTAGTTTCCGAGAAATTAGTAGCTGTGTCACCTTACAAAGATTGTACCTTTATATGACAGTGTTGAACAGTGAAATCTCACAGAAGTGGCACTGAAACTTGGAGGAAACTTTCAGATGGCACAGAATAAATAAAGTGCACAAAAATAACAATGAAATATCAACAGACTATGAAATTGAGGAAATGGTCAAATAGACTGCGAACCAATCGTGTAATGAAGACACTCTTCAACAAGAGTGAAAATTCGACACAGTGTGACGGGGAGAGTTTGGAGACGCTACTCAAAAGAATTATACAAGCATCCTTATGAGCTAATACTCCAAGCATTGATTGAGAACTTTTCGACCCTAGCGTAAACTTTTCTGTAACTTTCCTATATTACGTATGGAATCCGCTACCTCCAGAAAAACTAGTCAAAGAGTAAAGTTCCTTGCCAAGTACAAGTGTGACCAGCCCAGTATCAAATATATTTATTTCTCAATATTGAAAGCTATCATCTTTCCAATATGGACTACAAGGAAATTCTATCCAGCTTTAGCATTTTCTGGGCAACGGAATTTCTTTCAGTCCTCTCATTCTCAATATTTCAATTTTTGAATTCTTTCAGCGGGTTTGCTCGGGAACCTAAAAGCATGTTCCTTGCTTAAGCAGCAATGGATAGATACTGTCACAGTCAAGACTCATTTGAAAGCAATTTCCCTCCTCTAGAATTTCTTCTAGAAGAGCAACAGAAACACGAGTTTCGTTCGGAACAGTACCCCAACCACCACAATGTTGCAACAAGACTAGCAGAAGACTTTATTCTAGAAACACCACCTTCTAAAAAGATGATACAAAAGCATTTTCTTGAAATATCTTCTCCTGTCACCTTGTCGAAAATTCAATTTCGGTCAACTGAACTCTCAAAATACAATGAAGACACATACCTGACACCAAATCCTCGCTGTGCTGTCTTCTCGACAAATAAAAGCTTTCAGAAGAGTAAGTGACCTTTTGAATATCATTTTAGGCTGATAAAACTTGTTCAAACTTCAACTAGAAAGTACCGAAGAGCATAGAAACGTAGTTGAGCCTGAGAAAATTCGAGGTTGTGCATTAGTATTTCATTCTTTGAGCGTCACTAATATTCTATAGATAGTCAATCATTGCTTTGCAATGAATCAAAATTCGAGAATATTATAGACGTTGATGACGCATGTTCCGCTGAAACGACTCAGGACAATGATTTCAGCTATAAGAATGCTCCTGTTGTAGAAGGCAACTTTGGACATCTCAATGAGCGACAACAAAGCAAATTTAACTTTTCTTGCGAACACGAAAGCTCCAAAGTTTTTGATGTCCTGCAATTTGTTGGACTACCGAGAGAATCTAACGAAGATACAATAAAGAGAGTAGGCCACGAAAAGTTATGGGAGTTCGCCTTGAATGCTCTTTTACAAGGAAAACAAGTAATAGGAGACGAGATTATTTATGGTCGAGAAGACTGGCGCAAAGAAAAGTTAACGAAACCACAACTAGTCGAGCTATTTGGGTGAGTATCAACAGAATTTTCCAACAGTGTAACTGAAATATTTAAAAAGTTGCGGAAACAGAGACCTCGCCTCTTTCTCTCATAATACAAGGGCACATTTCCTGGGTGGTAATGGTCTTTCCACAAAAACAACAAGTAACAAACCGAAATGGAACAAAGTCAAAACGAGACAATATCCAAAAAACAAGTGTGTACAATTTCAAAGAAAGAAATTCCAAAGAAAGAAAGCAAGAAACTAATCACTACTCTTTCAAGCGGAAAATCACACTCAGCAAAAGCTCAAAACTGTAATGACTTTATCGTTAACAGTCCGGCTAGAAAAAAATCGTGATAGCGTAAAACGATACGGTCGTTGTAAAAAGTGAACATCTATTCGTCAATAAAACTGATTTCTAGGAAAAACTTTTATTGGAGAACAGCTCAAGTCCATATTCAATAAACAAAAGCCAAACGATATTAGAATTACATCTCAACAAGTCTTTCAATCGACTTAACCGCCGATCGTGCCCTAAATCAGTTTCCTTCTTGGAATTTCCAAAGGCTGCTGTAGCTCGGTGCAGTCCCGAAACTATAATGGAAAATGAGACTCTGAAAAATGAGAAGTTGGCAAAGCTACAAAGAATGGCTGTGAATGTTCGAACTGGTGGGAAAGGCACTGTTAGGAGAAAGAAGAAGGCAGTTCACAAAGGAACACCGACTGATGATAAGCGACTTCAAAGCACCTTGAAGCGTCTGGGCCTGAATCAAATACCTGGAATTGAGGAGGTAAATATCTTCAAAGATAACGGACAAGTGATCAATTTTACGACTCCTAAAGGTGTGCAAAGTTTACTTTTATTTGAACTCTTTATTAATGTTCTTCTAGTTCAAGCAGCCATCGGAGCGAACACTTACGTGGTATCCGGCCAAGGAGAAACCAAGTCACTTCAGGAATTACTTCCTAACGTCCTCAATCAGTTGGGTTCGGATAATCTAGCGCAAATGCGTTCCCTTATGGAGAGTCTCAGTACGACGGATGATAAGGGTGACGCTACAGAAAACGGGGAAAAGTCAAAAGAAGACGACGACGATATTCCAGAGCTTGTGGAAACCAAAACTTTTGACCAGGTGGAAGAAGAAAGTAATGTGAAGGAGGCGGATATTCCTGTTAGCTGAAAGTTCCTTCGACTTTGTCTTCAAATTGTATCGCGGTTTGAAGTTGTCTTTAAGATAGAATTATATGGTTCAATAAATCCAGAATTATTTTGACTCTTTATATCCAACAGAGTCGCCACAACAGTAATAATCTCGGCACAGGATATCAGAACAAACCTGTCATATATATATATATATATATATATATTCAAGACTATGATTTACGGGAGTTTCAGATAGTTCGCAAACATTTTCAAGTGTTCCAAGCCATACAATTCCTCAGGTAAAAGAGGGGCTTTTATCACAAATGAGTCACTGGAATAGAGTTCGTCCACTTGATCCAAATATTTTTGTTGCATTTTGGCACGAAGCAATAACATTTCTTTCTTATGCTCCTCATTTGGATCAAACAACTGATTGACAACGATATTTCTACAGTCCATATCATAAGAAGCAAGTTGTTGAACAAGCCGCTCCGTTTCGTATATAGAAAGAGCTTCTGCTATTGTAACACAAATAAAAGTCGTACAACTTGGGTCTCGAAATTGTTCTTGAACTGTTTCTATTGTAGCTTTGAGTTCCCGAAGTTTCTGTTTCATTAAATTCTCAATATCTCTCGGGGAAAAACTCTGGTTGCCAGTTGCATTGGAATTTTGCATCATTGCTGCTGCACTTTGCAACAAAGGTAAATATTGTTCTTGAAACGAAGACAACCAAGAAACTCCGTTCTCTAATACTGAAGGGAAACTCAGAAGTCGCAAGGTATGTCCAGTCGGTGCAGTATCAAAGACCACAACTTTGTAGTCCTGGTTTCGAATAAAACGAACGATATGACCAAAACTGATTGCTTCATCAATACCAGGTATAGAAGATATCATATCTGAAAATATATCCCGAATTCGACTACGAATGTTTCCAAAGTCCCCGAAACCTGGTATATCAAAAGGAAGACCACCGTCTTGATCTTGAGTAAATAGCTCTTCGACATTGGGAGAAACTTCCATTACATCAAGTCGAGTATTCCCTTCTACTGCTGTAGGTGATGAAGAAAAAGACTGATTGAATGCATCAGATAGATTATGAGCAGGATCTGTAGAAACCAATAGCACGCGACCTTCAGTCCTTTCAGATAAAAGAGTTGCCAAAGCAGAAGAGACACTAGTCTTCCCAACTCCTCCTTTTCCACCAATAAAAATCCATCGTAGAGAGTCTTCGTCTAATACATTCTGCAACGTAGGAGGATATTCTTCAATGTCCAATGAGTGGCTCTCCTTTTTCAAAAACTCTTTATAAAATGGATTATTTGTTCCGAGCAATAATTTCGCAAAAGTACTGATAGTCGCTAAACCTCTGACCTCATAAGGAAGCAATGGCAACTTTGTTACGTGAAAATCCGCAGAATATAAATCCCTTACTTTTTCTATGTACTTATTTTGTACCTTAACTCTGGAGTGAAAGAGATCTTCTGGGTTCATTCCAAGTTGAATTGATTCATTGATTACATGGTTAACAATAATATATTTGCAATCAATTTGGAATTTCTTCAAGTCTTGTAAAAGACGCTCTGTTTCATAAATAGGGAGGAACTCCGGAATACAAACAGCAACAAAAGTAGTCTTTCTAGGGTCCTGGAATTGATGGATAACCTTCTGTGTCAAATCTCGAAAGCGCTCCAGCTTATTGGCAAGTTGTCCAAAAAAATCTTGCTGCAAACCAAACAAGCTTCCCATACTTTGGAAAATACCACCAAACTGAGAGCTCCAATTCCATATCTGCGTAAGGCCTCTATCCAAGAGATTTGGGAAGTTCAGGAGACGCAAGGTATGTCCTGTTGGTGCAGTATCAAAGATTACGATATCAAATCGCATATTTTCTACGTACTCGATCATAGTGGCAAAAGCTAAAGCTTCATCAATTCCAGGCACCGAAGACGTAAGTTGCTCTAGCAAAGAATCAATATTCTCACTGTTTCCTTGTTCACTCTGTGGATATTCCTCTGAACGACCAAAGAGCGTTCCGCCAAATACGCTTCTACTAGATTCTCTCAGTAAGCCGACGAGTTCCTTGATACTCGAGTTGTGTAGGGAGCTATCATCAACTTCCATTGCGTATAAAGAGGACATCCCATTGACCAAAGAGGGTTCGCCACTGAATTGTTGAGCAAACGTATCACTCAAGTTGTGTGCAGGGTCAGTTGAAATTAGCAAAACTGAACGGTTTTCTCTCTCCAGCTCCACAGCTAAAGCAGCACTTGTTGAAGTTTTCCCAACACCACCCTTACCACCAACAAATATCCAAGATACTCCGCTTTCCAAAAGAGCTTCTGCCAACTGCGGTTTCATTTCATATACAAATCACGTTTCGAAGCACTACAAATTCTTCAAAATTGATAACCAATGTGCGAACAGCTGTTTTTCTGGTTAGAAGACAGCAAAAATTTTTTATGAAACTCAAAGCAACGAATATCAAGAAATTTGTTTAAAAAGATAGAGAATGCAATGGATATAAATACAACCAGGAGATAGAATTTGACAAGCTCAACTTCAGCGCTTCATACAATGCAGCAGAAGCCAGTTGGTTGTAAATCTCGATACACCCAATCTTCACAATTAACTTTCTCTTCTTCTTATAAGGTAAGAGAGAAAGGCTGCAGCTTTGCCAATAGACTGCCTAGAAGCAATGTTTTACCAATGATATATTTGTTCTTCTCTTTGAAAAAGACAGTAGTGCTTTCAAGACAATGTGAAGCTTTCAGTGTCAGATTTCAATAATTGAATGTCTTATTCACAATGATACATTCAAAGACACAGCCTTGAAAACTTCCCATAGAGTTAAAGTAATACGACATTCTCAAGGAATCAACAAGTAGATAAGCACGCAGTGACAATAGTGAGCTATCTTCTTCTAGGAAAGATGAGTTAGTTTTAGTATTTTCTTCAAACTATCACTGGAAGCTAAATTCGAATACGAATCATTCGACCGAAGGACCATTTACATTTTATGCTTCGAAAATTCCTCTTGGCTAACGTTGCACTATGACTACAGACCAAGAGGAAGACGGAACTTGGATATTTGGCTGTAAGTGACAAACAGAAAACTTTTTACTTGGTTCTCAAACGTATCAGAATAGACGGTTCTCTCATATGGAAAGCTGAATTCCCTTACGTCAAGTCTATACGAGGTTGCGTGAAAGGCTGGTGTCGAAGATTTTGGCAAGGTTCCATAGACCATCGAGGAACACAAGATGCTCCCGGAAGAGTTGTCACTCTTGTGCCAGCAGAAACTGTACGTTCCATGGGGCAAGCCTATACTGATGAAAGTTTTGTGACATGGGGTGTCGGTTACCTAATCAAGAAAGCAGAAGTTGAGAAAGTTTTGCAGTACTTGGACTATAGGGAAAAGAATGGTTATTCGAAAGTATTGGTGGACATATATGAAAAGGAAGACGCTGAACTTCCAGTTGTGAGAGATGCACTTATATATATTGCCTCGGAAACCAACAGACAATGGCTCGGTCCGAGTGACGAGAAAGTGATGATTGAGCACATTTTCAAAAGTAGAGGTCCGTCAGGAAGCAACAGAGAATATTTCGAGAAATTAGTCGACTCTATGCGCTCATTTGGTATTTATGATGCGCATTTGGAATCCCTCACAAGTGTAGCACAACAACAAATCGAAACCGCCTTTCAATAAAATTGGGTTTTTGGCGCTTCCATGTCTGCTGATTTCAAGTCCTTTGATCCTCTCATACCGATAAGAATTGACTTGACTCTTTCAGGAAGAAGATTTGTCGACACATTCTTATGGAATATAGAAGAAGGAGAGGAGTCGATGCGGGCATTTGCTCGGACTGTAGTGGTGGATACCTCGTTGCCCCATTCGGCCGAAGAACTCATTGTTTCAAGTATAAGGGAACAAGTTGCCGGTTACATTCCATATCGTTCTCCTGAAGAAGAAATAGGAGAAAGAAGGCACATCTTGAAGCTAGATATTCGTATAGGGAAAGTAGTATTGAGAGACCAATTCGAGTGGGATCGTAGTAATGCCGACAACTCACCCGAAGAGTTTGCTGAAACTCTGTGTAAAGACTTGGGTCTCACTAGAGAATTCGTTCCAGCAGTTGCGCATGCCATACGAGAGCAACTACAAGAACTAGCCGAACACCCATATACTCGCTGTTTGCAGGGTTCCGTTCCTGCCTCCGGTATATATAGAAAACCCGAAACGCTTTCACAGTGGCAGCCAGTCGTGGAAATTTTGACAGATGATCAACTTGAGAAGCTCGAGAGGAGAGAGACGAGAGACGCGCGCGTGGCAAGGCGTAACAAAGGACGAGAGTCCATTCGTTCAGGTACTGGTACGACAGTAAGCTATCCCGAACCGAATGTAAGAAAAAGACCATTAAGATCGTTTGGAAATGGTTATGATTTTTTCAACTCGTCCAAGGCGAAGATTGCAGATTCTGAAGCAGAACAGCAACCTTTGTATAAACGAGCCTCCAAAGTCCCAAAGCCTCAAACCTCACCGACACCTTTAGATGTGATGTACTCCAATCCCATTGGAATTGCAAACAACAGAAGGATGGAAATTCAACAACGTATGAGTAATTTCAGCTATTCAATAGGAAGAGGTTCATTTAGTAGTCATCAACCACTCATGAGGGCTCCGTCCTTTGATGAGGACATTCGATGTCAGAACTGTGGAATACCACGTCGTGATACTCCTTTGATGAGAGCAGGACCGGCTGGTAAGCAGACTTTGTGCAATCGATGTGGACTCTACTATAGCAAATATAATGTTCTTCCTGATCCAAAGGAAACTGAAACTGGATAATTTATACAGGTGTTTTAGTAACATTTAATACGCCGTAGCCAATTTTCTATTTTTGATTCTATGGGAACTGAAATACGTTTTAAACTTTCTATAGACAAACTTACAAGCTACTGGCATTGTTTGCGTCCTGTAAAAGACTTTCTTGTTCAATAACAGCTTTTGCCCTTCTATATACAGGTTCGTCCACCATTGTCCCATCAACTGAAGTCGATCCTCTACCTGCCTTTCTAGCAGCTTCAAATGCTTCAACGATCTTTTTGGCAAGCTCAACTTCCTTCATAGAGGGTGAAAATTGTTGATTAATAGTATCAATGTTTGCAGGATGAATCGAAAACTTTCCTTTATAACCCATAGCTTTAGCAATACGGCAATCCTCCTCCAGTCCGTTCAAATCCTTAAAATGGGGCCAAGGCGAGTCTAACGCAAGAAGTTTTGAAGCTCTAGCCGCGATGGAAATCCAATTGCGTGCGTGATAAAACTCTTTTCCAGAGGCTGTCCTTTCGATTTGCATATCCGCGGTGAAGTCCTCCGCTCCAAAAGCTATCGCGACTAATCTTGATCCACAGGCACAAATCTCGCGGGCATAGGCAATACCCTTTGCCGTCTCCAACCACGGAATTACTTTTACGGAGTTAGGAGGCAAACTAGCTTCTTTTTCTTTTTCTGCTACTGCTTTTACGATTTCTTTCATTTCTTCAGCCGTTTCCACCTTTCCGATGGTCACGGCTGAGACTCCTGGTTGCAGGACCGCTTTTAAGTCTTCTTCAAACCACTGAGTATAAAACGAGTTCACCCGAGGAATAATCTGAATCCTTTTGTGTATCTGCGCCCTCATAGAAGGTAGCACTTTGGAAACAAGGTTACGAGCGGTAACCTTTTCTTCCTTCGGGACCGAGTCCTCCAAATCAGGAACCAAAGCATCAGCGTGAGCTTGAAGTGCTTTTTGCAACATTTTCTCGCTATTGCCAGGAACAAATAACAGGGATCGCAGTAGCGACGATTGCATTGTAGTTAAAGAATTGACAATGAGAACAATGAATCCTAAAAATTTCTTCAATGCCACAATTACCTACCTTATTCAAAGAGACTTTTCATTGCATTTGCTAGACAAGACCAATGCAATTGTATCCATAAAACTGTGAGATTTAATAGACTCCCCAGTCAAGTCATCACAAAAAGATATCTGGAGTAACGTGAGCAACAGAAATGGTTTCTGTTGTTGAATCACTATGAGAATATCGTTCTTTTCTTGTATGCATCGCTTGTTTGGCTTAAGGCTGCTTCATCAACTTGTCAATCAAAACAGGAGGAGGGTTGTTGTTACGGGGATAGGCCTTGTTACTCCTTTAAGTGTTGGTACTAATTCCACTTGGAATCGACTCATCGCTGGTGAATGTGCTGTAGACAGAATTACTGCCTTTGATGCCTCCAGGTTTCCGATACAGATTGCAGCTGAAGTTCCTAGAAGCAGTTGGGGAGACTTAGGGCCGTGTAGAAAGATAAATTGTAAAAAGTTGCAGGACGAGGAGTTTTTTGATGCTACTAGAATATTAGGATTTTCGGAAGATGACAAGAAAAAGACACCAGAGTTTATTCAGTTCGCCTTGGCTGCTAGCAAAGAAGCTTTAGAAGATGCAAACTGGTTTCCAGTGGATGCAACCAGTTTAGAGCGAACTGGTGTGGCAGTAGGAGCGGGAATTACTTCTATTCCGGATATTATTGAAGCAAATAGACTTATTGAATCTTCTGAAAGAGGTTATAGACGTGTAAGCCCGTTTTTTGTACCTCGTATTTTAACAAATATGGCGGCTGGTTATATTTCTATGAAATATGGATTTCAAGGACCCAATCATTCTGTTTCTACAGCTTGTGCTACAGGTTCTCACTCTATTGGCGATGCATTTCGTATGGTTCGTGATGGAGATGCAGATGTTATGATAGCTGGAGGTTCAGAAGCTTGTATTCACGAGGTTTCTCTTGTAGGTTTCTCAAGAGCCAAAGCACTGGCTTCATCTTATAATGACTCACCCCAAAGAGCGTCTCGTCCGTTTGATAAAGATAGGGAAGGATTCGTTATTGGTGAAGGGGCAGGAATTTTAGTCTTAGAGGAATTAAATCATGCTGTCGCTAGGAAGGCAAAAATTTATGCGCAGGTTGAAGGCTATGGACTTTCTGGTGATGCCCATCATATAACTGCACCACGTTCTGATGGTCATGGTGCTTGGCTTGCTATGAAGAGAGCCCTGGACATGAGTGGATTGTCGCCTCTTGATATTGATTATGTAAATGCACATGCGACTTCAACTCCATTAGGAGATGAAATAGAAAATACCGCCATTCGACGACTTTTATCTTTGCACTGTGGAAAGGAAAGAAATGGGCCTTCACGGAATGGTCGACATCCTCCCGATGTTCTAGCAGTTTCTTCAACAAAAGGCGCGATAGGTCATCTTCTTGGTAGTGCTGGAGCAGTGGAAGCTGCTTTTACAGTTCTCTCCATCTTTTATCAAACCATTCCACCCACACTTAATCTTGATTGTCTACCAAGTGAAGAATTTGATCTCGATTATGTTCCTGAAAAGGCCAAAGAATGTCGAATTCGGGCAGCTTTAAACAATTCTTTCGGTTTTGGAGGTACTAATGCTTCTTTATTATTCACAGAGCCGAATATATGATTCGTTAGCTCGTGGCTGTAGACCATAATGCTTGAAAAGTTTCAAGAAGTTTATTTTCGTTGTGCCCGAAATTTGTATCGGAGTTGCAAGTAAAATGGAGCAAGTCAATGCAGCCGATAGTATATGTTCAGAAGATTGTTGCAATTAGAAAACCGATTGTGTTTACAATGAAGTTCGCAAAAGTTTGTGTTAGGAATATCCGTTTTTTTACTTTTCAGCTTTTATTTCCCTTTAGTATTCGTAACTTTTGTTCACTTGGTCACAAGCCGAAAATAAGATTTCGTTATGCAGAAGAAAAAGCCAAGATTGCAGGAGAGCAACCGGCCGTTAGTAAGTGAAGTTGTGTTCTCTATGATGTGTGATTTAAAGGTATGGATAGAGATGAACGAGAAAATGGTTTCTTTGTTGAGTCGTGAGAGCGTGAAGCCTACCCAACCGCGTATAGATAGGAAAACAAGCCGGCTTGAAAAGGCCCCAAAGCGAATGTCTGTGAGTAAAGAAGAAATGGAAGTTGTACAGGTATGCTTTCAATATATTTGGACAAGAATTTGTCTATATAGTGTTTCTAGTTGGGTGGAGCGAGGCCCTGATTTGAAGAGGTTTTCAGTGTCTTCACAATCGATTTTAAGTTTTAAATAGCTATTACAACCAGCTTGACATATTTTTGTATCAAGAGTCTACAGTTCCACACCTTTCCTGGTCTTTCATTCTTCTTATGGCAGCTAAAACAGCCATTTGTTGTGGAGTTGAAGAAGATTGGGGACTTGAACCGCCAAGTTTCTGGGCACCGCATAATAAACCTGCTCGGATTCGCCTAGTTTCCGCAGCTTGTGCTAACAGGTTTCTTTTTTCCTGTTTCGTAGAAGGTTTTGATATTTTGCCTCCTATCCTTTGGCCCTTATCTGAGTTAAAATTGCCTTTTCCAAAACCTACAAAGCAAGCTTCATATTCCGTTGTTAATTGATCTAAAAGTAAATAAAAAGACTTGTCGTGTTTTTTATGAACTTTTACGAAAGTATGTAAGAAACAAAAAAAAGGTGCAAGAACCTGTACCAACCAAAGTGGGCCAACTCGTGAAGAATCGTTCCGACAACACTTTCGAAAGGCAAAAGAGTTTTGACATTTTCCGGTTCGCGCAATCTTACTTTGATCTCTTCGCCTTCATTTATATGCAAACCAAATAAATTTCTGTTCCTTGGATAGAATTCTGAAAGCAAGAGAACTGTCCAGTTCCTCTTCTTCATAATAGGTTGCATACTTCTGGCAACATTTTCAAGCAATTTCTTAGCTTCAGTATCTTCAAAGTAGCCTAAAGTCTCTATTCTGCAGAAGCAACAAACAGCTGGTGTTGTTTTGGATGATCGAACTAAAGACATGGAAGTGTTGCAGTTTCAAAAATCAAAAGTGTGTTAAACGATGTTACCCTTGTTTCATTTCGATTTTAGTACGATATGCTGAATGACCAATGCACCATACCATCATTAGATATGAAATCTATTAACAAATACAATCCATCTCACAAAGTCAAGAAATCGACTGACTATCAACGACACTTTTGAATTACGTATGACAAGCAAACCGAGACTCATGGAGGGGAATATGGATCATGCAATTGTTTTTGCCTCCCTCCTAAGAGTGGAGAGTTTTTTATCTGATGTGGCCTGATTAAGATATTTCTATATCACGAAGGAAAACTGAGTTGTTGCCCTATCTCGGACCTTTTGAACAGAACGTCCAGTATGTCTCTTTGCCTTTTAGACTGGGATGGAACACAAAGAAATTTCAAGTATTCAACCGACTTTGTGGAACTCAGAGTTTGTAACTTATGACTTGAAGAGGATCAATTAGCTTTGAAGCCTGACCGGAAGGAGTGGCCTTTGTCTATAAACTTTATATCTAATAGATTCAAAAAGCATTGACGGGAATCCTGTTATGCAAATATTTGTTGTCCTTTTTTTCAATAGGAAACTATTTGATGAACTGGGAAATATTAAAATATCTGAAAACATTTATAAACTATCTGTAAGGAAATTTTCGATAATGCGAACTTTTATACTTTAGTTGAATCATTTTGGTAGACAACGCATATTTCGTATCATTTCAGTTTTAGAAAGCATTTTAAAATCTCAATGTCTCATTTATGTAGCAACTCAGTTGAGTCACACAAATTTAAAAAAACAGAGGACTGAACTTTTCTTTCATAAGCTTTAGACCTGCCGACCATCAATTAAAAAAAGGTTTCGTGGCGTGGCCTGAAAGAGGACCGATGGTGCCACCGGAGGAAGACAGCCTTCCACAAAGAAGACGACGTTTAAGGAATGAAAACGGTCCTATACGGAACGAAAACCTTATACAAAGCAAATTGGATAGGGTGCAGGGTACTCAAGTGCCATATTCAGAACTAAAAGATTTGAGAAAACTTGCCAGCGAGAGCTTCTTTTTGACGTCTGTTAAGAATAGTTTTATACTGCTAACTAATCTATTTTTGGGTTCACCCCAGTTTACTGAAGAGCAGCTTGAAGCACTTCATAGATATAGAAACTTTGGGGAAGACCACTCGCTGTTGTATCGCTATGTCTTTTCTCACTTATACAACACGACAGTACATTTGCTTCCAAGATGGTTGGCTCCAAACCTTATCACTTTTATTGGGCTCCTTTTTGCTTTATTTTCTCACGGAGTTGTTTTATATTATTGTGCTGACTTTGACTGTGATGCCCCGAGGGTTGTATACCTTTTTGCTTCAGCCTCGCTTTTCATTTATATGCTATTGGACAACCTAGACGGTAGACAGGCTCGAAGAACAAATAGTTCGAGTCCTCTAGGACACTTATTTGATCATGGCTGTGATGCTCTGAATGTTACAGTGTCAGGTCTAACATTTGCTGCGGTAGTAAGGCTAGGTCGTTCGCTCTGGGCAGTTTTTATCATTTGGGTCTATGGAATGCTTCCTTTCTTTTTTGCTACTTTAGAGGAGTATTTTACGGGTGCTCTAGTTCTCCGCCAATTTAATGGTCCCAATGAAGGCTTAATTCTTATGCAGCTATTTTATTTGTTGACGGCTTTGAATGGAAGTGGTTTTTGGAAACGAAGAATTTTCATATTTTCCATCTCCTTTCCCATAGAATGGAACAAGTTTTTGATTCTTCTCGCTGTTCCGCTTTGTATTCCAACAGTGATAGGCAACTACCGTGAAATCTGGAGAGATGCGACTATCAAAGGCAAAAATGTCAATCAAGTCAAATTTCGTTCCATTTTACATAGCTTGCCATTCGTTTTATTTAGTATTTGTACATTTTCGTGGATCGCGTATTCTCCTATTCTTTACAGCCATTTGATTTTGTTTATGTGGACTTGTGGCTCAGTTTTTTTTGCTCTCGTGACTCGATTAATTGTTGCACACCTGACAGACTCAGAATATAAGAGCGTTTTCTTTATCGAGGCCCCGTTGATATTAGGTGCGATAAACAGTATATGGGGTTATCTATTTAAGAAACAAATGTTTTCGGACGTTGTTGTTTTGTTTGCAGCCTTTTTGTTCTGTTTGCTAATGAATGGAATACGCGTCTGTCAAATTGTCGGTGAAATTACTCATTCTTTAGGCATTTATTGTTTTTCGTTGAAGAAGCCTAGAGTTAAGGAACAATAAAGTCTTGTAGTAGTATAGTTCTTTAAATGGTTGACAAGTCTCTTCAAACAAGAGAAAAGGAATATTTTTCTGAATTTTGTTGGCTGGATTTGGCTCTAGGTTTCCAGAAATATAAAAGGAGAACAATAGGTTTTGGGAGTTTTGACAAAAGGGAACGTTGTTGGGACGACGAAATTCACTTGCGCGAGCTGAGTTTTACTCAAGGCGGTGTTGGTTGTGCAGTTTGGGATGCCTCCATTCTTCTTTGTCAGTGGTTATATTCTCAAGGGAGAAGCAAACTGCAAGATAAAAGAGTTCTGGAACTTGGCTCTGGAACTGGCGGTCCTGGAATCATAGGTGCACGCTTTGCCAGAGAAATCTATCTTACTGACTATACTAAAGAAATTGTTGAGAACCTTCGGTATAATCTTTGGCTAAACTGCGAAGATCTTGAAAGCAAAGGACGGCAGGATATGAAGCTCAAGTTATCCTCGAGTGCGAAAGTAGAACATTTAGACTGGAACTTCCCTGAACAAAGTAGAATTGCGGGCAACTTTGACGTGATAATAGGTATGACTGTGGTCTTCAGTTCTCAGAGAATCTCTTCATTATTTTTCGTATTATTATAAGGAAGTGAACTAACATATTGTGAATTTCACGTATTGCCTTTGTTAAAAACAGTCGAGTTCTTTATGAAACCAAACGGAGTCTTTTATGAGGTTTTGGGTGAAAGTCGTGCTGGAGTTGATTTCTTCGTTCAAGAATCTCTTGCGAGAGGTTTTCTGGTTGAAAAGTTTCCTTTATCTATAGACCCCGCTAAATACTGTAAAACGAACCAACGTATGGAGAACTATTCGCTTTATAGGCTTTCCAAAAATTGAAGTTCTCCAAGTGTTTCAAATTCATTTATGACACCAGGCAGTGGAGAAAGAGATGGAACTTCGGTGAAGGAAGTTTATTTGCGTGTTCTGGAGACAACTATTGAAGCAGCAAGACAAGAGTTTGAAAAAAGCGCTTTACACTACACTGCTTCAGCAGGTCTGAAGGAACTTCGCTCTCTTTGGGAAAGTAAGCTTACAGCGTCGGAGCATGAGCTGGACTTTCCTGTAGAGTTCTTCTGCAGCAACCCTGCCGCTGTCTTACGAAACCAGTCTTCTTTGCAAAGTTATACGACAAGTTTACCACAATATGGTGTGCCTCAGTATCCGTGGGGTTCGTCAACCTTTACTTCGGGAGCCTTGGGGTACGAAAGACGTGCACCAGTTTCAGGTGAGCTTCAGTCCTTATGGAATCTTCAGAGATACGCTGGGGAACCAAGCTTTACGTCAATACAAGACGAGAGTGGCCCCATAAGGTCACGTAAAGATTTGAGTGAGTTTGTACAACGAGGACGAGCAAAGGACACAGAATCTATCACCATGGTTTCAAATGAACCAACCTCTTCATTCACTACTGTGAGATCGTCAAAGAGAGGAGAAGATAAAAGAAGTTTTTCACCTCGACAAACAAATTCTTTGCGTAAGGGTTATATTGCGGATACAAGCTCTAATAAGCGGGCTCGTGTGGAAAAACAGGAAAGGTCACCCAAGGAAGAGGATATCAAAAAGGATCTCAAGTCAGAAGAAAGTTTAGATAGCGAGCTTTCCGGTAGTGACACGGAGCTGGTCGATTCGGTAGATAATGAGGAAGTAAGTATGTTGTTCTTATTCTAGTGTTTATTTACGCAGTTTGGGAAGGAACCAGATAACTATATTCTTGCACAGCATGAACGAATTCGAAAAGACAATAAGCGAGGCAAGTGGAAGATTCCGCTTCTTCACGGCGTTGCGCATATTTTGGGTCATGAATATCTATTTAAAAGCTGTAGCGGGGAACTTTTGTGGTGAGAATTTCAAAAGAATGGCTGTATTTTTGAATTATTCAGAGTGGTTGTCATTCGTGTAACCTTGTCTAGGTTTCTTTTCCTTGTCTTATTGTTTACCGTCACTCTCCCTATAAACTGCCAATATTACACTTTCCAGAGGTCTTACAGCCACAACATATTTTCCCAAGTCGACTTGAATGAAAGGCGGCTCCTTGTTCTCTGTTTTCATATCTTTTCTCAACATCAAGGACGCTTCTGCAATACTTGTAATCCAACCCGAAGACTGGGACGGAGCGACGCCTCTTGCTACAAGTTTTTTAGTGACAACTGTAAGCCAAAAAGAAACTCACAAGCAATGCATAACCCCTCCCAATCTGCGACAAGAAATCCTTTTACTTTTGGTTCGTTCGCCCTGTGTTCACGACACTTATCAGTATGAATAATAGGCTATTCAAGAAAATGCGATACATACAACTGTTCCAATACCCTTGCCATCGAATTTTCCATCGACACAAGAAAATTTATTTAGCAACTCAAATTGATTCCAACAGCTATCATATCCTATCGCTACTTCCCTTTTCGACATTTTTGTGTTATCTCTCTTAACGATTTGCTGTATCGAAGGACCGTATCAAATGGAGCTTTAACTATTTTTAGACTAAAATCTCTCTCAAGTCGTATCCAAAGGAATTATTTAGGAAAGGAAAATATTCCATTGGATTCAAATTATTCTTGTATGAAATGAGTCTTGCGGCGCTAGACACTTGGCTTACTCAAGTAGAGAAAGAAATTGATAAATATATGAACGTCTCTCTTCCCTTCTGGGATATCATCGTCATTTTTACAAAGAACAAGATACTGCTAGAAAGAGGTTCGGAAATACCTCAAAAGATTGACTGCAGGTTGGTGAAAACTTTTTGTGAAGTTTCCGTGTTTAACAGGTTGTAGAAAGTTATGGAATCTTTTTCAAGACAAAAAGGAAGCTATTTCCAGCGGAATTCTTCTAGATGATATTCAATATGACATACATCGGTTCGTTTCAACTTTAACAGTTTTGTTTCAGAGAAGACTCACCTCTTAAAGTTGGTATGGAGAGTCAGAGGTGGCTCTTATATACGGAAGGGAAGCTGAAAATTTGAAAGGGAAAGGATTCGCGCTGGCAAAAACAGAAGATGTTGCAGCGTTGATTCTGTATTCTGCGCCCGTTGTTTCTGCTTACGCAGTTCCAGCACTAAAGGCTTTGATGCAGAACATTGTCAAAAGTTGAGAAGAGTGTACATCCGTTTGGGAATTACTTACAAGTTTTCGTAACTTAACGAAACGATGTTGTTCGTAGATGCTTCCGAGGAGTTCTTGATTCTATCGCTGTGTTTCACGACTTGCTTGGACTTAAAATGTCGTAAACAACGAGCAAACAGCCAAGTATAATTTCTTTGATATGCTTTGTCATTTCCGAAAAGTTTGTGACGGAATGACTTCCGACAGAGAATGTAAGGTTTTACAATGAAGGTAATTTTTCATGCAGAGTGTGTGTTTTTGAAAGAATTGCATATTTTTTTGATTTTTTCAGCCCATTTCGCCTTTTTAAAATAGTCATCTGTATATAAATTAGGAAATGTCAAAACAAACCGCCGAGTGGCATATTATATGTGTCGCGCAACAAACGTTTTCATTATTGAGATGTGGGAAATGCCTCTCATTCGCATTTTTCGTTTGCGTACGTCTTCATATGTCCACTTTTAAAATGAAAGCCTTCTTCATTTCCAGACCTGAGAGTCTTGAGAGACTGTTATCAAAGAAAAACAAAATGAAAAAACTGAACATTGAAGCTATTCCAACATGAAAAAATCCTTCATACGAAATACGGAATTTTTTGAATGATTTTCTTATTCTCATGCCAAGTTTCACATTTCAAGATTGACGTGAATTTTCATAACACAAGAAGCGTCGGTTGTCAAAATGCTTCTCAGAAGAGTGAGACAAAACAGTTGGTTTCTAAATGTTACCTATGACAAAAGAAGCGTCTACATTGCGTTTGTGTTTCTGATAATCTTTGAGGAGATTACCCTTGTTTATTAGAACGAATATTAGAGTCAGTAAACATGAAAAAAACTCCACTGTAAGAATATATATATATATATATATATGTAAGCCAAAAGCAGGAACCATGAGTGAACTTCTACTTGCACTGAAAATTGAGAAGACTTACAAGCACACTTCCTTTCTTCTCCAAGTATCAAAACTAGGTTCCAACCCAAGACATTTGAGTCCACCTTGCAAGCTCTTAATAAAATATTTCAAAGACAGACGGGAATCAAAAGGTTCCAATTCCTTTATGGTCAATAGCCCTTAACGAGTAATAAAATTCCTGGTAGTGCCGTTTCAACCAACAAAATTTAATGGTCAACAGTCACTCCCACATAACGTCTCTTTGGGTGGATTGGCCGTTGTTGAAATTATGAAAAGTGCCTTCGTATATGATGGCTGCGGCCCGAAGAAACCCAGAAATAGTGACCTGTGGAGAAGTAAAAAGTTAGACAAGAGCTTGAACACTTCTACTAAGAGCTATTCTGTTCTTGTCAGAAGAAATATGACTCGCTTTATAAATCCCACTCCAGGTGGACACGTGGCTCTGCGCGCAACTGCAGAGCATCAGACTACTTCATCGACGTTTGAGACAGGCCAAGACACTATTACGCGAATTGATGAAGTTCGGAAAGAACCGAATGTTGTCGAATCACAGGAAGAGTTGCTTCAAGTGAAGGAGCTTTACGTTCCGTTGGAAAAGAAGGAAGAGACCATCTTAGAAGCCGAAGAGTTGGTCAAACTAACTTTGTCGGAGTTGGATCTGCAGTGGCTACACGTATTAGCCGACGGTTGGGCTGCGCCTCTCGAAGGATTTATGAAGGAAGACGAGTATCTTCAAAGTTTGCACTTTAGTACTTTGAGGCTTAAAGATGGTACAATTGTGAATCAGTCTATTCCTATTGTTCTTCCTATTTCAAATTCAGACAAAGAAAGAATAGGAACAGAACGGAAAGTAGCCCTTTGTCACCCTGACTTTCCCGGTAAACCTGTCGCAGTACTTCGAAATATCGAAATATTTCATCATCATAAAGAAGAGCGTTGTGCCCGAACTTTTGGGATTACCGATCCAAGGCACCCATACACGAGTGTTATATATGAGTCGGGGGATTGGTTGGTAGGTGGAAAGTTAGAAGTTCTCGAACGTATCAAATACGGTGATGGACTCGACAGTTATCGTTACTCACCACGCCAACTGAAAGAAGAATTTCGAAGACGAGAAGCCGATGCTGTGTTTGTATTCCAGTTGAGGAATCCTATTCACAACGGTCACGCTCTCTTGATGAACTCATGTCGAGAAAAGCTTCTTCAAAAAGGTTTTAAGAAACCTTTGCTACTGGTTCATCAGATTGGTGGCAAAGTAAAAGATGACGATGTTCCTCTTGATATTCGAATTGCCCAGAATGAAGCCATTCTTGAAGAGGGAATTTTAGATCCTCATAATACTATTATTGGAATTTTTCCAAGCCCTATGATTTATGCAGGCCCTAAGGAAGTACAGTGGCACGCCAAAGCACGAATGAACGCAGGTTGCAAGTTTTACATTGTAGGAAGGGATCCTGCTGGAATGAAACATCCTGGCACGAATCGTGATATGTACGATCCTTGGCATGGAAAGAAGGTTTTAATGATGGCGCCTGGTTTGGAAAAACTTGAAATACTACCCTTCCAGGTAGCTGCATACAACTTAAAGAGTGGAGGCATGGAGTTCTTCGATTCTTCCAGACCTGAAGACTTTCTTTTCATTTCGGGAACAAAGATGCGGAAGTTTGCATCTACTGGTGAGGAACCACCTGCTGGCTTTATGGGCAAGAAGGCTTGGGAAATATTGGCTTCGTACTATCAAAATAAACGAGAGGATACGCCACCGCAAAGTCGGTAAACAAAGGACATTTCCATTTTTTTCAGGTGATGAGAAAAATAACGAGATACCTATTAACATTTTTCTTATAACCTGATTGATAATAAAAGTTTTCATTTTTTGGCGAGTCCCATTTTCATGGCACCCTTATTTGCTGATTTACCAAACCTTGGAGGTGATACAAATCCCAACTTGTGATTTTCCGGACTACGCAACGAGCGAAGATATATGGAATGCATATTTACATTTTTGCGTTCATCTAGTCTTGGAATGAGGGACCTGAAATCAAGTTCCCATAAGAAAAACCCTACCTGAGTCACTGTTATTTTCATCGAATGATTTCCTTTGGCTCTCTGAGTCTTCCACAAGGAAGTCTGCCAAAGATCCCAACTCGTCGTCTTCGTAACTTCCTTCGTCATCAACGTCATCACTACTAATGGACGCTTGACTTTGAATAAATCGTAAGCTTCTGGGAGCCTTAACCCTTTTACGACCACTTGGAACCGAAGGACCGTGTTGCTGCTTTTCTTGCTTCCGTCTCTTCTTCACTCTCAATATGGGCGATGACTCATCAGATGCATAACTTCCCTTTGGCATTGCATCCAGTACAACATTATCATTTCTATTTATCATTATTTGGTCTGGACGACACAACTCCTTGCTTTCGTTGCCTTCTACATTCATTTCCTGCAGACTTGGGCAAGAATTATGCAAACCCGAGGGACGAATAGAAATATTCACTTCCAGCTTTTCATCAGGAGGGCTGCAAATTTCCTCCAGCAAACTATCTACTGTGTCTACTGAGCTCTTATCAACGAGAGATTCTGAACCGACGTAGATATTACAGTTCCCAGAATCTGCTGCTTTTCTATCAAGCATTTTCGCATCGTCGATGTCCCTATTGATTTGGCTCTCTTTAAGCAACCCCGGGAATGCGCACTCTAAGTAGTTACTAGATTCTGACAAATACGTTCTTTGAGAATCCTCAAGATTTTCATTCACTTCGTTATTCGAGAAATCTGCGATATCAAACTTAACAAACCCCGAGGAGATCTGTTCAATCAAATAAACAGTTTGAGCTCTCAAACTCCCCAGTTTTGAAGCATTTGGCCGCTTGCAAACAGAGACCGAACCAGAAATATTGTCGGAAAAAAACTTCCGGATTCCGCATTTCGTACTTAGCCTCGTTTGTGGCGCCTCACCAATATCCAATCCATAACTCTCAAGAAACATAGATTCCACTGTGTTCGCCGCTGATGCAAACGAGCTCGTTTGTTGTTGAAAATCCTTGGAAGCATTCTTCTTCCTATGGTTCTTGAAATGAAGGGGAAAGATGGAGTCCTCTCCTGAAAATCTTATGTCTTCTATGGAGAGCTCCTTACGTTCACAGTGGATAGTTGTACCATCTGTTGGAATCATTCTCGGCGAGTTCTCATACAGAGAAAAGCAATTCAACTTGTCGCGAAGACCTTTCAGAAGTTAAATTCATAAAACCGGAGGCAACATAAGAAGACTACCTACTTTTTGCAATGCTTGTAGCTCTCTTGTTCATTTCGCATAGTCTTGTTTCTTCACATCCTTCAGTCAGCAACACAACTATTTGGCCAGCTCTCGCACGGCCAGTCCGTCCCATTCTCTGTAACATACGAATGGGAGAAGAAATGACATCATAAGAAATAATCAAGTCTACGTCAGCAATGTCTAAACCCTCTTCTCCAATGGAAGTTGAGACTAGAACATTAAATGTTCCCTTTCTGAACTCTCGCAGAACCTCAATCTGTTCCTTCTGGGACATTCCAGATGTTTTTTGAGATTTATGGCTATTAGCTGATGGTGCCTGTCCAACAAAACACATGGCATGGATTAACGGCTCATACTGTGCCAAAATTCTCCGTAACTCAACTACTGATTCTCTATATTGAGCGAAAACTATTGCTCTAGTAGAAGACTTCCCCTCAACAAAACCTGAACAAGGTGTCGAAGTTTCACTAAAATGATGTTTTAGTACTTCAACGCATTTCAGAGCTTTCGGATGTGTAACCTGTAGCTGTAATGTTATGCATTGACACATATAAAAAAATATTCTTTACGTACACCTCTGCTTATGAGTTCCGATGTGATACTTCGAAGTTGTTTAAATTTTTCTCGATTTGCAATCTGCTTCTTCAGTCCCCCAGTCCTCTGTTTCGACTCCGACTCAAAGCTTTCAAGAAAACTGTCGAATGGGGCTAGACCTAAGCCATGAGAACTCTCAAAACATGAATAAATTTGACACCAAGAGGAATACTTACCATGGGAATACAAAAGGTTAATGCCATAGCAAAGAGAAACTGCAAGTGAGAATTGTGATAAAACGAAAGAACGTTTGGCATGGTCTTCCTTTGTTTGAGGTGTAAATTTTTGTTTCCAAGTTTCTCTTGCGGTTAATAATTTCATGATACTGACCCTATGTTAAAAATGAGAATAAAAGAGATTACNGTAATAACAGACATGCCGTTCAGCACAACGTTCATAAAACGCCTGATTATTACATAAATTATTAAGAAACGGTGATAAAAGATCCATAGCCAAATCTTTGGCTCCTTGTAGATCAGCACCCAGTGGCACTATAATTGACTCTATTTGCCGGTGAAACGTATAAGGCTTCGTATCTGGATCATCTTCACTTCTAAATTCTACTTTTGCTATCTGTAAGTTATCGATAACTTGTTGGATGACAGATATGGTATTTCCTGGAGTAGCTGACAATGCTAAGATCCTATAAGAACCACCAGTGGCCTTATTCAAGTCTTCAACTAGGCTACAATAGACATATTTTCCAGTAGCTTTGTGAGCTTCATCGAAAACGACACAAATCACCTAAATATCGTCATTTTGGAACAAACAATCAAAGTTACTAATTAACCTTGGATGCCGGGCAAATGCCGTGATCAATATCGTTCTTCATTACTTGCGGAGTGACAAAGAACACATTTTTAGACTTCCACATTGTCTTTCTCACTTCAGTCTTCATAGCTCCTGTTATTTCTGCAGTACTTTCGATAGGAATGCCGACCACTCTATAGCAGGCTGCTATCTGCTGTCGAACAAGAGGTTTGGTGGGAGCCATAAAAACAACCTCATTCAAACTTAGAATGTAACTCGAAAAAAAAACATTGCCTCCTCACTTTACCGTCTGGATACCAACGTAAAAAATTGTACATTACCACAGCAGCAATAAATGTTTTACCTAAACCTGTAGGTAAGCAAACTAGCGTGTTACAAGCCAACGCCGAGCGGACAATATTGAACTGATATTCACGTTCTGGAATGTTAGTAGGAAAGATCCATGAACTCGCGGCATTCAAGTCCAACGCAACGTTCTGTGGTAGTTTTTTGCTTGACTTGGAGGGAAACCACAGACTGTCCATTACTCCATCAAGAGTTCGTTGAACCTTCCGAATCCTAGGGGATACGAGTTCCACCGGAGAGTTGGAGGAAGTCACAACACTTGAATTTGTGCGACACGTTGGCACATATTTTTCTATACTTTGCTGCTTCAAATTATCACCAAACTGACAAAGGAAAGCTGATTTTGTCAAATCAACCCTTTTTGAGTGGTTCTCTTCGTTCGAATGCGTTTGCGCTGACAGCCAAGTTTGCGTTTCTTCAACAACGAGGTTCAACTCTGTCGGTTCACTAGGAGCGCCATATTGTCGTTCAAAAGAGTCAAGAGCAAATACTAACAAGTCGTCTTCTATACATTCAAAGGGTTCCGAGAACTTGTCCTCGGCCACTCGTCGTTCGTGCGTAGTTTCTTTGTCTTCAACTTTGTCTGTAAAGGAAGGCAAGGTCGTAGATAAGCTAAAGTTCGAATTCTGTGTATTTCTAGAAATATTTTTTCTCTCGCAATCCTCGTCTTTTCTTGCATTTTTTTCTAGTTTCTCCAATAAAGCATATTCTTCAGGGTCTACGACAAAAGGCGCGTCGTCCTGAGACTGGAGATATTACGAATATAGCAGCGAACCAAGTTTGGAAACTTACTTCAAGAATCTTCCAAAGTTGTTCATCACTTAATAGATCCATGAAAGACGAGAAAAAGGCGCCACAAAGGACGTAGTTCGACTAAATCAGCTCAACATAGTTAATTGTCCAATCTTCATCGTGGTTTTGAAATTTCTCTTCTTCACCAACCGTGAAACAACTTCCTTTGCAGAAGAGCCATGATGAAGAAATAAAAGTTCATGTCAATTCAAACATTTCAAGCTCCAATCTGTTTATCGTTTAGACTACAACAGATGGAAAGAAACTTAATATTCTGTAGAAGCCTACATTTTACGCTTCTGAGGGCAGGCCTGTTTTTGAATGATTTTTTTTGGAGAGAGAGAGAGCAATCATCTTCAGAATATTCGGAACAAAGCACATATATTGAGAGTCAAGCGTTTCTCATGTTGGTTTGATTTCTACAATGAAGACATATAAACTTAGGTTGGACAGATTGCTATGTATATTCAAGTTTCATTCTCTATCTTTGAAAAGATCTCAGTGGAAAACTGTCCTATTTTTGGTATTTCTCTTTAGTTACAAACAAATCATGCACTATGTGCAATGTCGGAATTGTTTTTTCGGATTTTGCTACAACATTGGAAGGCTTCAGCCATCTCTTCCAAATGTGACATTTATGTGCTGTCCGGATTCATTTATTGCTTTTTGAATTTGTCATGTCTTCGAATCCAGTTCTTGTGCTGTGCGACTTTCAAAATGACATTATGGGCTTTGTTCCTCCTGAAAAGAAAGAAGCTGTCGTCAAAGGAGCTTTGAAGCTTTTGGTATGTTTGAATTTGAGTCAAATTGTATTTAACTGAATAACTGTGATCAGAACTTTGCCCGAGAGAAGAAGATTCCAGTGATTCACGTGGGAGTTCGTTTTAGAAAGGGGTAATAGAATATGGCAAACATTGAGTTTCAAATTTGCTGAAGTACTGTTTCAGACACCCTGAAGTTTCGAAGCGAAACAAGTTTTTGTCCCTGATTTCCTCGAGAGGTTCTATTCTTGTGGAAGATACCCCTGGAAGTGAACAAGTGGCGGAGTTGAAGCCAATTGAAGGCGAATTCTCGGTAACAAAGAGAAGAGTTGGAGCACAATTCAATACCGATCTTACAACGATTTTGAGTGCTTTGAATGCTACGCACCTGATTTTGGGAGGTGTGTCTACAAGTGGGGTTATACTTTCGACCGTTCGTTGGGCTGCAGACGCGGATTATGAAATCACTGTAGTTCGTGAAGCGGTTACTGATGGAGATGACGTAGCTCATCAAGCCCTGCTTGACCATATCTTTCCAAGCCAGGCTAATGTTGTTTCCGTGGACGACCTTATAAAGAATATGTCGTAGTTCGTATTTGTTTGACATTTCGAAATTTGTGGTTGACGTTTTGAATAAAATATTGATAAAAAAGAGATATCCCAAAAACTTCATTCTGAAAATAAATGCCCGAATGATGCGAGAATATCAAGATGACTAGGTAAGCTTTGTTCTAAAATAAGAAACAGACCACCAAGAGAAAAGCAAATACATCCAAAGAGGAGAGGTAAATCGGAACCAATGTACACATAGAGAGAATTGGATGGAAATGCGTACTCTCCAAACCCAAAAGCTCCATTGAGAAGAAAGCCAATGGCACCCATGAAGTTACACAGGACCGTCCAATACAGAAGAGATTTTGGATCCCAAGTCCACCATCGATGTCCATATTCTACTATGAAGAAATACGAACTTACGACAAAACATATCGATCCGAGAGTGTCCGGCAACCAAAGAATAAATTGGGTCTCATAAAAGCTCAAATTGAAGGCACTGTTACCATTTCCAACGAAACAGTTGATGTTGTACAAACAAGCACCAATTTGTTGAATAAGTGCACCAAGGAAGTCCCATCGCCAAGGCTCCCATCCAAAAAGTCTAATCTTTCTATGCTCCAAAATATCAACAGAAAGCCGAACACTATCTTCGTCCGATATCATCGGGTGAACCGGTGGTGCATTTAGCACTTCTAAAATTCTTATATAGGCTCCGACAGTGTAGAAAATACTCCCTACAAAGAATGGCCAGCCTATGAGGCCTTGATAAAGCACATAACTATTAGCAACTGAAGGGACATAAGACAATGCACTACCAATAGTGAAAATAATGGATCCAACAAGAAACATGATTCCGACCCACATTGGAAAGGATTTGAGCTTGTAATACCAAGGTCGAAAAAGTCTTCTTCTGATTCTCATAACTTGAGAAGGTCTTGAAGAAGTTTCTGAAGGAAATCTTTCACTATGCATTCTTTCTCTTTCATAATAACCTGCGTTCGAGAGTTGTTTTGATCTTCTTCGAATAGGAGGAAGAGATTGCGCTCGCTGTCTCAAATTTTTCAAATCCACAGAAAATATTCTCTTGCGAAACATATTGGAGCGCCACTCATTCATACGACCATTTATCGAAAATTTAAGATATGTTACATAGCCTGCCACCCCTTCAATATCATGTATTACAACGAAAGGGGAGGTTCGATAACCAGATTGCAATGGAGTTGAAGGCTCATCCATATTATCACCTAGCTCCATAACGGAGTTTTCTCCTTCCACAAAGGTGGAATCATTATCAGATGGTTCTGATAAATTGCAGTGAATGTCATGCAGACCGGGAATATGAAAATAAACATGTCGGACAGACTGAAGCCAGGAAACTCGTTCTCTTAAATATGGCTTGCGAGGGTCCAGAGCAACGAGGTCCTTCTCTTCTGCAATAATATCTAGTCTGTAGATATCCAGTGTCTCTCCAAGCTCTACACTATCTTTTGACTCCAAAATGGAGCCAAACTCACTGTTCTCTTCTAGAAGTTCATATTCGGAGCCCGTTGATGTCCTAGGAGAAAATATGGAACCTCTCCTAGATGAAATAGAACGACGTATTGTCTCATGTACGCTAGCCACTGAGCGTCGCACCTTGACGGCCTCTCTCACAGCGATGTCAGCAAACTCTCGAATAAGTTCCCTAAACGCCAAGCGAAATTCGGAACTTGCTCGAACTGCACCAGGTTCTAGAGCAGCTTCATCTGGTCTACGATAATGTGGATGGTAAAGTGAAGGTCTAGAATTCTCTGGGCTTCCAAAAATACTCCTTTGTATAGAAGAAAGCATATCGTCAACTACACCAAAATTTAATCCAATTTGTCTTCGGGAGAATTGAGACAACACGTCAGCCGGAGCTCAAGCAATTGGGTCTCATTCCCATTCCTCTCGGGCCGTCTGGAAAGAATCAGCTTCTGGAATCTAAAGACAGCAACATAGTGAACCTAAAATACAAGAAGGAATGCTTTATGAGATCACTCTTGGTGAACTGAGTTGAACAAAGATACTTTCTTAAGGAAACAAGATCTGCTCATATTTACATTATAGCCTCTTACAAAAGTTCACTGCCATTAACACCGAACAAACAGGGTTTCGTACAAAGGGTATTGTGATGACTATGTCTATTGCAGCTCCGTAACCAAAAAAATAAAACGAAACCTCCTTCCTAAATAACTCTTAAGAAGGCGAGGGGCATTTTGGACAAACCAAGCTGAACACTCTAAATATTTCAGACAAAAATGCCTTTCGAATATTCGACGCCTTCTATAAACTTATTGAATTCTGCTAGTTTTCTCATTATTCTTGAATTTTTTCCATGGAGAAAGTCCCGAGAAGATATTTGGTACCAACACCAGTAATATACATAATTCTTTTGGGTCATTTTAAAATTGTAGTCATCTATTTCAACTTCTTTCGACATTGCAATAGACCGATGAGTAAATGGAATTGCGCTGCTAGGGGAAAATGCAAAATATTATGTTACAATAGGATTAAAACCTTTGCTATTGTCTGTAAAATGTGGGGAATAAATTCCGTGCGCTCTTAAATTCATAGGCAGCCACAATCCAAAACAAGAAGCAAAGAAGACAAGTGCTCACAGTCCATATTTCAAGAGATTCTTTACTCTTTATTCTTAAATAAAAAAATGAACGTAGCATCATGCCAAACTTGATTATCCAAATGTCCTTTAATGCCTATTGGAAGTTGCAAGTTGTTTTCGGCCAACAAAATGCTGCCAAAAAGCAGACATATGCATGCCCATCATCGTTCAATCATTTAAGAGGATAATGCCCAATTCTAGGCTTTTGGAGTATGTTGGGAATGAAACCTTTTTACGTTTATTGTTGCCGTCCCACTTTGGAAAGAGAAAAGCAGCAGCTGCTTTCAAACTAAACCGGAAAACCCTTTTCAGATTTTGTTGTTGTCAGAAGAGAGGCGTTGAAAGTTCCGGCTATGAAAGAAACTCCCAAAGAGTCTCTTCAAACTCGGCGAAATCTTTTTTCTTTGACGTTAGAGAAAGATATATTAATACTTACGCTCAAATATTTCCGTACATAGCAAATTTTCGTGGAGAACTTCTCTTTCTTTCCTTGGCGACTACGATCTCTTTGGCTTCATTGTTACGTCTTGTAGCAAGTTTTGGATCTTTCTCTTCAATGATAGGGAAGGGATTTCATTCCAACTTACTTGTTGAAACAGCAAAGATCTTATTTTTCATATCGCTGCGCTCTCTAGCGCTCTTTGCACAAGACGCAATCATAGCGAGAGTTATAACAGAATTTCAAGTATCTCTGCGAAGAGATTTGTTCAGTAGACTTTTATATCGAGACACAGTCTTTTATTACAATGTTAGTTGTGGAAATCTACTATACTCTTGCACTTCTGCTGTCGAAAGAGTATCAAAACTTCTGTATAGTTTACTTCATAGCTTTATACCTAGTTTTGTTCAGTTTTGTGGAGTTCTTGTCTACATGTTCTTTATGAGTCCACCTCTTACTCTGTCACTAATTGGTACGATGCCCTTGATGCTAACGACATACAACCTTCTGGAGAGAGTATTATTGAATTCTACTAAGAGATTGCAGGAGACTGCAGGAGCTTTGTCTTCCTTACTGTCGGATACTTTTCGGAACATTCGTCTCATTCAGAGTTACGGAGCTCAAAAATACATGCTCGAATATAAACTGAAAAATATTTTGACCCAGTTGAAATCACAAAGCTATCAATTTGAATATTCCAAAGCAGCGATTGTTCCCATAATTACAATCTCCTATGCCCTATCTGTATTGGTATTGCTGTTAATGAGTGCTTATCTTGTTGGAAGAGGCTCTTTATCCTCAACTACTTTAATAACTTTTGTGAGTTCGATCGCATTTTTGATTGAGCCACTGCAAGTCATTGCTAGTAACGCTGTAGAACTTCGTAATGGAGAAGTTGCATGGGAACTTATTCGTGGATTCTTACACGCAAGACCGCAAGTAGCAGATATTGGAACAGATGAGCCTCAGAACGTCAAGGGTCATGTGGAGTTCCGAAACGTTTGTTTTTCTTATTCAATGGAGAAGCATGTATCCAATGAAACTGATTATGTGCTTTCACACATTCAGTTTAATGTACCCGCAGGTAACTCGGTTGCAATTATTGGTCATTCAGGTTCAGGAAAGACAACTTTGTTGGAATTGCTCTCTCGCTTTTATGATCCTCTCCGTGGTTCTATTTTAATCGATGGCGTAGATTGTCGAAATATGAAGTTGGCTTCGTTAAGGAAGCTTATAGGATTTGTCCCTCAGGATGCTCCATTGATTTCTGGTACTATACTTGAAAACATTGCTCTTGGTGAGATTCATATTGATATGAATCGAGTATATTATGCAGCCAAAGCAGCGAATGCCTGGGACTTTATATCTGAACTAGAAGGTGGTTTTTCCTACGACGTTGGAGAAGGTGGATGTCGTCTCTCGGGAGGACAGAAACAAAGAATCGCCATTGCAAGAGCAGTTTATACAGATCCTCGCATACTCGTGTTTGATGAAGCCACTTCGTCTTTGGATGCAGAAAGTGAAGCCGCCATTCAATCAGCTTTGCAAGTTATTGCAAAAAATCGTACCGTATTTATAGTGGCTCACAGACTTTCTACTATACAATCAGTTGATTTAATTGTCGTTTTAGAAAAGGGTAGAATAATTGAGTTTGGAACACCTAGCGAACTTCTAAAAAAGAACGGAAAATATGCAGAAATGTTAAAGGCACAGTTTTCGGAAGCTTCCATTGTTGAAGGAAGTTTTTGGTAAATTCGTCGTCGAAAACGTTTATATTGCAATGGTCTCAAAGTATTCAAAGGCACTAGGCTGGATAAGAGTAGAAATCATAAGAGTAGCTTAATTTTTTATGGAAATTTTCAGTAGAAAAACTCGAAATGAGGAAAAAAGCACTGGACACTTTCAACCTTTACTTTTCAGGTAACACTGGATAGTAGCAAGTTCACAAAGTACAACAGGATACATATAAAAACAAGACCGCCCATTCTTCTAACAATATGACCTTTCATCATTAATCTCTAATAGTTATGGATCTCTCGAGCACAATAGAATAAAGTAATTGTCGGCTCTTGGGATATCTTAAAGGCATTTCTCTGAAGAATTGTCTATTGGACTCAATTCGATGCACGTGCATTAAACTCCTTCAAATACCCCAAACGGAGACACTTAATGAATGTTCAGCTCAGTTTTTTTAGATTTGAATGGAAATGGAAGTTAGAAACCCACTCCTGTTTCGGCAACTATTTGATAGAGAATCTTACACGTATACATATTTGTTAGCTGACCTGAGGTTTGAGGAAAAGCCTGCCGTCCTTATTGATCCTGTTGATACACAAGTACAGAGGGACGTAAAGCTTGTTACAGAATTGGGTGTGCAACTGCTATATGGTTTAAATACTCATGTCCACGCAGACCACGTTACCGGAACTGGTATGCTGAAGAAAGAGTTGAAAACAGTCAAGTCAGTTATTTCTAAAGCTAGTGGTGCCAAGGCAGACGTTCACTTGGACCCCTACGAGAAACTTCATTTTGGGAACTTTTATTTGGAAGCTAGGCCAACTCCAGGTCACACTTCTGGCTGTGTTACTTATGTTTTATATGACTCAAAACCTCACGAGACGCCAAATGTTTTTTATTATGTACCCAGAATGGCATTTACTGGAGACGCTTTACTGATTCGAGGCTGTGGTAGAACGGATTTTCAGCAAGGGAATTCAGAGTTACTCTATGAGTCAGTGCATAAGCACATTTTGTCACTACCCGATGATACTTTATTATATCCAGCCCACGATTATCATGGAAGAAATGTAACTACTGTTGAAGAAGAAAAGAAATGGAATACGCGGTTAAGTAAGACCAGAGAGGAATTCCTATTCATGATGAAAGAGTTGAAGTTGGACTATCCCAAACTTATTGATTTTGCTCTCCCAAGAAATATGTGCTGTGGTATATTAGAAGAACAATAAACGATGTTTTTTAAGACATGGCCTTCTCGGGACATTTTAATCAAAACACCGAAACTTTACAGCTCTGAATCGCACCATTCCAGGCACAACGGTCCCCAAAGTCCTTGTCTAAATTCTGCGAGAATCTTCTGAGCTGTCTTCTCTTTATCATTCGAAAACTGTTTTCGCGAAATTATTTCCTGAAAAGAGAAATAGTGAACTCTAACAATGGCTGCAATCAAAAATGAACCTACCAGAAGCATTTCTCCCGAGTGTTTTAGCATATCTATACCAAATCTTTCGTTAAACCTGACAAAACAATGATCTTGTGACCAGACTGTTCCAACATTTCTAATGCATTCAAGCAATGCGGACTAGAAAGTCCATTAAAACAGAAACTCTTTCATGAAAAACTACTTGCCGCAACTACTTGGTTATCATATGATCCACTACCGATATCGTTACAAAATGCCAATTTCTCAGCACTACTCTGTGAAACCTTATTCCCAAATGAGCAAAATAAATGATGCCTAAGACAAACTTACAAGTTTAGGAGGTATGATTCCTGGTGAATCCAAAAGCTGTATTTGATCAGAAACTTGAATCCACTTTTACAAAAAATTTCATTATAAGCAACACTGGTCAAAAGACAACTTACCTGGAAAGTTCTTGTCACCCCAGGCCTATTTTGGGACTTTGCAATAGCGCGATTCACAAGTCTATTAATGAGAGCCGATTTCCCGACATTCGGATATCCAACAATCATGCAGTGAACACTTCTCGGCAATAATCCCTTTACTCTTCTCCTAAACAGAATTCAGACATTTTCTTCAAAGATACTGACCCAATGAAGCAATAAATACTTTTCGTTGATAGCTTTTCCACAGAAAATCAAAGCCTTTCTAAGTCTTTGTATTCCGTTTCCAAGTTTCGCGTTGGTATCAAACACTTCAAAGCCTTGTTGTTTGATAGTTTTGATCCAAACGGATAGTGCTTCTTGAGGCACCATATCACGACGATTAAGCACTACAAGTCGCTTCTTCTCTCCGAGCCTAAAAGCAACTTAGCTCCGTCTTCGAGGAGATAAAAACACTAACCATGATTGCAGTTCTGGATGTTCTGTTGACTTTGGTATTCTTGCATCTCGAACCTCCAATACAACATCGACAAGTCTGAGTTTGTCCTTGAAACATTTAGTACACTAATTTGGATGACCAAAAGCTTTGATACTTTCAACACTCTTTCTGCCTTTGCAATATGACCAGGGTACCACTGTACTTTAGGCCTTCGAATATCATCCTTGCTTCCCTCATTCACAGAAGCAACCACTGTCCTATGAGCTAATAAACATCGAGTGTTTGTCGACTACAGTGTCTTACTTGTATTGACACGTTCTCCATAGTTTTAATTTCTTTAAACCACAAAAAGAAGAGTTTCTAGGCAAAATAACTATACTGCACGAAAGAAAACCGGACATATTTGCCATCGAATAGAGGTAAGCTTTTAGATATGTCCTGAATGGAGACAAAACAACACTCTCATATCTAATTGAAACGTAATCAAAAGACTTTCTTTTGGATCAGAGAAACAAGAGCAATCGTTCCTACAAAACCAATTGGAACAATCTTTATGAAGGCCCGACTGATAGCTCATTTTATAGAATTCTTTGAAGAGCAATACTTTCTAACTGGAAGAGAGTGCTCTGAATAGGAACATTTGTCTAGTAAATGCGAAAGTAAGAATAAATAGGCAAAAGACAAATAAAATAACTAATCAACAAAGAGTCAAACCTTGTCGGAGAGAGCAGTCTCCGATGCAGAGGTGTGTTCCAATTGTTCAGGAATGCTATCCAAAGCACGTTTCCAATACACATCGAGCGCTTCGTTCTCTCTTACAAATGCAATAATGAAATCATTCCATTTCTGAGTATTTGTGATATCTCCACATGCTTCCCCAGTCAACTTTGGAATGGTTTCAATAAAGTCTTGCTTGCATTGTCTATTTTGAGAGATGATAGCTTTCAATACTTCCAGTCGCCTTATCCACTCCCTTTCTGTTGCGCTCAAAGCATCTAGCAGCGAAGGAGTATCAAGGCAACAAGAAGAACTTTCTATGTTTCTCAGCATGCTCATCGAATGGTTCTAGTTATGCAAATTGACCAATTTGCTATATAAAATGCTTTCAACTTACCTCATAAGTTTCCATAGTTCCTTCTTTCTTCTCGAGCTTTTCAGTGTCTATAGCAAATGGTGGATGAATGCGTTGCTCTTCTATACGATTGGAAATATTCTTTAAAGCTTCCGTTAATGAGTTTTGCAATGCACTGTAATGTTGGAGTAGCTCTGTTCTGAGCTCTTCCAATTCATTGTGCATTGAATTCTTACTTTGCATAGATGATTGAGCACATGAGAACGCTGAAGCTTCCTCACATCCTGAAAGACTCGATTCTGGCCCTGAATAAGTAGATGGAACTCTGTCCTTGCCCGAGCGTGTTAAGTGCCTGCACACTTTCTTTAGACGATGCTCTGCAGTACGAATTCTTGAACGTAAATCAGTTAACTGACGATGTGATTCAATGCCAACTCTGGAAGACTCTTCTGAATCCCTCAAGTTATTGCGCTCACTCGTCAGTTCCGATGCAGGAATAGACAAATATGCAACAGTCTGCTTTTTCAAAGTTTCCGAATGACATCTCTTTCCGTCTTCAAATTGTCTGACTGTTTCACAACCATTTTGTATTTGTTGTGATCCTGTCTTCTTCGTAGAATCACCAGAATAACTGCGTTCTTTGTTCATTACAGCAGCCTCCCGAACATCTAACTGTCTTTCAAACTCTTCCAATCTACGCATTTCAGCTTCCAAACAGGATTCTCTTTCAGAAATTGCAGCTGAGCGTCCACAAAGGAACTGTATACTCAAAGTTAAAACATGAAAGAGTTCTTTGGGGCTCCAGTGTGACTTTTCCAATAACTTGTCCGCGCTCAAGCCACTTGGCAATACGTCCTTCCAATCACTCCTCAATGTTCTTAAGAAGAACTTGGTAATGGACTGCAAATCATTCAATAAACTTTCCTTGCTATCATAGTTATTATCAAGCCACTGTGTAGACATGTTTTCTATGGTAGCATAAGAAATTGAAGTTGATAACTCTTTTCTATGTGAAGTCATTCTATCTCTACCTTCAGAGAATGACCTATCGTTAGCCAAACTTGATACGTGTTTGTTTTGTTCCTTTTTAGGTCTCTTAAGAACAAGCAAATCCTTATTCTCCCCTTTGTGGCTATGCAGTGGCTCACTTTCATACCCCACAACCTTTTCTTCCATCGAATTCAAAACCTCTTTCAAGTTTCGAAGTATACTTTTAAGACTCTGTCGCGTCCATCCTTTTCTTTCTTTCTTTCTTTTGGCAAAACCTTCTGGTCTATGGTGAATCAATAAGTGACTACTGTCACGTGATATATTTTGTAAGCTATGACTGTCTTCCACTTCAATCACCTCCTCTTGTACCTTGTTATGCGAACAAACTGAGTGAGAACTTTCTTTACAAGTTGTTCTTTCAACTGATTCGTCTTTATGCTGATAAGAACAAGAAACTTGGGAGTTGAGTGCGTTGGCAGAAGCTGGAACGTTCAGTATCGTTGTATTGGTTGTACTTACTGAACTACTTTCGTCACTGGAATCAAAAAAAGCAATTCTTCTAGATTCATATGTTTCATCTCTCTCTTGCAGATTAGCCGCAACGAATTGATCCAGACCTTCCGTTAACAACAAAGAGCTGAGATTGGTGTCTATATTATTATCTATCCCGCCCAACTGTTTTATTCTATCATAAACGTGAAGTGTTTCAGCAATCAAATTAGCAGCTTCTTCGGCAAAAGGGGTACAAGTATCGTCGTCTTTTTCCATATGCCACACAAGAAATTGAATACTGCAACGGTCTTTTCAAACAATCACGTTTTCCCTCGAAAAACTAAGAAGAATTGTTGGATGTTGTACGATGAGGCATGACTGACTGGGAAGAAAACTCTTGCATGATTCACGAATTATGTTATTACAAAAGGGAAAGTTTATCATTCACTCGAACAAGGAAGATAACAAACCCTTCTCAAAGCCGCAGTGATCAAAACTTGATCCAAAAATGAGTAATAAAAATAATAATAAAAATAATGATGATGATGATGGACGAGGTCGTCTTTGAGAGTTGTCGGAATGGAACAACTAGAGAATCAGTTGATACAAACTTCAGAAGAGTCTTTGCAAAGTAGCTCCAAAGAAGAATTAATTCATTTCATACTTTCTTTGAGAGACGCTTTTATCAAAAATAAGGACAATTCTTCCAACTCAGTTTCAGCCTCGCTTTGTTGTGCAACAACAGGAAAACCTTTTGACTTCAACAAACACGGAAAGAGAAAAATAGCTTTGCGCATATGTTATCTTGGTTGGAGATTCGATGGATTTGCTTCTCAGCCTCACTCTGATAACACTGTAGAAGAACATTTGTTTCGTGCACTTTTAAAGACGAAGCTCATCGAGAACCGAGAAGGAAGTTGCTATAGTCGTGCTGCAAGAACAGACAAAGGTGTTTCTGCAATAGAAAATGTGGTATCGCTTACTGTCCGCTCCCATATCATACCACCTTCTAATGGTGAGGTAGAGCTGGACTATCCTCGTATACTGAATGGAGTATTACCAAGTGGCATATGGATAACAGGATGGACTAGTGTGGATCCAGATTTCCACGCGCGCTTTTCAGCTTCTTATCGTGTCTATCACTATTATTTTAGACCTGAGCACTTGAACCTTTCAGCTATGCAACGTGCAGCACAGTTTTTCGTTGGAGAACATGATTTTCGCAACTTTTGTAAAGCAGATGTTACCCAGGTACAGAGTTTTCGACGAGTTATCTATAGCTGTGATATTAAAATAGTATCCATGACACACAAAAGTAGATTCGAATGGCATCTACCACCGGAAAGTGCAACTTGTTCACTTCAATCCTCTAAAAATACGAGTAGTATTTGCTTAGCAAAGTTGGTTGTGAAGGGACAAGCATTTTTGTGGCACCAGATTCGTTGTATGGCAAGTATCCTGTTTATGGTGGGAGAAGGATTAGAAAAGGAAGATATCGTGAAAGATATGCTGCAACATGAGTGTTTTGGAGCCAAGCCATTATATAGAATGGCTAGTGAAATACCTTTGGTCTTATCGCAGATTGGTTTTGGTGGTCTTTCTTTCCAAATCAGCTCAAAAGCATATACAGATGTGGAAAAGTTTCTGCAAGAAGCATGTACCAGTCTCCTATGCAAGGCAGCTATCTTGAAGGATCTCCTCAACTCTCTACATGAACATTTCATTCGAGGTAATTTTGGAGCAATAGACTGAAACTATCTTAACTTGGATATTTAGGGGAAAACCTTCACCAACTTACGGAACCTACCTCTGCTTATCTCTTGGACAGAGAACAAGGACCACATCGTTTACTGGAATCACGCAAGAGAGAAGGTAAGCCTGTAACTGTTTACACAAGTCAATATAATTGATCTTGTTAGCCTCCATCGACGCAAGAAGAGAGCGACAACGAGCAAAAAATTCATCTATAAGTTAAATTTCATTTCTCTACAGATTTTATATTTGTCTTGATCGATTGGGTTAGAGAATGAATTATTCTTTTGTCACTATCCGACTGAAGCATTTTGGAAATGATATACAAATGGCAACATTGTAGTAATATTGACATATGCCAAGAGGGTGGATACTTATTATAGACTAGCTCTATAGCCAACAATAAGACACAACTAGAATTTCTGTGAGAATGAGTGCCAATAAACTAACAACGACAACTTACCCTTGTCTAAGATGGATACCTAAGCTATACAGAATCCAGGGTAAGCTATGAAAGTACCACGTATAAAACTGATAATGAATACTTCGCGCAAATACAATGCCGATCAATTGACACTGAAACAATACTGTTACAATACCACGACCAAGTATGACATTTCTCTGTTTGACAAAACACTTTTCTTGACACATTTTTTGAAGCGTTGTAAACAAATTTCTCACTACACGTTTGTACCAAATGTAAAGCACCAAAATGTGGCTCGATAGTAGAACAAGAGACCACAAAGGATGTTGGAACATGTGTTCCGGTAAAAACTTCCAATTGACCGTCCATTCGTACAGAAATACTCTATGAAACTCAAAGGCTTTTGAAATATAAGATATTGGGTGATGCCATAAAAATCGTAAACCGACAAGAAACTATCCAAAATACAATGAAATGCGGCATTCGTTGTATTGAAAAACAACTAACCTGCACGGCACCACAAAGTACTACATATAAAAAGGTCTGCTTCCAACAAAACGATTCTAACAACACAATCAAGACAGCAGGAGCATAAAGTAAGGCGCTCATTTTCACTGATACTGCAAGGCTGTAGACTATGCAAGCCACAAAATGATGCCGAGAAACGAAGAGGAGAACGGATAGATAACTAAGGAATGTAACAAAAGCATCGTTGAACAACCTCAGAACATGAATAGACATTACGCGTCGAGAAAACAGCAATGGCATACAGCAAAATAAGAACTCTTTGGTGTCCAACTTACAATAAATAAATATTGAGCAAACAGTACATAGCGTTGCAGAGTGGATAAACGCAAAACAAACTTGCACAGGAAACAAATTAGAGCCTCCGTTGCTTATTGCATAAAAGAGGCGATATATGAAAAGGAATCCCGCAGGATATACTAAAGGACCAGTGTCTCCTCGGATTTGACTATAGTCACGCTTTCCCTCAAAAAATACTTGATAAACCTGTTGAAGGTATGTTTGGAAGTCTATCTCCGTAAATGGAACATAATAAATAACCCCAACTCCAACTAATAAGTCTAGAAAACAAAATAAAATAGCCAACTTCAACTTCATGGCCCAACCAACAACCACTTTTGATTCTTTCAAAGAAATCTTTTTATTGTCATAAAATGACGAGAGATTTGTCTTTGCAAGTATTCAAAGTTTTAAAGTCTCTATACAATTCGACAAGTCTTTCCTTATAAACGGCATGGAGCGAATCGATATCTTCTTTACTGGGGTTCTCTATGGCGTGCACGGTTATTGCCCTTCCAACCACAATCTATCTCTATGTTTACCCATCTCACACAAAGTAAACTAGCTCAACAACGAACCTGAAGTGGAGAACGTTCTGGCATACAAGTACAGTAACTTCCTAACGCTACACCAACAGGAAGCCTAAAATAATGTAAAAAAAATTGTTGCAAACGTTCTGGGACCAAACGAAAGAGTCTAAAAAGCTCTTCTTCACCAACAGCAAGCACAGGAACCAGATTGGATCCCGTTTCCAACGCTAACCTGATAAAACTACAAACTGCAGTTAGTCTTCGAAATAAGAAAGATACTTGCACAAACCCTTTCCGTTTCTCTAGCAGCACATAAATATTATCTCTTCTCGTTACAAATATTTCTTCACTGCCTCCTGGAAACACAAAAATACTAAAAGAGTTTAGTTGACGGAACGAGAAAACTGACAAAAAGAAAGAATACCTGTTCCCACTGTTCAAAGAAGTGAGAGCAGAATATCTACAAGCATCGATACCTCCCGACCACAACGTAAACTCTCTACAAACTGGCAAATAGAAAAGCGGTCTTGCTGCAAGTGCCCTTCTCTTCACGCAAAACAACAGAGAATCAAAAATAAAGTCATTAGTGACGATCTAACCAACCTACCTTTTCATGCTGTGGAAAGAGAGTCTCCCAAAGAAAACCATACAAAAGTATTCTACTAACCGCCATTACACCGTGCGGATGGCAACATACTATGATGGTATCACTTGAAGCAGTTTCATGTTCAACTTGTTGGTAAACAATAACAGGGAAGTATTCAAACACCAACTTCCACCAAGCTGAGCGACAAAAGGTTGAGCAAGGCAGTCCACTTCCATATTCTAATCTTCCAAACCAAGTCAATAAGTAAATGGCTTATTTTCAAGTAAGCAGTGTTAGGAAAGAGTTCAAATACAATGGCAACCAACCTGAAACTGTCAATATAACCCGGTTTCTTTGATATAAACCGAACCAAAGAAACCATAATATAGCAAAAAGTGACCAATAAAAGTGGTGAAATAATAGAAAGGTTGCAAAATCCGACAAAAACTTTCTCCGAAAAGAGGGCTTTGTCCTTGCAAAGTTAGTAACTTTCCAATAGTTCCCATAAGAATCTTTTGACCAAGTTGCGGAAAAAGGAGGTTTCTTGGTTGCACTTCCAATTTTACACCGTTCATGTGGACCCTCTGAAGACTTAGTTCTAAAGGTTATAAACCAAGTTGCCACAAGTCTTCTAAGAGTACCATGCATGACCATCAACGGATTTATTACAAATGAAAATGTCTCATGATTGATAAATAGGTCGAAAGGCACTGCTTGACAATGCAGGTTTCACCAGAACATATATTCCATCTCGATATCCAACTATTGTATCTGGGGTAGGGTTGGTATAAACCCTAACATACACATGAGGACAGTAGAGAACAGCTAAGAAAGATAAGTTACCAAGGAAGTATATTTTGTGCAGGATAGAATTTCGCCTCGAAAGCATCCATAGAAGCTGTGAAACAATATAAGCAACTTGAAATGATGAAAATGAAGCTATACCTGAACTACCAAGATGAAATTGTCTCTGAAACTTAGAAATGTCCGAAGAGAGTTCTTGTATAAAATTCTTTTGTGTTGACTCGAAAAGACTTGCAGAAATGGGAGCCTCGCCAGAACGATACAACGCAATAGGAATCATTCCAAAAGAAACGATTTCAGAGAATACCTTGGAATCATGAAGTGCAATCTTTCAATCTTGTTGCAACTTACCTTGTCATATCTCCATCCAACCCACTTGGAAGGAATGCCAATCATCCTCAACAAAGGTGTTGTAAGACTATCGTGGCTTGAGTATCTGTTAAAGCAGCTCATGAAAATATAAACCAACCTTCCTCCATTCCTTAAGCCTACCATCTCACACAGTAGTGAAACGACTCCACAATGCTCGTATTCACGACACAACAAAACATCAGGAAGCGAATCTAAAATGACTTCACCCGATGCGTATCTAAAAAAGAGGAAGATATGAAACTTAAACAAGCCCCATTTAGTCTCTACCTTTCCCTATACCAAGTCGCTGCAGAAGAAATGCCGAGTTCTATGTAATCATTCTCATCCTGCTTGGCTAATAAAGTTTTTAGATAACGAGGTCCCAGATTCACAATAGTCGAAGCAAATTGATGTCTACGATGTCTTTGTATTTCATCCGAATTGACGCCTTCTTCTGTCACTGTGGATGACTGCTCTTTCAGCTTTTGAGAATCTTTTGAATGCATTTTTACAAAATGACTCTCATTTGGTAACTATCAAGGGAGAACGCTATAAAGTGCAATGAAGCATGGAAAACATCACCAACCCCAAAATAAGAATATCTTCGACGAGGACGAGGAAGACCAAGGAATGCAATGGAATGTGAAATTTTGATTTCAATACAGATGTGAGTCTGATCATAGGAACCTACAAGTAAGGCAAAATACAATAAGAATCATAAGCGGGATGCTGGAAACAAATATTACCCAAAAGAAGCTCCAAGTTCAACAAAGTCATAACAACTTTTCGATCCAAGTTCTCTGTATTAATGCCAGAAAACAGGGAATCATCATTCGTTGAGTCTCCAAAGGAAAAAGATGAGTCACTCAATACAAGAACGTTTCTAGCCTATTGATTCGAATAAGTTATCTTCGACGAGAATCCACTAAAAGCCAACCCTAAAAATAGCAACATTCTCCAAACTTTTGAGATGTTCTGGTGACTCTGACAAAAAGTATGTCCTAGGAAATCTTTTGTGCAACGAGCTTATCTTATCCTCACTAATACTTGGATGAATGACGACAGTAAATGGCGGTTTGTTCACGGGAAATCCAAATAAAGGATCACCTTGACAAAGTGTTAGCGAATAAAATAAAAGTATAACTGGAGCCAACACTTCCTCACCGTACGAAAACAGGTAAATTCTCTCTAAAAGAAAAACAACATCTGACACAGCGGCTTCATCAAAGCCACAAATGACAATATGATCACGGAACTCTTTGATATCCACTCTATACGGAATGTGAACAAGATATAACCTTTTCATGTCTTTTGTTCTACATACTTATCTTCAGGAATGTCTTCAACCTTTTCCACCACGTCATATGCACTAAGTGATGTTACCGTAGTGTAAGAAAGAGGTTTGGCACTTTTCAACATCTTCAATTTCTCCTCAATCAAAGAAATCGTTTCAGCTTCCATTCTCTTAAATAAATGAAACTATGCAACATCTTATAACCACATTTTATAAAAAAAAACTTAGTTCATCTTGCCTGAGTTCTTGTTCCAATGACATATAAGTAGCTCCTCTCTGGTATGACTTTCTCCCAATATCCAATCTCTGCAGCAGTATCTACAACAAAAGGACTTGAATTTGCGTAAGAGATGCGTCGTTGTTACATACTATCTGTCGAAACTCCAATCAAAATCATTCCAGATAACTCGTAAATAGCCTTCAAACAAATACCAAATTTCTCGCCAATAAAAAAAGTTGGAGTTTCGGACATCAAAATTTCTAGAGACAGGACATTTGTATTCATAGCTATCGTAATTAAACTAGATTACCATTTCTTACTCCTCGTTTATACTCCCAAATCCATGGAAAGTCTTGAGATACATTGTTTGACCTACAATGTTTCAGAAACAGAAAAAATTATCAAGCAACAGACAAACTTCATAAAAAACAAAAGATTGGCTACAAGAGTAGATGCACCATCACAAACCACATTCAAGGACATGAGACTGCACAAAAATTCACGAGTACAGATACTACATCCTAACATTTCTGTGCCAGAAGAACTAAACTGATATGGAATAGAACCACTGGCTGCCATGTCTGCACTAATACTACGTTCTTCAAACTTTTCTAAGCAACAATCATTACAACATAGAGCAATTTACCATTGTCTGTCTGGTTTCCTTTCTGTGAGGAATGAGGATCACCTGACATGATTCCAGATGGTGAATCTCCAGATGCTGTCAAACAACTCTTTATGTGTATATGAAGGCCTCTATCCAACTAAATAAAACTGTAAAGCAGCGAATGAATTACACGTAGTAGAAGACTTACGAGAACTGCAAAAATAGGAACCTGGAATTCGTTCAGTCTTATCAATACAAAAAACAATTATCAAACATACCGTTGGATTTACGGCTCGAACTGCATGAATACGGATTACTTGCACCGAATCCTCAGCAAATCTATCACTAGAACCACCTGCCAAGAAAGCAAACACTGCACTTGCATCCTCTAACTATAACAACTTCAAAAAAAATCGTCTCAAAGTAGACATCGCCTACCTTTGCCCGGTGAAGATCACGAACTTCAGCGGCACTTCCTCTTAAAAAATGGACGTAATCTCTAATCTTTGACATTTGCAAAATTGCAAAATCTTCCTCTGACCAAGGTAGATATCTTGCCAATATCACAATATGAGTTGTAGCGTTAAGAGGAGAAGAATAAAAAGCAGCAGAAAAATGTTCGAAATCACCAAATTTATGACTAGGTACAAGTAACGCCATTTTCACATAAAGAATATGCAAATTACTTACCGTCCTACAACAATAACATGTCGAGTTCCTCTTCGTTTAATATATTCTCCAGAACCTAACTTTTGTTCCTAATATTCTTAGCTCAATCAAAGACCAAGCTTAATGACGCACTTGCATCACTTCCATCAGAGTTGACAATTTGGAAGCAAAGTAAACAGCCACAAAGAAGATGAGCAAAATTGTAGCCACTCTGTAAAAAGAACTTTAAAAAGATACTCTTCGGAAACATTGGTTTACTAACCTTGCAGGATAAGTGGTAGGAGTAATATCGCCATATCCAACAGTGCTTATCGTAACTACTACAAAATAAACTGAATTGAAGACATTCCATAAAGGTTCGCCTGCACTATTCACAATTTGCCAGCCATCAATTTCACCCATCATTTCGAGCTATATGAATATTTAGTAATAACAACAAAAGCCAATTCTATAGATGGATATCTCACTGAATAGACGGTACAAGCCGAAACAAATATAATCACAAACAAGTATAAAATCCAACAAAATACAAAAGGTCTTAAGGCAGAAACTTGCTTTGGCTTTTGTGTTTCTGGATCGTGACCACCAGGATAGTAAATCTTTACAAAGGCATAATAAAGATTAAAGGCTCGCAAATAATTGAAATTGATATACGAGACAAAAGCAATTCCAGACTAGTAGCAAATCAGAATAGTAACAGGATGAATATTTCATTCCCTACCGCTATAAGACTAGGTATACTATAGAGGTCAGCCAACGAGTCGATACGAAATACAAAGCCAAGTAAAGTGGAATCAAGAGAAATCAAATAGAATCGTAGAAGATAGTCCAATCCAAATATAATACCAAAAGCTACCTATAGTTTGGTGAGAATCAAAGAAACGTGATGTGTTCTGAAACTACCTCAAGCGCTCCTAAACCTTTCTGAAACCCGCTAGTGTAGCTGGAAGAAACATAAACTCCAACTGCTATGAAATTCAGCGCAAAACGAAGCAACTCAGGGATAATTCCAAGTCTAGCATAAAACTTTGTGGTAAATTTTGCTCTAAGAGCCTCCCAATTGCGCTCCAACTGATTACTCTGACTTTCCGTATCTGTGAAATGGTTATTACACGTAGGAAAGTTGTGGACAGTTTCCCCACCTCCGTCCAAGTTTCTAGAAACCTGGTAATCTACGTCAAGCTGCGAATACTGACTTAGTACGTTATTCATTTTACGTCCCACAGTCGGAAACTGAACACATCCAAGAGTCAATATAATGATACAGAATTCTCCTTTTGCAAGTCTCACCAGGTCCAGAAACCTCACAAACAAGGGCACACAGCAGAAGAACAACAAACATGCAGTTCCAAACAAAAGAAGCCATCCGAGTTGAGCCCAGTCTGGACTAGGATATCTGCAAAGGTCTGTTATCCTAATGCTGATAAGTTCTTTAAAAAGTTCTTACTTTAGAAAGAAACTCATAGGAATGAAGCAAATTCCACGAAATTGCAATCGCACATGCCAACTTGAAAAGCTTTCTCTTCTGATAGAAATCAAAAATGTATTAAACGACTTAGTCTTGAAAAGAAGAATCTTCGTATCGCTTTATACACAAATGCTAGACTTTACAAAATGGTGGCCAAGTGACCAACGATAGTTATCCGAATAAGGTCCACATGAGAAGTTATTCAGACGGATTTGTATGATGATGGATCAAGAACAATCACACCAGCGAGGTCAAGAACATGACTTATTTGATAGAAAACCGTACAGTTTTATCTGCAACTTCTGTTTCCAAAAGGAACTATTTCTTAAAGATATTCCAACAAACAACAAGAAAACATATCGGGACTGTACAACAACTGTGGAAAATAGAGCTTATTGGAACAAAGCAACAACTCCACCTTACTTTTCACGAAGGTTTAGAAAGACAGAATTAAGTTTGAACCGAAGAAATGGCAATATTCGGAATACTCACTCTTATTTTTGGATGCTCTTTGTAAAAGAAAACGAAGCCAACTTGAGTTCAGGGGAAACAAGTTTACTGACCAACTACTTTATTCTGTTGGGACCTCCTGCTAGTGGAAAGAGTACCATCGCTTCTCTTCTTTCCCATTTGCTAGGAATGGTACATATCTCCTCAGGAGACTTGATCAAAGCACACTATTCTCAACAGACACCCATTGGGAAACGAGTAGGTCCATATGTGGAAAAGCAACTAGTGCCCCCCGATGATGTAGTTATTCCTTGTATATTAGAACGATTGCGTATGCAGGATTGCAAAGAGTTGGGTTTCATTTTGGATGGGTTTCCTCGAACAGGTATTTATAGTCGTTAACAACAGTTACCTTCTCGTCTTAACGAAAACTTATAAGTTGGTCAGGCAGAGGCTCTTCTTAGTGAAGGAATAAGACCTCAAAAAGTGTTTCGCTTGAAAGCAAGCTTCGACGTGTTGAAACAGAGACTAATTGGTAGAAAGTCGGATCCGGAGACCGAAAGAGTTTATCACAAGAGATTCTTTAGACCAGTAAGTTCAATAATGTGGAAAGAGGTCCAGTGATAACTTGGTTAAGGTCAGTACAGAAGTTTACGAGCGCTTGGTGTCCGTTTCTAGTGAAACTTTTGAACAAGAATATAATGATTATTGCACTTATATGGACTCTATTACTGAAATATTTAAACAGTATCTAATTGAAGTTGATGCTGAAAGGCCTCCTCTTGATGTACTTAAAGAAATTGTGGATAGAATAATTATGTTGGAGAATAATAATAACGTGCCGGAATTGGATTGGTGTAATATGAATGTTGAAGATATATTTGAATATCGGATATCTCATTCTGCCATATCGCAAAAGAAACATACAACGGAACAAGAGAAACAGAATTCGTACACTAATGATAATACTTTATCTGGGCATCCATCACTAGTGTCTAGAAGAATACGCACAAAACTAAACTTTTCAAAAGAGCAACTGATAGGTGATAAGGTCAAGGCCCAAGTTTCTCTTATAAGATGCGATGGCTTTGTCTGCGAAAGAGAAACTGTTGAAGAAAGTAATATTATGTTTCGAAGTCCAGCAACAGAACAAGTCATGTTAGTATGGAACGAGAGGCCAAAGACATGTTTGGTTTTAGCCAAAAAAGATCCCGCTCTTTTTCACCAAACAATACTAGCAGTTCAGTATCTTAAGAAGCAAAAACTTCAAGTCATCGTGGAAAGTTTCCTACAGCCTGAAATACTGGCAAATGGTATTTATGTTGACAGCACCAGTACGATGGGTCCTCTTGACAAGATTGTCGACTTTGTTATTTGTTTAGGCGGTGACGGGATCATTCTTCATGCTTCAACTCTATTTAAAACAGCTATGCCTCCTGTCGTTTGTTTTAACCTGGGAAGCTTAGGTTTCCTAACTCCATTTGAATTTGACTCTTTTGAAGAAGAAATTTCCTCCATCTTGGAAGGAAGAGAATGTCTACTCAGTCTTCGCATGCGACTATTATGTACATTGCTTAAAAAAGGCTATCCCAAAAAGGAATTCCAAATATTAAATGAAGTAGTAGTTGATCGAGGAGCTTCTCCGTATCTTTGTAACTTGGATTGTTTTTGTGATAACAAGTATATCACTACTGTTCAAGCTGATGGCATTATTATGTCTACGCCAACAGGATCCACAGCCTATTCTATGAGTGCTGGAGGTTCTATGGTGCATCCTTCCGTTCCAGCAATTTTATTTACTCCAGTAAGTCTTATATTTACGCTCAAAGTGGTTCTGTGAATACAATACACTTTAGATATGTCCTCATAGCCTTTCCTTTCGCCCTATAATCTTTCCAGATTCTGTTCAGTTACGAGTGGATATTTCTGAAAACGCTCGAAGTCATTCTTGGGCATCTTTTGATGGTAAATTTCGTCAACAACTCAAGTAAGTTTTCTTTCTAATGACTTTAAAGAAACCCACACTTTCTGTTAGACGAGGTGAAGGCCTATTGATTCGTATGTCGCCTTATCCATTTCCGACAATCAACAAAACAGACCATACTGGTGACTGGTTTGCAGGACTGGACCGTTCATTCCACTTTAATAACAGAACCATTCAGAAACCACTCAAGTATCACTGAGCCTCATCATCTTGTACCGCTGTAAGTTGTTCTTGTATGGACTGCGAATCATCTTTTGATGATACGACTTGATTCAGTAATGTAGGATCCTTGGATAAAATTGGGGTTTGTTGAGTTCGGGAAAACATATACCATAAAATGCCCATTTGACAAACAACAAATCCTACTACGTTCACAATGCTCAAACGATCATGAAACCATATTGCACCTCCAACAATAGTTGTCTAGAGAACAACATTTGTAAATATTAACCGTTTCTGAAAGAAAGTCGTTCGAATTCTTACCCCTTCTTTAAATACTGCAGCAACTGCCATAGCCAGTGAAGAGGTCCTTCTTACCAATAAATATTCCACAATCAACAATAGGAAAACAAAAGTAGAAATGAGCAACAATATCAGTATCATATAGGCAACTTGACTAGACGCTGTATTTGTCAGATAGGCTACAAAAGACTTGCCTTCCAAACCAACAACAAATGGAAATAACACCAGTGCTGTCAAAGGAGCACTAAAACTACGTAAGCTTCTATTCAGAAAAACAACTCTGCACTTACGTATAATATGTTAGTTCAAGAGCAGAAACTCTGTGTTCGTCTCCTCTCCTTTGTAATAAAATCTGCATAAGGCACCAACGAAAACCACCTGCAGCAACAGCAGTAAGTTGTAGGATGATTCCTAGTGTATTTCCAGCGTAATTGCCAACGGAAGTTAACGCAAGTCCCTGATTCAATAATAAGAAAGAATTTCATAGAAGAAAATAAACCCTACCAAACAAATCAAACCAATGGAGAAGAACAGGTTCAACTTAAAAACTTCGGTACCAAGTAGCAGACCCCAAAACATAACAAAAAGTGGTGCAGAACCCTTTAAAAGTGTAGAAAGCGCAACGGATAGTAGCGACAAGGCAATGTTGGAAAGTCCAATTTCTAGAGCGATACCCACTGAAACTGGAAAAAAAGAATACAACAACCGTTCCTTCGAGCAGTGTGGAATATTGTTCACAACAAACCTTTTCTCGTGAGAAACAGCGCAGAGTTGAAGGAAAACTTACCTTATAAATAGAAAAGACCAAACGAAAGCACCCAAGTTGTTTGTTGTAGTGATCAACAGAGGAAACTCGAAACCAGGAACCTCAGAAACGGCCCACTTTGTCAAAAGTATGATAGTCGTGCTGATTCCATACCAAGAAACAACCAATAAAAGGGTCAGAGAGTGAAACTTCCAGTTCGCCATAAAGTATTGAATGTTCTCCATCACTTCATTTCCTTCTGAGTAGTTCGTTCTCATCGATGTTCTTGAAATATTCCTTTCAGTATTGTAGAAAAGTGTTGTAATTTCTCGGTTGAAAAGTAAACAGAGAATGATCATCAACATGGTCGTCTTGAAATGTACTGTTTGAAAAAGTTGATGTGACTGAAAGTATTGACAAGCAGCATAACATTACTTGCTAAAAATCCACACAGAGTCTTTACGTGTAGTTCAAGTCCTTTGATGAATAGTATGAACTGGTTGAAAATGTCTTAGCTGCAATGAAATCTCATTGACTTTTATGAAAACAGAATTGCAACAACAGCAGCCAGAGTATCACAGTGGGAATATGAACATTTGAAGGAGATCCAAGGAAAATATAAAGTATTCAACAGGAATGTGTCATATTCTTCAAAACTCAATGCCACTTTATTAAAAGAGAATTTCTACATTTCTCCTTCGCAATGCACATATGGTTGAACAAGATATCTTCCGAGAGGGTAACTTGGAAACATCCACAAATCTCAAGTTTCTACATTGTTTAAGCAATTCTTCAACTACTGTATCAGATATATTATGACAAGATGAGATATCAAGACTCGTTAGTCGTTCCCTCAAAACAATGTTATCGACAATAAACTGTACAAAAGAATCCCGAATACGAGAACAACGTGAAGCTTGAATACTATTGATTCTGGGACACGACCGCATCAATTCACACAGACCGTCATCTGATACTTTCGTTTCAGATAACCTTGGATATCTTGTAAGAAACATAAAGTGATTCATCAAAAAAAACCTACCCTATTTCTTGTAACATATTACAGCGCGATGCGATGGAAAATAAAGAACGACTACCAACATTTGGACACCAGGAAAGATCAAGCTTCTCTATCATTTGCAATCGTTGGGAAAGTATATCTACCACTTCATCGTCAACGTCGGAGATACCTTGCAATTTTAAAACTGAAAGATATTTACAATTTAACTGAAACAAGACTTCTCGATTGCAACTAGTAAAAGAAAGATCCACAACTCTAAGACTGTGCAAGCTCTCAAATATGCTCGGTAAATACACAGCAGAAATACGACGAGTGTGAGACATAAGCAAGGTCTTCAATTTCAACAACTTTGAAAGCTTCTCTGTAATAGACTCATCCAACTCTGTACACCATCGAATATCCAAATGTTCCGTTGTATCTTCTAAAGTACATTCGAAAAGTCGCAGAATACTTCGACTACTTAACCGATGACATTTGGAGAGAATAATTTGTTCGAACCTCGCTTTAAACGGTAAAAATGACGAGCTCAAGAAAGACAGTAACATGTTGTCGTCCAGATATCTACAATTTCCGAAATCAAGTTTTGGAAACAAGAGATTACTCGAGAAAATTTCTCGAAAACTCCTACAAGTTCGACGTAAACGAACAATATCCAAAAAATCAGTAAGAAAGCTGCATATGTGAAAAAGTAAGTCTTTTGGGAGAGTATTAAACCCACAAAAACTGCCTTGCTTCACAAACTTTCCACAGCTGGCTATACAGTTTCCGCTGCAACGATGTAAATTCCAGTCATCCGCTCTCTTTCTCTTCAAACAAGCTCTTTTCGAACGACAGCCCACTTTGTTAGTGGAACACGAACCAAGTTTCCTTCCACTCCTCAAAACCATCTCTATACCCTTCTCATTCGAAGACAACCTTTGTAACAGTACAGATATTCAGACTAAAAGTCACAAAAAGTCTTATACTTACTCAGAAAAGATGTTTCCTCTTGCTTTTCTTAGCTCCGCTGCTAGATGAGTCATTCGCCGGTAATCTTCTTCGTCAATGATACAAATAGTCTTTGTAGAGTTGTTAATGATTGGAACCTCTGACGACAGAGTGTGTGCCATCCTCACTATTTCCTCGTGTCTTTCCCTTTCTGCCTTTAAGGACAACCAATCATAACACAACCAATACCGCCAAATACTCTCTGACCACGTGCAAATCCTTTTAAATCGACTCCGATGGAGAAAGCATCAAAGGAAGGAATGAACCGTCAGCGTCATCAACGTGGCCAGTCGAGAAGTTTGCCTGTGGTAGAGAGGTTTGAGGATAAGTCTAGACATGATAGCATCGAAGGAAATGTTCAGAAAGGGAACGTTAAGCTATTTCTCTACGACTTTCAGCAATGTGATGCGAAACGTTGCACAGGTAGGAAACTGTTGAGATTCGGCCTTGTTTCGAGTCTTGAAGTACATCGAGCCTTTCGTGGTATTATACTAAGTCCTGAGGGCTCAACAGCTTTCTCCCCACAAGACGCAGAAATTGTACTAAAACACGGCCTGGCTGCGATCGACTGTTCGTGGGCGAAACTTGACGAAGTACCCTTTGCAAAACTTAGTAAGGCACAACCCAGACTTCTTCCGTTCCTTATTGCTGCAAACCCTACAAAGTATGGAAAGCCCCTACAATTGAGCTGTGTAGAGGCGTTTGCTGCTGCATTGACTATTATGCACAGAAGAGCTGAGGCAGAAAGACTGCTCGAAAAGTTTGGTTGGGGCAATTCTTTTTGGCAAGTAAATCAGTCCTATTTATCGGCATATGAGGCTTGCTCTACAAGTACCGAAATTGTAAACGTTCAGTTTAAGATTTTAGAGGAGCTGAATAAAAAGAATAGAGCATCAAGAACAGACGAGTTGAATACATCTGAAGAGGATAATGATGATGATCCTTTTTTATCAGGAAATCCCAATTACAGCACACAAAAAGCAAGTTTTAGGATGTCGGAAGATTTTGAACTGGAGGATTGTACAAGTAGCTTGGAGATTTCGACAGTTAATGAAGTCTCGTAATATGTAGCAAGCTTGAAGGCTGTTGATTGTGTTGCCAAATAGTTGAAAATGAAACCTACGGTCCTCATTGTGACATTTTACTTGAAAAGAGTGATCTTTGGTTGTCATTTAGTTTCTTATTTGTTCAATATCTAATGTTTATTATGAAATGAAGAGGATATCGTCCTTACGTGGCCTATGAATGATACTGTTCTTGGGAAACAGGTGAGAATTAGAAGTATCCTGAAGATTCATTATCAACAGCATGTGCACGTAGTAACTACTTGAATAAATCGTCAAAGTTCTTTTCATCTTTTTTGAATTTGGACAAACAAGGATTTCGCTTTTCTTCAATGGATGAATTTTTTTTGTCTTCGGGGAAACACGTTGATAAAGAACATCTCACAACTTCCTTAACAACGAACCTGACATCCACGTAAAGTAAGTTTGTAGTTTCTGCTCAACGACCATTTACAAAAAATGAAAGGAGTTTTACCACATTTTACTAATCTGCACATTTCTTTATTAGTAACAAGTAAGAATCAATGACAATGCCTGCCCACGTATATGGCTTTTCCATTTCTGGTTATCCTGAAATTCGGATCTCTTATAAGGCCTCGGGGAATCACTATCTCACGATATGCTGCGCTACATTGATATCCAACTCGATGAGGTATATGACTGGCAAACAGTCCCCATTTATCACCACTACCGTATGTTTTAGCAACTTGAACAAACAGGTCGACTTCCTCTTCACTCCATTCACCATACTTTTGTTCTTCTCCAGGGCAAGTATGTCGATAGAAATAGGCATTTGGGTTCTTATAAATCATTTTTCTCGCCCATTCCTTTGCACTTGATCGAGTTTTGGTATCTTTCTTTATGGACTTTGTATCCATATGACCATAAGGATTCCTATATGAAAATTTTCCTCCTCCATTTGACTCCCATGCTTCACTTGCGGAAGAAGCTATTCCTAATGACTGACGGACGTCCTCATTAACCCAACCACGATAGTGACCTATTCATCGTTAGCGATTTTTGTTCGTTCTGTATAGACTTGCACACCGTCTACCCAAGGACCTGGTTGAATGTTGTTCATATCGCACCAAGTATCTAGGTCTATGAGAGCGTCTGCCTCATCTTCCTCCATGTGAACAGTACAATTCTCCTCATGATTCTCAGATATCTCCTTCTCCTTGGATTCTAATCTCTCGCTCTTCAGCTCTTTGTTTCGCGTGCTTCTTCTTTTTGGAAGATATGACTCTAGTCCAATTGTATGTCTCTTAGCATCTGACTTGGTAACAATGGATAAGGCGGAGGGTTCAGACCGTTTCAATTCTCTACAAGGTGCAACTGCGTTCAACCCAAGTCTAAGAAGGATCTCCTCATTCTTCTTTATATTCTCGAGTCGTCTCTTCTCGTATTCCGAGGCAGAACTCATTTGCTTGCAACGATCAAATTAACTTTTGGAAATTTAAAATGAGCGCCATTTTTTGGGGGAAGTGGAGAATCTTTAACTCAATCATGAAACAGAAAAACTTGAAAGTTTTATTCAAACTTTTCTTCATAACAGAAACATAGGGTCTTCCACCATATTTCGTCTGCAACTAAAAGTAATTTTTCCAAGATTCAAATAGCATACTTCACCTTGTTATGCTAAGACAATAAACCATTTAATTGGTATGTACCACCCTATAGTAAAACCATCATAAAAAACAACCAAAGAATATACAATGTCCAGTATTTCTCTCATAAAGAAACATATCTTCATTTTTGGACCATGGTCAGTCTCGAACAACAGCCCTCAGTGATGGAAACCTTTCATAGGGGACCAACAACTGCCTAACGTTGTTAAAAAGTTAAGCTTCAGTACTATCCTCTTCCCCTCCGTTCATATTGTTGTCTTGCTGTTCACAAGATAACGCGGTATTGGAATTCTCAGCATCTGAAAGTATCTCTGTTTCTGTAGAAGAACAAGAGCTTTCACCATCCGCAGCTTGCCAGTCTGAGTTCCTTTGTTTCCGAAGGTACAATAAATTGGAAGTAAATACACCTTCCCCTTCCGCAACACGACTAACGACATGGAATAGTTTTTCAAAAGCTTGGCAAAACTTTTCAAAACTGTTATAAGTAGGGTTCAGTAGAAGTTCACATATTCTTTGGACGGTAAAAGGAGCTCGTTGACAATCTTTCACCATAGTCTCCAACTCAGTATACAACTTGGTTGAATCCGCTTCTACAGTTTCCTTTTCCGTGTATTTCATATGAACACTTTTCAACACTTGAACAATATAGGTTTTCAACTCTTCCCAGGCGCTACATAGCCTCCCTTCAGTAGCTACTTGGTGTAAAAGCTCTTCTGCTCTATCCTCGGAGTTGCATGTCATGTGTGGACCAAACACATTTTCGTTGAATAATTTGTTGTTCGTTCCTTTGTACTGTCACAGAAAGACTTGGCTAGATATGACACGACACTCGAAACACAGTTATGACTCAGCTGTATTTTCTTATCATGAGAAGAAGAAAATGGGTTATGGTTCAAAGACCGTTGTATTAAGTTCAGAAACGATACGACCTTTTGACTGTTGTTGTCTCTCCTTGCAACCCAGTAAGGACCCAGTGGTTCGTTGAGTCTGTGCTTTTCTGTTTGAAGTTTTTAAGAAGTTTGTAGGTAACGCCTGAAGGTTTTTTGTATGACCGAGAAGCAATACTAGAACACCTTCTTAATCAAAAGAGAAGTTTAAAAAAGGTTGAAGAGAATGAAAGAAAACGTAAGCTAGCCTCGAAGCTCCAAAAAGAGCGACTTGAGCAGGAAGAACAACGCGAAAGAATTGAGGAATTTGAGAGGAAAGCTCGTGGCCTTAGCAACACTGTGAAGAAGCCCAAGCTTAGTGATTCTTTTGAAGGAAAAGACTTTGGTTCAAGCAATTGTTGGTTGCCAGAAAGTAAAGTTGGGCAGAAAGAAGAGATTGTTGTAGACGGAGAAAAGGGTGCGTCAATCAAGTATACTTGTTGTCCTATGAGTGGAAAACCCTTAAAGGCAAAGGATCTGATCACTGTCAAATTCACTCTTGCCGCAGAGAAAGAACAACACCGAGTCATTGAGAAATATGGAAAGAATGAGTGGCAGTATATGTGTCCCGTTTGTTATGTTGGACTTTCGAATGCAGTGAAGTGTGCTGTATTGAGAGATAGTGGGGACGTTATTTGTGCCGAATGTGTGGAACGGTTTGCAAAACGTGATTCAAAAAACCCTGTGACAGACTCTTATATTGATCCAATTAGAGACGTCATCTTTTTGCAAACAGAGGGAACGGGATATGCAGCTACAAGTTTGAACAAACTGGAACAAAGGAAAGTTGCACCAGCAGCTAGAGTCTGATGCGATTATATGCAAATGAACATTTCAAGTTTTTAAGTGTACAGTTGTGTTTCAGTAACAGTCATTTTGGTGACTTGTACGAGTAGTTTGTCGAACTGATGAGTGTCCATTTATAGGCAGTTTATTTTGCGCATCTTGTAGTAGTTGTCGAGTGTGTTGTTCCAACGATATACTTATGCTTCAGAGTGTCTTTAGGAACGATATTGTTTTTCATCAAATCATTACGCAACGTGTATTCATAACTCGAAAGAATTGCCAAATGATGTCTTCATTGTTGGTAGTTGAGCGTTATTTGAAGTACTTTATGCTTGTTGTTTTGATGGAAAGGAAATAGCATTAATATCAAATATGGCTATTGGTTTGTTTTTTATGGCAATATGACTATTGTCTAAAGAATAATACTTCATTAACAATCGCTCGCAACTTTACCTATAACAGCAAGGTAACCTGTTTCAAGATTTGTGATTTCTTTGTAATCCTTTTTTGTGGTTTTGATATTACAGATATTCTCATGTTTGTGTCATATGAAAGTCTATGACGCTCGGATGAATCCTTACAACAAAATTACCTCCTATGAAGACTATGCTTAAAAGATTCGAAACCATCCCAGACTTAATAGTTTCTAATGGCAACGAGATATTATATTCATTTCAATATGAGAGTATTTAAGCTCAATTTGTGAATAAATTGTTTATTTTTGGACAATTTAGAAGAATCATGTGAAGTTGGGACTCATCTCGGATTTTGCTATTCTTGGAATGAGCATTTGCAAGAGATGTGGCTTCGTTTCTCCGTATTATTGGAGTTTCGAAGGTCGAAGGTATCACTTGGCTTCCTCGAGACATTCATCTCTTTACGGAAGCAGTATTATTCGAAAACAACTTTTTAGAGTTAAACTATCTGTTAGCACTTTTCGTGGCAAACTGAGTTGCACTATAGAAAGCTTGAAGCCCACTCAAGTTCCTTTGAAATATATTCCTGTAGTTGACGAATTTCAAAAAGCTATTTTGGTAAATATATTACAGTGTGTTTGTGTGCTTGCACTTAAGTGTTGTTTAGAAAGTTTTCAGAGATAGTAGTTCAGAGTCACTTGAACAACTCCTTGCAGAAGACTGTGTTTGGAAGAATTGCATAAAGACAGTAAAGGGAAAACACGAAATTATTGATGTATTTACAAGATTGGTATCGTTTTTTGTTGAACCTTCAATATATCTAGCTGAGACTTGGGACGAAAAGCTGAAACTTTCCAGTGAGGCCAACTTGACAGCTGTTCTGCAGTGGACGATTTCCGCCACTTGGCCCATTTTTTGGAAGCCAGTTGCTGTATATTCTGGCTATTCTTTATTATTGTGCAACCAGCAAGGCCTTGTCACATATATCGAAGATTTTCCAAGTAATCCACCATGGAAAATTCTTTGGAATGTGTTGTATTCTATTCGGTATATATATTTTGCAGTTGTAGCTGATCCTCCAGAAAGTGTTTGCAGTAATAGAAAGTTAATCCAATGGAATGGAAGATATACATTATGGGAAGAAGTCTCACATATTAGATGGGAGTACACTAGTAACGAGATAGAATCCTTGGAGGGTGTATTTTCTTGTTTACCTGTTCTTCCAGCTGAAATATTTACCGATAAGTTTACTCGCAATGAGACCATACTTTGGACCACGCCTCTTTTCTTCCGCATTGATGTTGATTCGTCGCCTAAAGAGATGACCTGGAGTTTTCCTTATCCCATTCGCTTCGCAATGAGTCACTCTGATATGCAACCTGGTGTGAAAAGGAGACAAATAGCTGCTGGGAGGAGAGTTGCTTCCAAAGCATGGTTCGGGGATATTACTAGAAATCAATTATACAACCTTGTTGAAGATTTCGTTAAATGTTTGGTAAGTGTTTTACGAAAGATGGGTATTCGTTGACTCAAGTAATGATAGAAAATGGATGGTTTATTAAATGAATCACGTTCGACGAACCATTTAGAAATTTGGTGGGAAAGTCCAAATTGTTATTTAGGTTTTAATCGTTCTGGTCAACTCACTTTGGCCATGTATCGAACTGGGTTTGTTCGTACAAGCTTCATTACTTGTTATCTTCCGTACGAGTAAATACAGAAGTTATCTTTGTTGTTAAGAAGCTATAACCATTTTGTCAAAATGCAGCCTTTGCAAAGTCGTGTTCTTCAGACCATCGAAGCGCACTCTTCCCGAGTAGAAAATTCCTTGCGAGAAGAAAGAAGACAGTTGGAAAGTGACCAAATGGTGGAAGGTTCCGTTTTGTTTTACGAGAAACGTGAGACTTCTGATATTGTTTTGTCCGAAGCAAGAAAAGTACTTGCCGCGTTGAGAAGAAACCCACGTTTCGCCCAACCTGGTGTGGCTGATCTTTCCAATGGTTCAGTTTATTTATTAGGTTCTACTTTTGGAGGAGTTAACAAAAGTGGGGACGAAACTCGATTGGTAAAAAATATAAAACTCTTGAGGAACGCTTTCGCAAGTGAGTCTTGGCCAAAGGATCCAAGAAGTGTATTTAAGCCTTTTGTCGACCTCTTGAGAACAGAGGACCTTCCAGGAAATATTATTTCTACGGTTTTATCGTCTTTGAGCAGATTGATTGTTTATCGTGTTCCTACAGCACTTGTCAAACTATCAGGGAACTTATGTTGGGAGGAGGCAGCAAAGGCAGTCGAGGACATCGTGGAGACTGTTTCAGCTTTGCGGTTTGGTGGCTTTGATTCGAGTACGGAAGAAGTTATGATGAGTCGTATTTGTGAGTTGATGGCCCATTGTGTGAATAGCCCAGAAGGTGAATACTTGTCTAATGAGGCTTTGGTACACTGTATCGAAACATTTCTTCGGGTCTGTTCTCCAAGAGGAAAGAAACGCTCAGAATGTTCACGAAAAGTTGCAGAGTCATATTTAAGAACCGTAATCAGTCACATATTTTCAAGAGCTTCCTTTCTGGTTCACGAAAGCGCATTGGAATACAACAATACGAGAGAAGCCAAGCCTTTAGATACTTTTACAAATGGCAACAAAGAGGAACAAACTTTAACAAAACAGAATCGTAGTCCTACAGCTACGGAAGAAAGGTCGACATATATCAATCCTCCTCACATGCGATACAACTATCGATCGCTTGCCTGGTTTTTATCTCTTGGTGCACGTATGGTTGACCCAGTGATAACTCAAAACATTGAGGAACGCTTAATTGGATTGCAATTGCTGGAAATCGCTTTGCATTCTGCTCCGAGAGGTTCCTTAGCCCAGATGCCATCTCTTAGGAGGATTCTCTTGAGGGATGTTTGTCGAGCATTATTGCGATGTTTAGGAATGTTGAATGATCCATCAACAGTGATAACCTCATCATTTAGTACAGTTCTTTGTCTGATTAGTACCTTGGGTCCCTATTCCACTCCTTTGGTTCAGATGATTCTTATTCGTATTGCACGCTCGTTTCTATTCAAAGAAGAAAATGAAGAAGGAAATGGCTACAATAATGTTCATCCAACAATTAGTCCAGTGACCAGAGAGATTGCTCTCGACTCTCTTGCCGCGTTGTTACAAAAACAAGGCTTTTTATCTGCAGCTTATGCAATTTTAGACTGTCAATTGAATGAATCAGACGCCGTTCAACCACTTTTAGAAGCACTTTCAGAAGAAACTGTTTTAACGGAGGATGGCTTTTTGTCTGCAACTGGTTACATCAGCTTTGAAATATTTTTAACTTGCATGGACACTCTTGCAACTCGTTCCTTTGTTCCTGATGACTCTGATATCGACCGTATTTTTGGATGGGTCCATCGAGTTCCAGATATATCTATAGAGCAGATGCGTGCAAAGAAAAGGTTAAAAAGGAGAATTGACGAACTAGTGAAAGAATTCAATTCGGTCGGACCCTTCACAAGTGGGATGCAGGTAATCGATCTTATTCGTAAACGTGATTTGCTTGCGCAAGTATCAATGTCGAGTTCTCCCAAAAGCTCGGCTAGTCCTCCATCGTCTCCCAGTAGATTCTCTCCAAGGTCTCCAATACTTTCAAGCTTCCACGATATCGATGGAAACAAGGCTGCTGCTGCTTTTTTGCGGTTTACTCCAGGACTCAACAAAACCACTATTGGAGCATGTTTGGGGGAACCAGATGAAGTTTCCATAAAAATCTTGAAGAATTATGTTAGACTCTTTGATTTCAAAAATAGGCCTTTCACGACAAGTCTTCGTGTTTTCCTCGAATCCTTTCGACTACCAGGAGAAGCACAGAAGATTGACAGAATCTTGCAATCCTTTTCTGAACATTTCTATGAACAAAATAAGAGCAGTACACCATTCAACTCAGCAGATGCGGCGCATGTTTTGGCCTTTGCTTGTATTATGTTGAATACTGATCAACATAATTCTTCGATAAAAAAGAAGATGACTTTGGAAGAGTTTATATCCAACAGTCGTGGAATCAATGATGGACATGACCTTCCGAGAGAGTTCTTAAGAGAAGTTTATGCAAATATTTCCAGTGTAGAGATCAGAATGAGTGATGAATCAGGTTTGCATGCATTGACAGAAGATCATTGGGATGAACAGTTGAGAAAGATGGGTATTGATCCGGAAAGTGGTGAAAGTAACAATATGTTGGCGTTTCCTTCACCTGCGAAAGCCAAGGAATTTGATGAAGATGTCTTCTTGATAGCTTGGAAGCCCATGTTGACTGCAACTTGTAGGGCACTTGGAGCAGCGAAGGATGGTGATGAAGTCCAATCTGCTATCGAAGGCTTTTTAGGAATTGCTCGCCTTGCAACAGTATTTAGACAGTCTGAACCTGTTGACCAAGTCATAATTGGACTGTCTTCAGCATCCAAACTTCGCCAAGGGGATTTACGTCTTTGTTTTCTTTCGTTTGGCTTAAGTATCAATTGTCAAATGGCAACCGTCGCATTGTATGGAATCGCACGTCAGTGTGGGGATTGCATTCGAGAAAGTGGCTGGGAAGCTTTACTAACTTGCACGATGAGATTGCATATCTTGAAACTTCTTCCGTCGAACTTGGAACATCTTTTATTCAGTGATGGAGAAGAACTCGTTGACTTGGATGGAAATCCATTACCAGCAAGTAATATTATTCCTTACTGGTGGCCAGGCTACTATGATTCCAGTCATTCAGCAGCGTCAAATGAAAGTCCTTGTCAACATTCCAGCTCTGGCTCTTCACCCTTATCAGGAAATAATACGAGTAAACTTTCATCTGTACTTAGTGCCTTTGGTGGTTTGTTTGGCTTTGGAGGAGATGATTCCAGTGACGAAGAAATGGATGGGAGCAGTCTTCAAGTTCCTGAATTTCTTGTTCGTACTTCCAAAGAAGAGATGGAAGCAGAGAAACTTGGTAAGAAATGTATCGGAGACTGTAGAATAGACGAAATTTTTATTAATGAGAGTCGATTTCTCCGGGCAGAATCAATCGTTGCATTGATGAAAGGATTGGTCAGTATCAGCAACCAACTGCTTGCACCTTGTAATGAAAGTACTGTCTCTCGACAATCTTGTGACAAAGATGATTCACAGAATAAAACAACTGCCGATAGCGGTAAAGTTGGTGACAGTGGAAACGGTAATATGAAGGACTGGGAAACCCTTAAGGTGGTTACAAAGGACGAGTTTGTTTCTCGACAGTGCGGAGTTTCATTTTGTATCGACTTGATGCGTGAAATATTATTAAGGAATCGAGACCGTTTGTTTCTTCTCTGGCCTTATTGCTATGAAGTTGTAGAGAAAGTATTGAATCCTTTGACGGAACCGTGTCCTTCACTTGTAAGAGCTACTGTGACCCTTTTACGTATCGTTATTCGCTATGGGCATCGAGAGGAACTTTCCATGGAGATTTTTCGCTGCCTTAATCTTTTCGTGAAGTTGGAATCAAGAAGCTTTGAGTCTGTATCGGAGCGTATTGCTGCAGGCTTATATCATATTTGTCGAATTCACGTTGCACAAATCGAATGTACTTCGAGTTGGCACACTCTCTTATCTCTTTTGGAGAATCTCGCACGATGTTCTTCTCCAGCAAATATATTTGGGTTTGAAACTATCGCATTTCTTTTAGAATCAAAGGAGAAGCGGATCAATCATGAAACATTTGCTCCTTGGCTCGATGCGATTTTGGCTTATACTGAAGCACCCATTCCAATTGCTGTGAGAGCAGTTGAATGCCTTTATATTTTAGCTGGATGTCTTCCGAGTATCCTTAGTGATTTCAAAGATTCCTGCAACTATGCAGAACCCTTTTGCACTGACGATACTGGAGTGTCAGATGTAACGTCAACATTTGATAACGTGAAAAGCAAAGCGTGGAATGAGTTTTGGTCACCTTTGTTGAGTGCTTATTGTTGTCTCTGCTTGGATGACAGATCAGAAGTTCGCAATCAAGCATTCCTTTCTTTTGAAAAGTTACTTACCACAGCGCAAAGGTTACAAGACTTGTGTGGTAAAGATTGGAACTGCTTGTTTTATGATCTTTTGTTGCCACTTTCTTGTGATTTGGTTGTGCAAAGAAAATTCATTCAAAGTGTGGCTAGTGGAGATAGACTATCGAGAAAAGTTCAAGCCAAAGTCCCAACTTTGGTTTCCAAAATGTTTCTTCTTTATCACGGAACTCTCAGTCAACTGCTAAGTGCTGAAGAATTTGAACGACTGTGGCTCGAAATACTTTCCAACTTGAACTGGATTTTAAAGCAGCGAGTTGATGATGATATGTTGGCTGATCAAATACATGAGGCTACTAAGAACTTGGTATTGGTTCTTTATGCAGACGGTACTATATCTCCAAGCGAAAATGAAGATTCGTTGTGGAAAAAGACACTTGCCGTAACTACAGGAGTAGTTCCGGATATCGAAAGCCATATAAAGCAACGAAGTCGAGCGCAATCCTTGGAAGAATCGACCAGGATGCTTGATTCTGAGAACTAAGATTGCTGGGACGGGTGTATGTCAAGAAGTCCGCGAACCTTTTGTAAATTGGATAAAAAGGACGAAAGTTGTTCATTGATACGGGACCATTCTTGCATGTTTTCTGACTGCGACAAACTTGCCTGAAGTAAGTCAACCTTTCCTAGCAATGCAGCTTCGGTTGCCCTTAAAATACTATCCCCGCTATTCACAACGTTAAGTGAGTTTGCTGCAGTTTCACTCGATAAAATTCTCGGACGTTTGCTTTCTACGCTTTCCAATTCTATAGTATCTACTTGGTTTTCACGCTGAGCGTTATCTTCACAAAACTGTTGACAAGACACACAAAACAAAGCCCCTTGATGGTCTCGCATTAGTGGACAGGCACACTAAAACAGCAACATGAAACTCATCGAAACAACGCATCATGAACTCACCTGTGGACTAGAGCAATTCATATCCAACAAAGTCCAACCTTGTAACAACTTCTCACCAATTTGTTTACTGACGCGGTCAGAGTCTCGTTGAAACTCGCGAATATAGTTTGCTTCTAGTAAAGAAAAGGACATCTCTTGTTCACTTCCAATGACTTGCTCTTCATGAGACGAGGACGACGAGGACTGAACATGTGCCGATATACCATTCTCTTGTTGAGTCTCAGGGGACTCCAAATGGTTGATGCTGCGAACAACTTGTGCACGACACTGACAACACATGGTCACACCGGTATTTCTATTTCTTACCAAAGGCGTGTTGCAGTTGGCCAACGGACAAACTTCTCCCACTACAAAGGTGTAAGTTACCAAAGTCTAATCGTTTCTCGATAACTCACGCAACGTCCATCCTTCCAACAAGAGACGAGAAATTTCAGCAATTGCAGTATCTCTGTTATTTCGACTTGCAGCAACGTTGGTTTCTTCCAAACTACGCGCCATGGAGACCTTCAACAACGACCATCATTCATCATATTTAATAATTATGATACACTATTTATTAGCCAACTAGAAAACAATACCAATCAAACGATAGTTAAACTAGACGTTTCCTATTGTTATTATTAAAACTGTTCCAAGAAAATTTCTTAGCCACATCTGTTGCCACGCCAGTCAACGCCTTTATCAAACTTTTTCGCTTTGGACGTACTGTAGATATCCCATCCAAAGTGTCGTCAGCTTTACCAGTAAGACCTGAAGCAGTCAACCACTCTCCTCCTGAAAGCTTTCCAAAACGCGAACCGCCAACACCACGAGGAACATCCGCGCCACTACCAGGAAGCACACTGTCGTTTACAGAAAGAGAAGTTACGAAACCTAAAGGAACCAACCATACTTCCACCGCGAAGAACGAGAAAAGAGGCAAAACAGGGCTTAGCTCATAAGCCTCCAACAACTGCGGATGATTTAAGAAAAAGCGCATCCAACCAACATTGTTCAGAATAAAAGTAACCACACAAGACAGAAAAATAGGGGACCGGAGCTCAATAAACGGAAAACCCCTTAAAAGTTCGAAATAACACAAGTGCGCTACAACTCCTAAAGCAACATAAAGAAAGGGAAAACGTTCCCAAACCCACAATAGTCCGTGAATGACAAGGTTGAACTGTATGAAGAACCTCAACACCTTTTTAGCGGTTGTCGTATATTCTTCAGTAAGTTCTGCTAAGTAATATAAACCACATGCCACACTTAGTGACAAAAAGCCTATCAATACATAACCTGATAACCAAACCAATAAAACAAAGAACGAAATCATCCTTTTCAAAGAGTCCACTCTTCCATTACATTTCCCTCCCTCGGAGTATTTTTATTTCAAGATGCGAACTAAGAATCTTATGCTCTATACTTGAACATTTCCTTGAAGAATATCACGAAGCAATAGAATATACACTATTCAACTAACTAGATTCGCCATTTTTGACACATTCATCAAGGCGGTTAAGCAGCACTTTTCCAGTCTTTTTAATGATTGTTAGTAACCTACTGAGTTCGACTGCATCCAGTAAACCAAAAGAATATACATGACAAATATCCCCATTTGCGTCTACAGCCACAGAAAGTTTCCCTCTTGCACAAGTCTCCTCTTGTATGCTTGGATCCAATACAAAATGATTTCCAATGAGAGAAAACGTAAGAAAAGTAGGAGCTTTTTCTACTTTCAAAGTGTCACAGGCATCTGGATTGTCGTCTATTTCCAGCTCAAAACTGCCTTCACTTTGTACAATATGTACACGTGGAACAAGTGTCGTAGACAAAGCAGTCCTAGTTGCCATACTAATAGCATCCATCATATTACCTCCAGTATCCAAAACAAGGATATCAACCTTGAAAAGCCAACAAAACTTTCCAGGCACGAGTGATAACCTCTCGTCATCGAAAACGTTTGCTGCACGATAAGCACTTTCCAAAGCATTCTGTAGTTCTGAACTCCAACTTTCAGCTTCTCTTCCTAGGAAATCTGCACTAGCACTTCCTGAACACTCCACAGTAAAAAGAAGTTGAACGTTGTCGTTAGAACTTTCAACGACATCTCCGACTTCCACTTTAACACCTACAAGAACTTCTGTTTCACCCAGCCGAAGTCTTGAAGATCCCGAAGCTGAAGGCAACACACCAACTTGCAAAGAAATGGGACGATATTCAAACAACTGTCTTCCGTCAAGACGAGTTCCAGTTTCAATAGTATCCAAAAGATATGCTTTTTCTGCCTTGGACACTGCGTACATAACAACAATTTCAATGGCAATAATAACGCAGTCCCACGAAATAAAGAAAAGTATTGTAGTATAGTCACATGAATAATAAACGGATGATGCATTTCCAAGGCAATAGTATCGTTCCTATTAAAAATTACAAAATATTCTATGAATGTAATAAAAAATGGTTCAAGAAACTCTTATCATTGGCCATAATTGTTTTTGATGACGAAACAAGACGAGAGCCTTGTAGATAATATCATTGCTGCCGAGTCGAGGCTATTGCAACTTCGAGCCAATAACGAACTTCTAATTAGACGTACACCACTAGATCTTTCTCATCCTCTGAGCAAGGAACTCGGAGCGCAGGTGTTTCTGAAACTGGAGTCGGAACAAGTTACTGGTACCTTCAAAGTTCGTGGTGCCTTCAATAAGCTGTTAAATCTTCATCCACTTCATAGTCATTCACCGGTTGTAACGGCTTCGACTGGAAATCATGGTGCTGCCGTGGCACACGCAGGCTCAGTATTGAAGATTCCTATTTGTATATTTCTTCCTCGAAATGTACAGTCGACCAAAGTTGATAAATTGTCCAATTATGATGTGGAACTCCGGTATGAAGGAAATGACTGTTTAGAAGCAGAATTGACTGCCAAGCGCTATGCCGAAGAACGACAAGGGATCTATATATCTCCATACAATGATTGGGATATTGTTGCTGGTCAAGGCACTATCGCACCAGAAATTTGTCAACAACTGGGAAGCAGCGTAGATATTATTTATGTAACGGTTGGTGGTGGTGGTCTCATTGGTGGAATGGCTGCCTATTTGAAAGCCATTTTTCCACATTGTCTAGTCATTGGTTGTCTTCCTGAAAATTCTCCTGTGATGTATCGTTGTGTACAAGCTGGTGAAATCATCGAGTATCCATGTAGCGATACTTTATCGGATGCAAGTGCTGGTGGTGTAGAGCCCGGTTCGATAACTTTTTCTCTTTGTCAGCAATACGGTAAGTGTTATGCTTACAAATGATATGTTGCTTATGTCGACAAAGTGGATGATTATGTATTGGTCAATGAAGAAGAGATAAGTGAAAACATTCGTTATATGGTAGACAAGCATAAGAAGATAGTGGAAGGAGCAGCAGCTGTCGCTATTGCAGCGTGTCGCAAAGATCGTCAGCGTCAGATGTCTTTGAACAAGTCCAAATTGAACATAGTTGTCGTTGTTTGTGGTTCCAATATCGGTTATGAGACACTCAAGAAATGTTTATGAGTTATAGTTCATTTTCCATTTCCATATAAATATTTCCTTTTACATCCTTTTCAGTGGAAGTTGCAATCGATTCATAACAACTTGCAACAGCTTTCATTCATTCATTCGGGAAAGAGAGGACCAAGGGCTTCTCTTATGGGAAATGATAACTTGCAAAAGAAACAACAGAAAAGTGTGATTTAAAGTATCTTGTTATATGTCCTCATTGGTTTCTCCTCATCCGCTGGCTTTTCTTTTGGATATCATAGTACGTATGGGAAGTCAAAAAGCTCACGAACACTACAAGCAACTTGGTTCACCCAAGTGGATATGTGCGCCCATGGTTGACCAGTCCGAGCTACCTTTTCGTTTATTGTGTAGACGTTATGGAGTAGAACTTTGTTACACTCCCATGTTACATAGCCGAATTTTCCTTCAAGAAGAGAAATATAGAAAGACTCACTTTACCACTTGTGAAGAAGACAGACCGCTGGTTGTTCAATTTTGTGCAAACGATCCCGATATATTTGTACGCGCTGCAGAACTTGTACAATTTCAATGTGATGCGGTGGACTTGAATTTAGGCTGTCCTCAACATATAGCTAAGAAAGGTTATTATGGGGCTTTTTTACAAGATAATTGGCAACTAATCGAAAGGATAGTTTCTACGGCAGCAAACAAACTGTAAGTAGTATCGAGTGAACTTTTTGGTCGATGTTACTTATATTACTCAAGGTCAGTCCCAGTATGGTGCAAAATTAGGATTTTCGATGATGTGAAGCGAACCATAGAATATGCACGAATGATTGAAAACGCCGGTTGTCAAGTGTTGGCTGTACACGGAAGAACGAGAGAACAGAAAGGAAAGGAACCTGGACCCGCCAATTGGGATACTATTCGTGCTGTTCGAGAAGCGCTTTCCATTCCAGTATTAGCAAATGGCAGTGTTTCTAGTTTACAGGGTGCCAAGCTGTGTTTGGAACATACAGGTTGTTTAGGTGTTTTATCAGCTACACATTTGTTAGATAATCCAAAACTTTTTACAAATGATCCATCGCCTGATAAGATTGTCTTGTCGCAAGAATATTTGGAATTGACAAAGCAATATCCTGTGGAACTGACGATGATAAGAGGACATCTCTTTCGACTATGGAAGCAACTTATGTCGATATCACAAATGCAAAAGTTGGCCACTGCTTCTCATGTACAAGAAATGGAACAGGTGATGTTAGTAAGTAATGACATGGAAAGAGGTATTGTATCCGATTGAAGTACTCTTTATTATTTAGGAATTGAAAAGTCAAAAAGCTCCAAACTATAATAAGAATGAATATCCACGAGACTTTGAAATGATACCAAAAGACTCTATCCATAATGAGATTGTAAGAAACAACATATAATCGTGAACTTTTGCTATTATCTAGACTGAGCAGAGAGACCAAATAGAATGTTATGAAGACACTCGCTGCAAAGAACAGATACCTAATAAGAAGCAACCGGACGCGAATAGGATAGTATAATATAAGATATTGCGCTCTGTTCGCCCATTCTTAGTTATATACCAGCCAGCGGACCATAGAAGGAGTGGTCCTACCATTCCTATACAGGATAATAACCAACTTCTGTCAAGAACGAATCCCAAGGCATCCTTATCATTCTCTTCCGGGTTACAAAGAAATAAATAGCGAAACAAAAGAGGTGGAAACATTAAGCTTATTTCAATTGTTATCACTTCTAGCCAAAGTGGACTGTTTCACTTACCCAAAGGATAGTGCACTTTTGGACCAGAATATTATAGGTCGACAGGTTAAAACAAGTGTCAGGCACCATAAAACAACAGTCAAGACAGCCAAAGACAACAGTTTGGAAAAAACCAAGTGCAAAATGTTTCCTGAGCCATAACACGTTCCAGGATTGGTCAATATATCACAGCCCAGAAATGACCACCAGCTACCAACAAAATGTCTCGATAAGAGCACTAGCAGAAAGCCTATAATCAAACCTGATATCACATCGGATAGGAAGTGTGCTCCCAAATACAAACGAGAGAAAGCTGTAGAAATACTAACAAAAGCAACCAAAAGGGTCAACCAAACGGGATGATCCCAATGCGCCACATCCGAAAGTACAAAACAAAATACTACAGAGCAAACTACACCACGAGAAGGAAATGAACTCGTCTTATCTCGTTTCCAAACAAAAACAGTCTCATCTAACATCCATGGACGGGGTCTCCATAGAAAACGTTTGAAAAGTTGAGTTCCGAATACTAAAACAAGGGCATAGGTAAGTACTATCGTTCCAGCTGCATCTGCGCCTAGACAAAATAATATAAGCGGTATAGGAAAGATCAACTCGATGCTGGTTATGAATGTGAAGAAGACACTAAAGATGAACAAGAAGTCGTTTCGAACACGTTGAACTTGGTTGAGAATATATCTATCTGATAAGACGAAGGCGTTATTTTCATATTCTGCTATGCCAAATAACAAAGGAATGGAAGGTTTTGTACCAACAGGAAAGGAAGCCATTTTCTCGAATTGCTTTGGAAAGGCTTTCATTACTATTTGTATTTCAATAGTAAGGTGTTTGGTGTCTTCTTTTTGCAACGAATGTGCTCAATATATAACCATTTGAAGATATCTATTTTATTGTATCCGAAAATAGTTTTGGATAATGGAGAATACCAGTAATTATTCATATTTACTACAGTCCCCGGCACTTGTCTACTAGGTTTCTTTCTTACTATTCTAAAGAGTCTATAAACACAATACCATACAAAAAACCTTTTCTGAGGAGTAAAGTATTCTTTCATTTTAGATATATATATAAAGTCATAATATTGGGTCAACTATCAACACCAAAAATTCGCATCAACTCTGTATTGCTATTGTGTTGGGTTGTTATGCGACGATTCATTCGATCGGCAGTTTGTGTAGTCTTCGTCGTGAGTCATGGTCAAAGATGGGAATAAAGTCTATATTTTGTTATCTATTGGAGAAGAAGAAATCCCTCAACGTTATGCACCCTTTACGGGTACGAGGACGTGTTTAAGATGGCCTCCTACTTTACCGCCGGTGCTATATTAGACAATACGTGGTTCGCAGGAGGGTTGCTTGTACTCATAGCAACTCGCGAATTATCCACGTTACAAATGATGTTGCTCCTCACCATCCACTTGTTTTGTTTCACAGAATAGTGAGACTTAAAGGTGAACGCCATACTATCCTTGTTTAGCAGTGGACCTCACGAAAAACTTGTATGAAAAGCCTTATTATTTGGGATATTCTTTATCATGGACAACATAGATAGAAACTTGCAAGTTATCATTCCTGTCTTTCTATTGAAAGGCAAGATAAGAAGCATCTTTAAAGAAAATCACATGCTACACGAAATGGGTTCATAAAATGTAATTTTAAGACAATTGGCGATCTCTTGCTGCATACATCGCGTTCATAAAAGGCCTAAATTATACAATCAATTCCCACTAGAGAAGAAAATAGAGAAATTACCCTTCAAAACATCTAGCAGCCAACCAATAAGTAAAACCAAGAAGCGTGGAAAGAAATATTCCTGTTGGACTTGTTGACAACAGTGAATGACCAAAGTGCATCAGAGTTGAACCAAAATACATTGGATCACAAAAATAATTGAAAGGGAAAGTTTCAATCTTTTGATCAAACATAAAACCAAAGTATTCGCCCATGTAAGTTCCAAAAATACCTAATTGATAGAAACCCGACATAGACAAAATAGTTCCAAGAAATATCAAAGAGTAACCAAACAAGTAGACAATGTATTTCATCCAGACTGCTCGTAACTGAATCATGGGTTGTACATCAATGGCTCGAAAGAACGCCCACTCTCTGAAGGAGCTCAATAAAAGTATGGAAATAGCAAAGAGAATCAGTGCAGTAGAAGGAGAGCCTGCCATTTTCGATAATTTCTTGGTGTAATATTCATAACGACAAAATGTGTTCCAGTAGATAGGAGAAGCGATGGTAAGAATAACTGAAACGAGTAGAAATCCTTCATTCAACCTGACCAACTTTGCTTGCTTCAAAAATTCTTTCAAAAGAAAACCTTTTAAGGGAAACTTGCTTGTTAGGGAAGCAAAGAAAGCCGGCGATACACCGCTGCTCATTAGCATAATAAGCAAAGTGAGAACCAAATAGAAAACAGCCTTGAACCAGGTTATTGGGTCAGTTTGCGGTTTGATACGATCTGGAACTCTTGTCCATTTTGCTCTTTTTTGAATAGCTGAATAAAAGGAGAAGACACCGAAAGTTTTTCGTTTTGACTGATAACACATAACTTTAATTTCGAAAAATATCAAAATTGTCAAGAATTTATGAAAAGTATTCAACAAAGATTCGAAGCATTTCAGAATGGGCCATTTGGGTTGAAAGAATCTCATAGGAATTGGGTCCGTAGCAATCAATCCATCAATAGAAATCAAACGATTGTTTCAACTCTTTCCTTTGCGGTGACAGATATGGTGGAGTATCTGCATCTAAAGTCTGTTGCCAAGAATCCTTTTGTATTGAAGTTTTCTCTATCTTTCGGAAATTATTGCGAGCCTTTTTAACCATATATCCTTCAGGGGAAATACCAAGTAGTAGAGATTCTGAGCAAGTAGGAGCAGAACACGCTTTTAGCACTGTCTCAACTGGTATAGAAGAGTTGATATCTTCACTATCCGATTTTGTTGTTTGTTTCTCATCTTCCTCTTTATGGCTTTTAATGACTTTAGTGTCGGTCTCCTTATTCAAAGAATGGGAGGAATGAATATCCATGGGATGGCTACCTTTTGCGACACTTTGTCTCATTTGAAAGGAAAAAAATAGGGTTGTGTTCCTGCAAAACTTGTTTCCTAGTCACTGGTTTCTTTTGAACAAGGCTTTGCAACAAAATAAATGTAGAAGTTTTACTTTTTACCAAAATGTACCTCGTCATTTTTTCTTTCAAAACCAGATGAGAAATCGAAAGCGCATTTTTCGAAAAATTCCCAACAACATTGGAAAGAAAAATGCACCTCTTAAGTGATGCGAATTGCCTCCATGAAAAATGGACTTCACAATTTCTCAAGTAAAAAAAAGAGAGATGTAACAAGGCATCCATCCCTTCTTGACACTCCCGTTTGAAACAGATTCATACGAGAAAATTTTCCTACAAATATGCATCCTATCTGTTCTATCCTTCAATAGGAGCCATGTAGGTAGTCTCATTGAAAGCTCACTTTTTCAGCTTTTCAAGTAATGTTGCCATGGAACTAGCTATGTATCTCCATTTTCACAGCGTAATGGGAAACCAATTCATATCTAAAATGAAAACATACATGAAATCTTGGTTCATGACTCTCGTATATCTCTCAGGTCTACAAAAACACAGTTGGGTCTAAATAACAGATTTCCATTTGTGTTATCCAAGTCCCAATGTGTCAAAGGACAAAAGGCTATCAACTCATGAATACTCAATGAAACACAACCTTATCCAACACACATCAGGTCAGGGTTCCCTATTTTATTTTGAATAAACCAAAGCTACATAGTCTAAACTGAATTTGCAACAAAACTAGGCTTTGCTGGAAAAGTGCAACCAGGGCGTTGAATAATAACATGTGCTGCATAGTGACCACGAGCAACACATTCATCCAATGTCACTCCCTTTACGATAATTGTTAGTCTTGCAATAAGGCACTCATAAGTATCTCATTCCTTACCTTTGCTAAGCCCGATAAAAAGCCCCCTACAAAGGCATCTCCTGCTCCATTGGTATCCACAATACTCGAGGCTTCGATAGGAATAATGGGATACTCTTTGATGAGCCATACTTGACTAGGCGTCCCAACTACCAAAACCGTAGGCTCACTTCCCTGTGTAAACACAACAATACGAGGCCTTCCAGTTTCTTTTGGCTGTTGTGCAAGCCGAATGGCTATTTCTTTCACATCTTTCGTGTTCCATTCCATTGAAGTTGCCAAAGTAGCTGCCTCTGCTTCATTACCAAAATAAATATCTACCAAAGGTAGACATTGTTTGAATCTTTCAAAGAAAACAGGGACTTGAAGCAAAAAAGGGGCCGATAAATTCATACAAAAAGTTTTCTTCGTGGTATTTGCGTGCTTTCCAACCTCTACAGCAGATTCGGGAGAAACAGTCAAAAAGAAACCAGCAATATAGAAAATACTAGCCTGACGTCGAAAGGTTTCATTTAACATACGATATAAAAATGATCTATATAATACAGACCTTTTCAACCATCTTCCATGTCTCAGGTCTTTTCAAATGCTCAAACTGATATGTATTTGCGGCAGAAAGATTCGCTACCAAAGAACGACATTGGCCACCACTAGTAACCAACACCCCACAAGTTCCTAAAGATACACATAAAAGATGGTGAGGAAGAAAAAAATTCGTCCGACGCTTTCCATATTTACCTGTAGGTTGTCCACCTTCGTCATAATAGTGTACATTGACACCATCGTTGGTAGCACACTTGCGCATCTGTTCACCAAAGTCATCTTTTCCAATAGCACCAATATAGCCACAAGCGTGTTTTTTCTGTAACATCCATTGTGCAACTCGAATAGAGTTTTGTGTTGCACCACCCTGCAACAAAAGCTAAGGAAGCTAAAGAAACTTTGCTTTGGCCTTACTCACCGCAACGTATTCTACTCCTGGATGATTTTTCAACTCTTGAAACAGGGGAAGATGCTTTTCCTCTGCAAGAATAGCACTATTCGCTTCCAAGTCATATTTTTTTAACAACGACGCATCTAACCAACGATGTTCAACAGCAAATCCTTTGGAAGATCAGTAATAACTTACCAACATTGGCACTTACGTCGAGCAATGGGTTACCCATACCAAGAACAACTCCTTCTTCAACAGCTTTTTCAATTGAATAAGTCATCCTCAAACACTAGTTTAAATACGCCAACGAAATTTCTAAAATGTTGAACGTAATAAGACTCAAATGTTTCCGATTGACTCTTTTGTTCCAATAAACTGTAAAAGCGTGGAATCGTAATTGGAAGCGTTCGTCGATTCTGGGATGCCTATTTGTTTACTCGTCATTGGGTATTGAATTTGTTAAGTAAATAACAAATTACGGTTGTCGTTACCATCTTGTTGCGTATTTGGAATATAATGTTCTGTGAAAGGGATTATGCAAGATGCTCTTCCAGTTGCAGAGTTCTCATGAATGCACTTATTTCAAGTCATATAACTATAGTACAACAATCATCAGGACTCTTGAGAATAAACGTTGTTTCAGCGTCTACATTTTGCTTTTCTTCGACCATTTAAAACTTGCCTGCCGATACATTTAACGAATCTACAAGACTACAGGTCGCTGCCATTGATGAAAGCATATATGGTTGAATTATGCTCTCATAGAGTTTTAGATAAACATTTTTGTCTATATAGAATGAATTTTATTCGAATAGACAGAATATCACTCGATATACATATACAACTCCATCCTAAAACAACTAAATTTGGTATCACATATTTCAAACATGGAAAGTTTTGGCGCCATGGCAAGAAAATTGTAGTAGTTATGGCATATGAAGAAACTTGGAGACCATTTCCTCCACTTTTACAAGCAGCACTTGACTCGATCTTACCTTCAGACTATATGCTAGGTTCGAGAATCTTAAAGTGCTTTACTGATGAAGCCAACCAAATTGCGACTCAATCAAGATTCTTTCCTCCAGCTTCCACCTTTAGGAAACTTATCACCCTAATGTTGAAAGAGCATTCTTCCAACAACTGTTCATTCTTGTTTCAAGTTCTTATTGCCTTGAAAGAATATTTCTGTAGAATTCCTGGTTATGGATGGGAAAGGTCTCCGTTCGCTCTAGATGACCGTTTGGAATCCGTTCTGCATCCCTTCCATCTGATGGGTTTCGACTCTTCTACTTGTCAGTGTCCGTCACTGCGTCCTTTTGCCTTTTTAAAGGCTCTCATTCAGGCATTGAAGGAAAATCATTGTCAACTGCTAGAATTGACCCAATATTTCGACAGTGACTCTTTAGAAGAAGGCGATTTCGTTGATGACGAAGATAGTGATGCGTTTAGTCTGCAAATGGCAAATTGTGGCAAACAGTCATGGAAAGATGGTATTTGTCAGATATTGCGATATTTTTTGGTTGTCCTGGAAGACCCAAAGGCTTGCAAAGCATTTTATTTAGATGCCTCACCAAATAATCGCATCGGTGAAGGAAAAACCTGTATATTTCGATATTGTTTGCCATATCTCGTGGCAACCTTAAGTAATAATGATGAGAAAGCTGCATCCATCATCCTGGAGCTTTGTTTGCAGCTTTCCAAAAAGTTCAACAAGGAATGGGACATGGCCTACATTGAAGAATTAACTAGAAGAATGTTAGTATTCCATCAACCAGAACCTTGGAGATTATTTCTTTGTGGTATATCAGACCTTCAACTTCGAATGACTGTTATAGAATTTGTGCTCAAGTCTACATCGCCTCTGCATTCTTTTGAGATATCACAATTGAATGTGAATTCTAGTCAACGTTACATTCCTCAGCTAGTAAAATGGATAGAAACCATTCAGGTGAAAGAAAACCCAGATATTCACATAGATGAAGAGTTTGAATTGTTATTTCTTTTCATTTATCAATTATTAGATTCATTTGTTGGTTTGCAAAGTTGTCTTGAAGAAATGGAGGCCAATTTTTCAGAATGTTCTCGTTCATTTATAGAGTCGTTTTTTCATTTGAAGCGCCTTTGCGAAGAGTACAAGAGTCTGAATGAAACTACACATCCTTATTACTGTAACCAACTGGAAAATCTAATTTGGTTTCTTCATGGAGTTGTCCTATTCAATTTGGTTTGAAGGTCATATCCATTCTTCCAACACTGCCTCCAAATCTGTCTTATCAACCACCTTAGAAATTGGCAACCTAAATGAAGAGCATGCATGATTTGGTCTGTGCTTTGCATGATTAGTTCCAATTTAGGTTCTTCTTTTAACGGCAAATGTAATAGCAACATAGCATCATCTTGTTGGGAAGACATGATGAGATACCAAATATGATCTTCTTCTAGTTCGTTCCTTCTTAGCAATTGAAATGTCTCAGAAAAAGTAGTTGACATTGGATTGATTATTTTATCCCATTCAAGTTCGTTCTTTAAAGGCAATTTTGGTGTCTTGACCAGTTTATGTCCGAAATCAGCAAAATGATTACGACACAATTCGAAAAAGGAATAGTGTGGAAACGTATCCATGAAGAGTTGGCGATTCCAAGAAGAAGCCTTTTTACAGATTTCAATCTCTACTTTCCATCGTCGGATTTGATGTAAATGAAATAATACTGAAGAAAACCAAGTGTGCAACCAGGTATTGGATTCCTCAGCAGTCTGCTCTATTTCTTGTAACCATTCAGTTATTTGGTTACCTGTCTTGTTATCATTTTGACAAAGGAATTCATCCAACATTCTCAAGGGAAGACTCATTGTTTTAGCAACGATAGAGTTATCATTCCATTTCGACAGTGGTATTTCCAAAACGAATAGAATCCAGTTATCCCTCGTTTCATCTATTCCTTGAGTTCCTTTGGAAAGTATTCGTTGAAGTTGACTGACGGACGCCAAACCTACACAAGTCCATTTATGAGAATTTTTGTCGACATGAAGCTCCCCTTTTTGTTCACATAATTGTCGTTTCCATTCTTCGATGAAATCAATTTTAGATATTTCCTTGTATTTCCATTCCAGTTCCATGGAACGGAACTGAAACAACATTCCTTCATTTCTCGTATTAATATTCTCTTCATCTATCAACCATCTGGATGCAACTTTATTCTCCGTAGGTATATCCAACTGATTCCACTGTTGAACCAGATATTTCCCTTGCAGATATTCAATAATGAAGGCTGACCAAAGGAATTGAGATATTAGAGACACATTCTCCCACCACCACGTTCCTTTGGAGACATAGTTTAAAGATAGCACACATTGTAACGGCCACTCTTGTTGTTTCCTGACGTGCACTTCCAAAGACAAGTCTATATGACTCGATTGTAACAACCAAACATTTTGTTGACGCCATTCGACAACTTTTGTAGTTTCCCGAAAGGATGCTTGATGTTCAGAAAAGATGCATTTCAAGCAATCTTCGCAAAAGACTGACATATCATCCAATAATACCCAACTAGAAAAGCAAAAATAATTATTGAAACATAATCGAAGATACTTTCCGAGGATCTTCATTATCCATTCATGAAAAAGTATCCAATTCTTCCACCTTCGAGAATGCTCAGACCCCGTAGCCAAGTTGTACAATTCTAACCAGACTTGGATATCGTTGCGATATATTTTCGCAACGACTCTCAACTGTTCGCTTTCGTCTTCTTCGTAATGAAACCTAAGCCATGTTGTGCAGTCATCATCAGATAGCAAAGGATGGTACCCACAACTAGACAACATTTCTATAAGCCACTTCATAGCATATGGTACATAACCACGTAATTGCAATGAAGTGCAAAACAACTGTTCTTGTTGGCCATTTTCACTCCAAATTTCGTTCAAAGACCAACGAACAGGTTTCCAATTCTTAATCTCTTCATTCCACAACTGTGCAACGCTTTCATTTTTCTCTTTGACAATATTCCAAAAAATATTTCTTTTGATTTGTTGAACCACACAAGAGCCATGATATCGACAACCACGTTGTATAACATCTATTTGTAAATGAGATAGCCACTCTATTGGTTGCAATGATACAATGAACAATGAAATGGGATCTCCTTGTTGAGTAATTAAGATAATCATTCCTACGAGCCATTCGTGTTGTACATTCTTATCTTGCCAATATATTTTCCTTACAAACGTCAAACATTTTGACTCAACTTGATATTCTCCAATGACGGTATCCATTCTCTTACTCTTATCATTGCTTTCTATAGGCATCCAGTCGCCTTGTTGACAAATGGTTTTTGTCATCCAATCGATATTGAAATGGAAGGACGCAAGTAGACGACTCTTCACCTTGGCATGATAAACCACATTGGCAAAATGCCATATAGAATCATCCATTTTCACAATCAGTTCGGTACTGTTGATCATCTGCTGCACATTGACTTTACACAAATCCAACACAACATCCAGTGCATAATAACAACTCACTGCTGTGTACGATGCAACATCCAATAGCGAATCCTTTCCAATCATTCGATGATTGCAATACAATTTGACTTGGTTTCTCTCTCGTTCTAATCCAATAACCAAAGGATAATGGGCACCTATCCACCAACTCACAACATTGTTCATCATTCGGTTGCCATCTAAACCATTTTCTTCTTCTTGCAATGTTGACCATCCCACTGTCTTCAATCTTAAACAAAAAATTTGCCAAACTCGATGAGCTGCATTAGCGGTAGGCAATATCCAACGATGATTGGCTTCTCCCCACAATTGAATACGTACTTTATAACTATTGTTGCAAGCAAAATGGAGAGATTCTATATCACCCAATGGTTTACTTTCATCTTCCAACAGGAAATAGGAGCATGTACTACTCGGCTCCAAATGATAACACCATACATTCCATTCATCTTGCATAAATAAGGAATCCAAATAATGCTTCCACTGATGCACAAACATCCCTAATCCTACGAAAATAAGTTTTACACCTTTGTTTCTAGGACAGATAGGAATGAGATAAAATAGCAAAAATTGTGACGGATGGATATGAAACATCAAAAAGTGATTATTACAAGTGGAACCAGGGTACAAAGATAACAGAAACTCCTCCACTTGCTGTATAACTGGTACATCCAAACCACGGGTTTGAGAGTTCCTTAGGATATGAAAGATCAGACAAGGACATTCCTTCCACCAATCGCTACATTGACTCCAACAGGCAACCTCCATTGGATTCGTATACAATTGAAACAATAGTTGTTCACATGCCAACAAACTCAACCAACGGTCAAAAGAAGAATGATTACGGACAATCCCATCATCTTCCTCCTTCCTTTCTCTTAGTTCCAATTGCACCCAAAAATCCATTTGTTGCATGTTACATTCTTCATCATGGCTTGAGCATTCTAAAGACTTCGTATCGATATATGCATGACTTGAGTCAATATGCATATGACAAATCACCAACAACCGTTCATTCAGTAACAAGTAAAATGATAAGTATGACTCTTCACGAAAACTACGACTTGTCGACTGCACCGACGTGTCATAGTTGAGTCTAAACCCCTGTTGAATATGCCATTGTATAAAAACTCCCAATGCATGACCAGTATACCTCCACTGTTGAGAAGTAGCTATGACACTATCTTCATGATAAAACCATTTGCTTAAGATATCCTGCAAACTATAGTTGATTTGAAATGAACCCATGTCTTCCCTACATTCATTGACTATGACAGAATTCTGGTTACTCAGTCTGTGACTAAATAATCGTATGTTGCTCGAATTCCAAATATTTCCACCGCTAAACAAGCAATAGGCTATAACAGCGCTCGGTATTTGTTCTCCAAAACCACCACATGATACATATACGAGGTCCAAAGCCATTCCTTTTCTATTCAAAAACTTGATTGCATTCTTATCCCCATTATGATTAGATTGAATAATAGCTGGTGATGATGTGATCAACATTAATCGACGAAAGACACAATCAGTAGTCTCCAAGTCAACACAACCACCGTGAATACAATCTAGTACCAACAAGTCGTATAAATCCACTCCACTTTTGTTCAAGCAAGATTTTGATTGTAAATAGGGAATATAAACTTGTTCAATTTGCTTTTCCAGCTGTGTTAAACTTTCTTGTTCAAATCTTTGCCACTGTTCTATGTCCAAGGTTTTCAGACCACTCAACGTTCGACAACACAAGATACCTCGTTGTTCAAATACCACAAAAGATTGAATGCTTGTTAATCCTTTTGAGTAGACAAGAGAGCTGAGTTGCTTCAATACTGAAGCGGTACCATCCACGATGCTATGAAAACCACTACGAGGTGGATAGTGATCCTCCAGTATAGAACAGAAAGGTGTCAAAAGTATAACCACATCCAGGTGGAGAGGTGTTCTTATTTCCTCTTTGAACTGTTCTTTTGTTTGCAAATATTTGCATATTCTAACGGAAGCTTGTTCAGTCCAATAGAGATGAGAAGAAAACTCCATATTATGCCACTTATCCCAACATTTTCTCGTCAATCGTTGTTTATTTCACACGCAAAGGATAGCACAACACCATTCTCTATTCCTTATCCAATCTATATGAAGCAACACTTTACCAACCATACTTTGCCCCTAATGTATCAACAACAATAATAATAAGAAACATAAATATCAATCGTTTTACAAACTTACAAGTTTCTGCCTTTGTTTGTCTCGATTGGCTTCTTTTCTCTTCAAGTTCAACCTGTTTAGCTGCCAAATCCGCAGCTACTGCATTCAATTGATGCCTTTCCTTCTGTATCCGCGTAACCTTTCCTGCTACACGTGCTAATTTGCTGACAACTTCCGAGGTGCTGGCTGATTGTCGAGTTACAAAGGTTTCATCAGGTTTCGATGTATCCACTAAATCCGAAAACTGAACATCTACGAATGCTATATCATCACCATATTGGTTGATATCCCGAAGAAACTCTTTCGAACTATTCGCACTAGTTTCGGGCCAATTGTAACTTGCATCTACTGTATCACCGACAACTCGTTCGTCCTGTACTTTGCTCCAATCTATTTCTTCACCACCGTTTTCCTCAACATTTTTTTGTGTAACCTGCTCTTGCTGTTGTGTAAAAGTCACCTCCGTAGAAGTGGCAAAGTCGTTCAAGTTTCTCTCCACAGTGTCCATGTCTCCTTGTGAACGAGTCCCACTTGTCCATTTTTGTACTCGAATATCCTTAATAGGTGCTTGTTTCTTGGGTGCAGGAAGCATCTGCAGTAATTCTCTTCCACTGGTGTCTTTTCTAGGTCGTTTGGGAAGCGGTTCAACTTGAGGTTTTTCTTGTTCTTCACTTTCTACGCTTGGCAATTTGAAAAATTTTGTCACGTCTATATTTACTTTATTTTTGGAAGGATGGTTGTTGGTACCATTATCAGTAACTTGCGTATTGTCTTCGTCACTATCATCCACGTCCTTATACACATTGGACAACAATTCCATTTTTCAACTAAAGCCATCGTGTCATGTGATTCCATAGAACAATGATAGTGTTAGATGTTGTTAAAAAGTAACATTCTTTGTTATCACCAACAGCATATATGGTCTTGACGATCTCAAGCAGAAGAGGGGAGATCTTATATATGCATTCCATTTTGCTTCCTTTGTGATTTGTTTTAGAGTTGGAATGATGAACAACAGTCATATGTTCAACATTGTTCGTTTTCCTACCTCACCAAGTCAAGATCAAAAACCAGGAACTTCAGGTTTACGAAAGAAAGTGTCCATCTTTAGGCAGCAGCAGTATTTGGCAAACTTTGTGCAGAGTATATTCGACTCTCTCCCAGATATTCAAGGTAAAACAAATATCGTCAGCTCAGACCTAGGTGCTTATCCATTCTCAAGGAAAGACACTCGTTTTAGGAGGTGACGGAAGATTCTACAATTCCAAAGCTATTCGCATAATCACACGAATGGCTGCTGCGAATGGCGTTGGAAAGCTGCTCATAGGAAAGGATGGTCTTCTCTCAACACCAGCAGTTTCTGCAATCATTCGTCAAAGGAAACTATACGGTTAGTATTATTTTCTTACTTTGTGGAAATAAGGTTGAGTGATTCTGTTATCTCAGGGGGAATCATATTGACAGCCAGCCACAATCCTGGAGGTGCTGATGAAGACTTTGGTATCAAATACAACGTCTCCAACGGTGGTCCAGCACTAGAAAACCTTACCAATCTATTTTACGAAAATAGTCAACGAGTTTCAAGCTATCGAATTGCAATGCATATTGACTATCCCGATCAAGAGGATCCTTTCGAAAATACTTTGGTAAGCTTTTCTCTTCATCAAAAAGCATGGTCCTTGAATTGACTAGTTATTAGAGAAGAATTCATCAACAAGGTACTTCGGATACCTATATTTGTCAAGATACTGGCAAAACGTTTGAGATTGAAATCATTTCCTCTGTGGATGATTATCTCCACTTAATGAAGAATTTGTTTGACTTTAACAAGCTGAAACAGTTTGCTTCACGAAATGACTTTCGGATGTTATTGAATTCTATGAATGGAGTCACTGGAATCTATACCAGAAGAATCTTTGTAGAAGAATTGGGGTTACCTAAGGACTATCTAATGAATGACATTCCAAAGGAAGACTTTGGTGGACACCATCCAGATCCTAATCTCACTTATGCGCACGATTTGGTTGAGCTCTGTGATCCCAAGAAGAATAAACAAGCTCCTATCTTTGCTGCTGCTTTTGATGGTGATGGAGATCGCTGCATGATATTGGGAACAGGGTATGTTCTTCATACAACTTGTTTGTCTTATTTCGATCGTTATCATTGTCTAGATTCTTTGTTTCTCCAGCAGACTCATTAGCAGTAATTGCCGCAAATGCTGATTGTATTCCCCACTTTCATTCACAGAAACTAAAAGGAGTAGCACGTTCCATGCCTACTGCTGCTGCAGTTGACTTTGTGGCAGAGAAACTCAACATTTCTTGTTATGAAACGCCAACAGGATGGAAGTTCTTTGGCAATCTAATGGATGCCGACCTTGCCCAGATTTGTGGTGAAGAATCTTTTGGACTTGGATCCAACCATATTCGAGAAAAAGATGGTATCTTTACAGCACTCTGTTGGTTGTCTATTCTTTCCAGTAAAAATGAAAAGCAGCCAGTTGGTAACTTGATTTCAGTGGAGAAGATTGTTATGCAGCATTGGGAGACTTTTGGAAGGAACTTTTTCAGCAGATATGACTATGACCATTGCAAGGCACCAGCTGTGTCCAAATTATTGGAACATATAAAGGAAATACAAACCCAATCGATGAAACAAGGAGGTCAATTATTGGATTATCCAATTAAACTGAAACTTGCAGATTCCTTTACGTATACAGATCCTGTTGATCATAGCAAGACAGAAAATCAGGGCTATCGGTTTGTATTTGAAGATAATTCAAGATTTGTACTTCGACTTTCCGGTACTAGCTCATCGGATGTCACCATTCGTATGTATTTCGAACGTTATACTAAAGATGTTTCGTTATTTGATCATCCTGCAGAAGAAGTATTGCGTCCGATAATAGATATTGCTCTTAAGAGCCTAAAAATTGAGCCTATACTGCAAAAGTCTCAACCTGACGTCATTACTTGAGTATTTCTGAAATCTCTGCAGTGATCTAATGTTGTTGTTGAATAAACTTTTCGTTAATTGTTGTGGAAGACTATTTTGGATATCTTGGCCCTTTTTGAAATGACCAAAGGTGAACGCGAAAAGTCTACCGCTGACTTGGAAAAGGTTACCGACCACGTGGAAGAGTTTGACTCAGAGTCTCTAAGAAAGTCTGTCAGTGCAGTGTTGAGCTTTGAACAAGGTTCGAAAAAGGTAAAGGACTTTAAGCTTGCCTCTCTAGAGTTCTGCTCATAACGGAAGACAAGGAACTAAAAGGAACGACAGTCAAGATTGCTGCAGATGACGTTAACTTTCTTATCAACGAATTACATTTGGATAAAAAAGAAGCTGAAAATTGGTTGAAACAACAGAACGGAGACTTGTTACAAGTCGTGAAGCTACTGATAAACCCAAGTAAACCCTGAAAATTGTCGTTATTCTACATTTTTAAGATACAAATATGACTTATAAGCTATTATGTGTTTTGAGAGATGCAATTTCGAGTGCTTTCCTCTAAGACAAGTAAAACTCCGAGTCACGAGGTCCTCCTCGAGGAGGAAAGCTCGACGGATCACTTTGAAAAGAAACACCTAATATCTTCTCTAAGAGGGCGTCTAAATCCTTGTGCATGGATTTTCCAACTGTCTGTGCCACGTATACAAGAAGTGCCAAGCGCCAACTCGGCACTCTTGTAGTAATCAATCCTGTCGTTTGATCTTGTTGTTGTTCCAATTTCTGGTTCCAACTCTCAGTTAGTGTTTCGATGGGAGTATCAACGATGTCCAACTGATATGACTGATGCAGATACCGACCACTTGGAAACTTCACAAAGCGAGCCAATATCAGTGAATTCCTAATGTCTTCGAATTTTTCGTCATCGAGTTTCTAAAACATTAAAGTGTTTGTAGAAACTTGAGAACTACAAACGTACCGTAAAGTCGGCAATTCGTTGATTCTGTCCAGGAACAATTATCTGTGGCTTTTCTACACTTAAAGTTCCCCTTCGAACAGAGGTTTCCTGTTTGTTTATTTCTGCAGGTGAAAGGAGAACGTACGGAAGTTCCGTTGTCGCAGTCACCAAAAGTTGTTCCCTAAAAATGTATAAAATAGCCTTAAATAGGTCTTTCAAAAAAACTACTCTTTATCGAACCTTCGTCTTCTATGCACACTGGTGTTGAACCAGGCCTCAGCAAACTCTTCAGCAATACCCATGTGCCACTTCCTGTTCACGCTAACTGGTTTACAGTTACAACGTGTGGAGCCAACCAATTGATATGGGACGTAATATACAAATACCATCGGTATGACAAGGTTGCTAATTGAGAGAAGCTAATCCAGGGATATTGCCGAACAAATAATAACTTCTTTGAATGTTGGAATTGTTCTGATTATTGGCTGACCGAAAAGCGCGCAAAAAAAATGGCGGAATCCAACGGCTTTCTTTCAGTCTTTCGCAATGCAACCAGAAGAACTTTTTCTTCTTCCCAGGGTGAATTGAATGTTACACCTACTACCGAAGGTTCTTCACTTTCGTCTTTGGCCTGGGCTACTTCTAATCTTTTGCAACCGGTGACTTCAACAGTACGAAGCCAGCTGTGGCAAATTTGGTGTTCAGCAAAACCGTGGTCGGAGTTTGCCAGTTCTAAAAAGTTGAAGACACCATCAGATGCCGCGGACGTAAGAGATAGAGTGTTTTCCAATCTACGGTTCTATCTACCCAACTACGTTTTATTATTTGTTGCCCTTAGTTCTTTGTCCATCTTATTGAGGCCTTTCATCGTTATTGCTGTGTTACTTATTGCTTTCTTGTATGCTTATTTATTTGTGTTGCATTCAACCCCTATCTCTTGGGGTCCTGTTTATTTGAACTCGCAGTTAAAAATGATTGTGCTAACCGTTGTAGCTGTTTTCTTGATATGGATCACCGGTGCGGTATACGTGATAACTTCCTGGTTAGGAGTTGCTTTTGTAATTGCCGTCGCACACGCAGTTATGCATCTTCCCGCGGATGAACCTGACTTTGAATCAACTGTTTGATGCTTGGCTTGCTCAGATAATACAACATATTTTTATTTTGACTGCCAACATATTTGTGTTCCAAAAGAGTACTTATGAGATACTTTGGCTATGCTTGGATTGCATCTTTTTTGTGCCTCTATACAAACAAACAATTCTTTCGTCCCATCGAGAATATTTTCTTTCAGTTGAGAAGGGGAAGATATTCCGCATTCCACTCCAGCAAAGGCCAATCTTCAGGTATGGTTGTTAGTGTACAACGTCTCAAATATTCTGCATTGTCCCTTCTCGTTTTCGGGTCTGGGCAGTGTGGCTGGACCAGACCGTTTTTAACAGACATGACGGACATCATGGCTGCCACTGCTGCCCTACCCCCAGTGTTAAGGGCGCCAGGTCTCTCAAAAATAAGTTGTAGCTGCGGTGGAGGTGTAGGAACTCTGAAGTTTTCCAGTTTAGACTCCATTATAACGAAAAAACGAATGAACGACGTCCACCGTTGGTATGAAATTCCCTAATCCTTTGTTCTCCACCTTCTGTCCAACTTGAATCTGCGCTTCTTTTAGATTCCAACAATTTCCCAAAACCAAGCGATTTCTCTTCCACAGAAATGGGAGTCCAGGTCTCTAGAGCTTGAAAACTGAACATAGATATGATGAATGGAAAGTGAAAATGGATCTCATTCCTGGATTGCATTTTTGGTCTTGCAAGCTTGACTCTTTGCTAAAGACCCATTATTTACACAACACAAAAAGCCATTTGGAAACGCGACTTGTTTTGCCTATCAATAACTTGACTTTTCATAGCATTTCAAGATTGAAGTGGCCAAGTAGACAATCCTCTTCTGATTTCCACAATTTTCATCTGAAAAGTTTGCGTATCACTAACAAGCTACTGAAAAATATCATTCTCATAAGCTTGTAATCATGGAAACGAAATCACTTCCATATTCACAATACTTGGCTGCATGATTTCCTCTTTATCATGTTCTTATTCCAGGAAACTGTAATGATTTTCAGTACTTTATTTTCCAGGTAATGTTAGTGGTTTGTAGAGTGGGTAAAAAGAGTGACCAGCTGGATATTCCCGTCTAGCATGAAACATATGGAAACAATAGAAGAGATAATCATCTTTGATATATATACTACCGGTGACCCATATAAAATGAAAGGGCTGTTAGTAGAGGATGAGAAAATGACAAAAATGCTATAAATGCAATTCAGGAAACTTCAAGAGATGGAATATCTCTTGATGCTTTGTTACCCCCAGTTGAAGAAGGAAGGATGAATGAAAAGAAGGCCAACATCCATCAATCCATTGATTGGCGGGTTTCAAAATCGAAATTCCCTATTTGACCGTTTCATGAGAATGCAACCTGGAAAGATGTGCAACCTGATGATTTTTTACTGACTCGAGAAATATGGAAGCAGAAAAGGAGAATCAGCCACCCGAAGGGTATGCAAAGGTAGAAAGTTTACAGCAACTCAAGGAAAAAGTTCAACGCTTGCGACAAGTATCAGCGGCTAACAATAGTAACGGCCATACCCACCACGAAACATTCACCACGACGCCTCTTACCAGACTAGAAAATAGTTGGAAGATAGATAATCATCTAGAGAATCCGATTCCTTCACCAAACACCATAATAGAGCAGAAAGATGAAGGACCGCTTCCTCCCCCGGTTGCCCGTCAATCCAACCAGCAACCTACCAGTTCTGCACGTCAGGTTCCTTCGGGATTGAACCATGAAACGAGTAATTTCAAAATACAGGAAAGCAATGACACGCCATACAACAAAACAAGCAATAGTTCCATGAAAAAAACGGAGCAAAACGTCCAAACAAGAAATAAGTTAGTGCAACTGGTACGAAATAATCCCTGTGATCCAGAAAGTTGGCTACGACTATTAAAGCACGTTCAAAGTGAACACAAGTTAGACCCTCGACAAGTCTCCTTAACAATGCTGATGCAGTTGTATGAGAAGGCCGTTCGGACCATACCTCTTAAGGGGAATAGGAAAAATGATGCCTTTATAGAGATATGGATAGATTATGCTTGGCTCCAAGACAAAGAATCTGAACACGATGCTAGAGGAACTTTTAAATATATGCGGGCTGAACATATTGGAGAAGGTTCATCACGATTTCTTCATGCTTGGGCAGAGTTTGAAGCTTCTCATGACAACCAAGAAAAGTCTAAAAAGTTATTGGAAGAAATACGCGTCAGTTTTGGAAATGACACGAAAGTCCAGGATTCCTCTCTTGAAAGAAAAACGACTGAAGGTACTCCAAAGACAGAATCTGCTCCTTCAAAAAGCTCTATAGAAGGTGAACAAGATGAGAAGCTTTACCAACGACGCCATCACGAAGAAACTGTCAACCTTAGTCCTTTAAAATCTTCAACAAACAAGAAAAAGACGGCGTGTTGGAAGACACCACTTTTGTTGAATAGTGGAAGCGCAAGAAGAGTTAGTCAGGCTTTCCTAGATGAAAGCAGTTGCACAGAATCGGATGAACAACAAGCGAGCAAACACTATAGTACTGAATGGCAAAATAGTCTCAAGTTGGGCCAGCATACGGAGACCAGAGGTAGATCTGTAGAGATCAGTCATTGTACAACATCTTCCTTACAGGATTCTGAAAAGTCAGCCTCCCTATCCAAACAGCAAATTGAACAACGACAACAACGACATATTAAAGAGCAAATACCTATAAGCAATAATCCAGATCAAATTCAAAGAGAAGATCCAGCAAAGGACAAGGTAGATTCTCCTGAAGTACTTCGTTCAGGATCTGTGGAAACACGAAATTCTGAAGCTCTTGAAATAAGTCCTCTTGGTTTGAAAGAATCGTACAAGACTTCATCCAAGGCTCTATCTGAAAATGCAAGGCACAGGCAGTCGGTAGAAGATGACATTCCCTTTGATTCTTCTCCTGTGCATAAAGAACCTTCTATTGTTGCGAAGAAAACTGTGGACAAGCAGACAGGGCAGCATAATGAGAAATCTATTCAATCCAATTTGGAAAAACTTGAGGCTTTTCAAAGACCTGTAGAAGAATCCCCTAGGAGAGATTCTGTATTTTCTATTCTGTCAGATACTCGCAAAGTGATCGTAGTAAATAAGGTTCCTTATATACCACTTCAGATAGTTGGTCGAGGAGGTAGTTCGAAAGTTTTTAAAGTTATGAACAGTGGTGGTCAGATCTTTGCCCTCAAAAGAGTTCGTGTGTCACAAGCTGACGAACAAGGAAAGTATATATTCATCAATTACCAAAATGAGATATCTCTTCTTCAACGCTTAAAGGGCAAGCCCTGTATCATTCAATTGATAGACTCTGAAGTCAATGAGAAAAATTTGACAGTCCAATTTATTTTAGAGTATGGAGATATCGATTTGTCTAGGTTGCTTACTCGCTATGCTGAACGTCAAAAGTCGGTGGATTTGAATTTTATTCGATTATATTGGCAGCAAATGTTAGAAGCTGTGCAGACTATTCATGAAGAGAAAATTATTCACAGTGATTTGAAACCTGCAAATTTTTTATTTGTAGAAGGAACTTTGAAACTTATTGACTTTGGAATAGCAAAGGCCAGTCAAAGTGAAACAACCAAAGTTTTTCATGACAGTCCTATGGGAACTCTCAATTTTATGAGTCCAGAAGCATTTTCAAACAATTGTCGTTTAGGGAGAGCTAGTGATGTTTGGTCTTTGGGTTGTATTCTCTATCAAATGGTAAGAAATGGATCATTCTCAAAAGTATTTTATAGTAATTGTTTATAGGTTTATGGAAAAACTCCTTATGCTCATTTAAATCCTATCATGAAAATGAAAACCATTCCGGATTGTAGTCATCCTGTTGAGTTTCCAAACAAAGAAAGACTCAATCCTCAACTTTTGGATGTCTTAACAAGTTGTCTACAAAAAGAAGCTTACAGGAGAGCTTCCATACCAGAACTTTTGAATCACACCTTCCTTCATCCGGACAGATTATATAACAAAGAGTCTTAAAATAATGGCAGCGTTTTGTTGAGACAACGTTTTTGAAGATAGTTTGTTATTGCTTCTATCGTGTGAGGCCCTTCATAGATTGCAGGCTTTTTAAAGTATTTGGAAGAAAATACGAAAACGGTTGGGAAGCCATCAATCCAACTGTCCCATTGTTGAGGAATCCTATATTGCTGACAATCATACTGATATACCCGAAGTAACTTCTGATCTATATGGTTTGCAATATATGAATAAGCAGGCAGAGCTTGTTGACAAAAGATGCACCAAGGAACATAAAAAATGACTATATGGACAGTTTGGGTATTTGCTTTCCGTAACTGCTCTAAATGTGCTGGTCCTTGTAAAGTATATAGAAAAGAATGGGTTGTGATTTGTGGCCTCATCACCGTTTGTTTTTCTTTCCCATATTCTTGACTCATACTGGAGAGTAGTTGTTTTGATACTCTTGAATAAGTTGATAAAACACGGGATGACACTTGCCTAGTAGCGTCACCAGAAACTTGGCCAAGATTCTCCATGGCTGAATAAATATTATTGATAAGGGAAACATCTTCCAATACATAAAGTGGCAGTCTCATCCATACTTCTTTTTGACGGTCGATAACAATCATCTGTGCTTGTTCCGATGATCCTATTGAGTTCCAACGCGAATGATTCTCGTTGGCTTCTTCAGGAAACGAAACACCTAAACCTTTCAAAAACGGTGCAAAAGAAGAATAAGACATGGAATAATAACGACACGAACGACGATAGGAATGCAGCGAAATATTCTTACAATGTTCCATAGAAAGTTCCCACAACAAGGATTCATAGTCAAGTACTTGTGGATCATTGCGGTTAGGAATCACCACCAAGTGAAACCATTCGTCCTTTGATGCATTATTATAAGTTTCCGGGGTAATTGGAGCAAAAGGAGAGTAAGGAGAACCAGTCCTTAGCCTAAAAATGGTGAACCCTGTTCAACAAAAACTGCTACAACTCACCAACGCAAGAACTTTGGAGTGGACTTCCAAGTGACGAGATCTACGGCATCTTCTAAAGGCATTGAGCGCCAACTTTTGTATTCACCTTCAAAATGAGAATCTGAAAATATCATCTGAACCATATCATTGTCTCCATTCGCTAGAGAAAAGATAAAAAAGTCGATATAAACCAATTCTTCGGCAAGTTGTTTGAACAACTTTGTATATTCATCTATTCGTGATTTGTGTTGACTGGGAACCATTACAGCGACTTGTTGATAAGGAAAACGGGACGAGCGATTTTTCAAAAAGGAAATAGCTTCATGTGAACTTTCAACGGATTCCAATCGAATGGAGCATTCAGGGCAAGCTTTGATCAATCGAGAAAACACCAAAAAGGATAGATTTTCCGAGGAATAAACTGCGCCATATTTATGACAAACTCTGGACTCTATCTTTCCTCTTTATCCAATCAAAACGAGAATCGTTAGAAGTCTGTCCATAACGAAAGAACGAACTCTTACAAACAGAAAAAAATGATGGGAAAAAAAGGTATGTCGTTTGGCAACTTATCCAACTCATTATCCGCATGGAATATGTGGAACTGAACGTAATCTTGTTTCCAACCTCTTACTTGACAATGTTGAGACAAATCTCCTATAATCTATTCAAATATATCAATCACACTGTTCCAAACTTGAACCCATCCTTCTTACTTGCAACAATTGATTGCAGTCTGCACTCCAAGAAACAACAAAAGCAACTAAAATAAATATGGCAGTACTATTGGTAAATAAAACCGAATCTGCCAACTGTTCGTGGTGAAACACCAACGAGTCTTCCATAAGTAGTTTGGACAAAGAAAAGCGCAACGGCAATTCCAAAAGGGAAATGGAGAACGATGAATTATTTTATCGAGTTATATTACCCAATGAACTTGAGTTATCTTATTTTCTTTGGGCAAGTAAATCAGTCAATTCTTATTTCGCCCTATACACTAAAACTATGGCAAAAGAATTCAAATAATAACTGTTCTTGTTCTGAGGATAACCTTTTGTTCTTAAAACCATGAAAGAAAATAATTCATCGAATTCCAAATCTTCTAAACTGAATGGACAAGTTCTTCAATACTTATGAATACACGACTGGGACTTTCAACCTTGTCCAACAAATATAGATCATTTTCGGGTAAACTGGAAGGTGAACAAGTTGCTGCAATAGAGGTATCCTCAACAACTGCGACACAATATATACTTTCGCGTTCCTTCTCCTCAATCTTTGATACTATAGTTCGTTCGCGTTTCGTCTTATATTCTGTTAGAGACTCTTTTGCTTCATGATGCTTATTTTTCATATCATGATTGTCAGTTAATTGGTGATGGTCATCTACTAAAGGACTATCATTTACAGAGGAACTTGTATTGAGTAAGTTAGGCTTTGACTCATCCTCATCACAATCATAGTTATTTTCTTCAGCTTCCGTTTTTAAAGAAAAGCACGATGGAGATATACGAGAACATTGAAAATGTTTGGAATCATCAAAGTTGATATTATTCAAAGCCATTGAACGTTCTTTCTTTTCATTTTTCGATGATAGATCACTTGTAGACCGACGCTTTCTCAATTCACGTCTTTCTTTCGTAAGATCTATTGTATTCCTTTCATTTACAACATGGAATAGTTCACTTCCAATTTCAACAGGTAAAGATTCCAACTTTTGCTAAATAGGTATCACAAATGGGTATCCTATAAAAAAGCTCAAGTACCTTGCTTTCCAATAACTTTAACAAAAAAGCAAAACGGTCATAGTTCCTCATACATAACTTCATCAAGTAAGGCGTAATGACTGTACTCTTATGTTTTCGCGCTGTATCGCAACAACTCGTTAGGAAATCTTGCAACATCAACTGCAGAGCCTTGCTAACTAGTACGGGTGTTGGAACTGCAATCTTTCCAACCTCCTCGTTTATTCGCATAATACGCTTTATTCTTGAAGCAGGAAATACGACACTTTTACTTTTTCCTCTCATAACTTCAACCGTCTTCCTTGAAAAGTGAGTATTCTTGGCGGGCCAATTCAAGTCGGTTGATGATGGAAGCTATCAAATCTATTTTCTTCACTATCACAAAACCATTCTATACTAATATCATATTCTTTGTTTTCATAAGAATACTTTCAAAACCAAATGTAACACAAATGACGATGGATATCAATGTCCTCGCTAATATGTGACTTCATCATTGCCATTCCTTCCATACTCATAATTCTTTCGATAGGATGTCCAAAGATTCTCCACATTCTACTCTTTCCAAAAGTTTTCAAGTACTTTGTTTTCTCACTCTAGTGGTTACTTTATGTATTTTGCCAACTGAAACCTGCATCCGAATTATCAACGACCCTTCACTGTTCGGCTTATTCTTGACAAGTCCCAAGGAATGGAAAACTTCTTGGTCTTTTATTCTTTCATATTTCCTCAACCGGCAAAAACGAGATCCCTTATATACAGGTTTGGTTGATTATGTAAGAAGAGTGTTGGGAAGTCGTCAGGAGTTTCGCAATGTGTTTTGGAGTATTTCGTTATGTATTCCTTTTTTCTTGTCAGAACTTCCTTGTTTGGTAAAGTCTCCTTGGGGTATATTCCAAATAATGGCTTCGACTACTTTGCATGTTCTGTATCTCCTCATACCTTCTGTACTTGAGGCAATTCTTGAATGTGGCAACGTAAGTGATCCAGTGAAAAGAATCGTAAGTGAAAGGAAGCCCGGTTTCTTCTTATGCAGTTTTGCTTCTTTCCTTTCCTGGCCAGGAGCAGATTGGATACCTTTATTGTTACTTTATCTTCCAGTTGAACTCAAACTGTTACCCAAGTTTCACAAACCTGTGAAACTTCCTTGGACTATGGTGATGGGTAGTTTGTGTCTCGTTCTCACTTCCAATATGTTGCCAACCTCTTCTTTGGCGGAAAACTCTGTACGAGCTCCTTACTCTTGGGATCTTACTCTTGTCGATTGGCAGTGGTCCATTGCTGGTTTCATTTTTATAGCTGTGTTTTGTAACATAATTGGATGGGAGTTGGGGTTTGTGGAGTGGAATCCTCCAAACTTTAGCCACTTTTCGTTCATTCAACTATTTCGTTGGTGTATGCTAGCGCTTACCATATTTCTTGGCGCGTTGCCTGAAGAGATTCTCTTTCGTGGATTCATTTTACGCAAACTACAAACAAGTTATTTTAGAAAAGACTCCTGGTATTGGTCCCTGTTGGTATCTTCTCTATTGTTTGGTATTATCCACTTGAAGAATCCTTTGGATCATTTCCCACTACCTAATTGGCGCTTTGCACTGATGGCAACCGTTGCAGGTTTTTCTTATGGCTTGGTATTTCAGCAGACCCATTCCATCGTAGCAAGTGCTTTGACACATGGTTTGACAAACTTGGTATGGAGAACTTTTTTATGGAAGAAGAGTAAGAACCCTTTATGAACTGTTTCTTATAAACGAGAACTTGAAATGATTATTCTTCTTTGGGTAAAACTTCATTTTCATTACATAAAACATTCATTTGATTTCCATTGGAGACGACGACGCGAGGTTGACGGCCAACTAACTGGAGGAGAGTCAGCCATGTTAGAAGCACCCATTATAGTCGATGCAAAAGGACACTTATTAGGACGTCTGGCATCCGTAGTTGCAAAGGAAATTTTAAGTGGTCAGCAGATCGTCGTCGTTCGTTGTGAGGAACTCAATATTTCTGGAGACCATCACCGACACAAGCTCAAGTTTAAGAGTTACTTGAGAAAGAGAATGAACACGAATCCTTCTCGCGGTCCCTATCACCATCGTTCACCTTCCAAAATCTTCTTCAAGGCAGTCAGAGGAATGGTTCCTAGAAGAATCCCACGCGGTTCTGCAGCGTTGAGTCGACTCAAGGTATTTGAAGGTGTACCTCCACCCTATGATAGAATGAAGAGAATGGTTGTTCCTCAAGCTTTAAGAGTGGTTCGTTTGCGTCCAGATAGAAAGTACACGCACGTGGGCACTCTTGCTTCACAAGTGGGTTGGAAGTATGCTGATGTTATCAAACGTTTGGAACAAAAGAGAAAACAAAGAAGCAAAAATTTCTATCTCAAGAAGAAAGAAGCTAAGAAAGTAAGAAAGGAGGCAGAAAGAGGTTTGGATTTATCCGAATGGAGTGCTCTATTGGAACCTGTTTCTATGCATCTTCATCATTCAACAACATCATAATAAAAGTTAGTCCTTTTTCATATACGGATTTATGCATTCATTTGAAGATGGAAACTTCACTGTGGTCCAAAGTAGTACAGCGAGCACTTGATCGAGGCATCTTATCCGAAACAACACCTAAAGTGTTTATATATCATCTTGATAAACTGCAAAATACTTGGAAACAGCTGTTCGATGCCTTTCCTCCCAAGACACTTCACAGTAAGTGAAAGTTGTTGAATGGAAACAAACTTTTGTGTATTTTTTTGTTAGCTTTTGCTTTAAAGGCTTGTCCTGTGAAAGGAGTTCTTTCACTTGCTTTCAGTTATGGTTTCGGTGCAGAATGTGCTTCTATAGGAGAAGTATGTGCTCCACCCCTTTTTTCCTTGTTGATCTTAAAAAAACTAGGTTTATCTGGCTAAAAGCTTTGGTTGTCCTTCAGAAAGAATTGTATTCGATTCACCAGTAAAGACTATGAAAGACTTGAAGCTGGCTTTGGACGACGAAATATATATCAACGCAGACAACTTTCAAGAACTTGAGAAAATACAACAGCTGTTGAGAGAAAACGAGGAAGAGTTGTGCAACAAGCAAGTTAGAGTGGGTCTTCGTATCAACCCTCAAATAGGCTCAGGGTTGATACAGGAAACCAGTACTGCTAGTGCACAAAGTAAGTTTGGTGTACCTTTGAAAGAGAAGCTCGAGGAAATAGTAGAGTGCTTCCAAAGATATTCATTTCTAAAAGGCATCCACGTACATGTTGGTTCTCAAGGTTGTACTTGGGAACTACTGGAGCAAGGTATTCGTGCTGGAGTTGATTTACTTGTCCAATTAAGAGAACGTTTTCCTGAACGCTTACAAACGTTGGATATAGGCGGTGGTCTTTCTGCAGATTATGACGGTGTATCTCAAGGTGCTAGCTTTGAAGAGTATGTTTCAAGGCTTGAAAGGGTTGCACCAGAATTATTTGATTCTTCTCTGCAGCTAATAACAGAGTTTGGACGACGTTTATGTGCCAAAGCTGGTATATTTGTATCCCGAGTTGAATATACAAAGCAGTCGGGTAATAGGAATATTGTATTATGTCATATTGGCGCAGATAACTTTTTACGTCCAGTATATCTTCCCAAGGTACTGAGTTTTATATATTTTCTCTATCATGAATAGTTTGATGGCAATGTAGAATTGGAAACATAGAATATTGGTATTGGATAAACAAGGTGGCAACAAGTTGTTGGATGGACGTGAATATCCGATGATAGAACAAGATATTGCAGGTCCTCTTTGTTTCTCTGGTGATATATTTGCAACTGGTCGTCTTTTACCCCGTTGTGAACCTGGTGACTGGCTTGTTGTTTTGGATAGTGGTGCTTATACGTTAAGTATGTATTCTCGACATACTTCACAATGGGTATCTGCCGTATATGGTTTCCATGAGAATTCGAATGAACCATTTCAACTCTTGAAAAAGGAAGAAAGTCCTGAAGAGTTGATACGGTTTTGGAGTTGAAGTCTGCAAAGTATTTTTGTGAATGAAAAGCGTGAAGAACGACGACAAAGTGTTGTGTGATGATATTTTGACTGCAACGGATAAAGCCTTTCCCTTTGGAGACGACGTCTTAGACTATGGCCTCTTTGAGCATATTTGGCCAGAATTTTGCTTTCAAGTAGTCAACTATTGTGAGATTATCTTGTCTAAAAGAGTAAACTCCTTAGGTTTCTCCATTCATGGGCCTACTGGTTCAGGAAAAACTCTCTTCGCCAAGTGTATGGCCACTCGCTTCTCTTCTGAAGTTCACTATGGGTCAGCTGTCGATTGGATATATGCCTATGGGAAATATTTGGATAGTCCTTTGAAGAATATTCTAGTTTCAGCTCCAACACAGAAACCTATCCTATTGATTATCGATGACGCCGACCATTGGGTAGTTGGAAAAAAGTCCTTGGAAAAGAAAACTATGTGTGGGTTTATTGAAGAATTGGACTCGTGTAGGAACCTCCAACAACGAATATTATGGATACTTATCACACGAGAGGAAAATCAACTACACCCCATTTTGAGACGAGACGAGTACTTTCCTCATTCCTTTTGCGTTCCTTCGTTGTCAAGAGAAAACATTCATCATATGGTGTCTTATTGGCTTGAAAAAATAGATAATCCTACTATATCTCGTGTTGCTTTGGATCTCGTGCAACGTGAAAACATGATTCCTGGATGGAAGGGATGCGTCTTTGGGCATATCTCATATTTGGTGACAACGTTCTTACGAATGGTTTATTGTAAGGGTGGAGATCACGACTCGATAGCAAAACAATGGCAACGAAGTCTTGAGGCAACTTTCTCCTTTGTCGTACAAAACAACCCGGAAATAGGGATAAGCAACCATAAACCATCATCCAATTTCATAGTGGACGATTTCTTAGTTGGCAGCGATGATGAAAGCTCTCTATCAGAAACTTTCAATGATTTGGTCACCGTTATCACATATTCAATGAAAAAGAACCAACAAGTATTTCCTACCACAGTCACTCCTTTTCGAGGTGCCTTAATTTATGGTCCTTGTGGTGTGGGAAAGACAAGTTTATGTCATCGACTTGTTCAAAAGCTTCATTTACCTGTATTCGTTCTAGATGGAGCATCACTATTGGCCTCTGCAATAGGACAATCAGAAAAAACCTTGAAACAATGTTTTCTAGCAGCACGTAGATTCTCACCCTGTGTCATTTTTGTGGATCAAATAGATATGGTGTTCCAGAAGAGAGACTTTGCTGATGGCACGTCAGCTGAAAGTCTTTCCAGATTGACTTGTCTATTTTTATCGGAAATGGATGGCTTCTCAACTTCGCGTCAACCGGAGTTCTTTGTTTTGGCAACAGCACAAGATTTGGATAAAATAGATCCCGCTTTGTTGCGCCCTGGAAGATTGGAATACAAAAAAAAGTTGGATTTACCGACCAACTATCAGAGGTATCGATATTTGTGCAATTTTTTGAAACATGTGAAGAACGTAGGAGTCACCGTGGAGAAGCAAGTAGAAGACAACCAATTTCTAGATTGGATCGTTCAAAGCACTTGCATGTGGAATCTTGCAGACTGGTCCATGTTACTGCGTTCCGTGCTGTTGTGTTGTTGGAAAGAAAAAGTGAATGATGGGGAGTTGAAACGGAAACATTTCGAAAGTATGTTGATGGAGAAACAAGGAACATCCAACTTGTTACCAATCGACTCTTCTTTTGAGAGTGAAGTCATCGAAGGAAAGCGGGAATACTGCGGGAATACTGAAAAAAAAAATAACTTGTAGTTTGTGTAAAAGAGAAACAAACTAGGTTGTATCCCTTGCGATTATCATCATTCAAAACTTGGAAACAAAACAAGCACTGTGTTTTTTTCATGGGTTCCGTTTGCCCCCGTTGATATCAAGTGGAATGTTTACATACAATTGCACCATTCAAAAAAATGTACAAACTAACGACGTATTGGTAGACAAATCAAACCCCCCCTCTTCTTTTCTCCCTTCCCCTCCCCTCCCCTCCTCCTCTTGTTCTTCCTCCCCAATTTGTGTGGTCAAAAACCCTATACTATTGCGATGACAATGGAGGAACTGGGTATACTGCCATGCCCCCTATACTATAGGGTATGGCTTCCATGCTAACGTATCGTAACAACTGTTCAAGGCTGTTCTTTGGAATCCACTCCAATTTGGAACGAGTATTCCTAATAAATAACATGAAATCATCCAACACACGCGCACAATCTCTATGTATGACCTACTCATCGATAAATGGTGAAACTATTTTGTAAACACCATATAAAGTAGAAGGATAGTTGACAAGGAATATTTTGGATAACCGCTCGGGATAAAAATCCTATTCCAAGGTATTCCATTAAAGAAACTAGAAACAAATCTGGATGGACATACCTGCATCACTTTGAGCATATCTCGGGCACAACCGAAATGAACGTTGCGAATAGGAGAAAAATCCTAGACTTGATCAACTACCAATGAGGTTGCTCCAAAAAACTTACTGTAAAGTCAAAAATGATGACAAACATTGTGCTAGGTTCGAAAGTGTCCCCAAGAAATTCCAAAAAGGATATGAAGCCGCGATGAAAGATAGCAGGATCAATCTTGAATCGATCCAATGCACTGGCTCTTCCGTAAAGTAACGGCTCACCATCAAAAGTGCAAAACCCTTCATGCAACTGAGCCAAAACCAAATAAAAACATTTTAAAGATACCAGTAGTAGTAAAAGGAAACGTCGCAAGAGGATTCTTAAACTCGTCGAGACCAACGCTGTTGACATTTTCAGCCTCACGAAACTTCAAACAAGCAAGAAAACTATCAAAAGCAGAATCCACATTGAATCTAAATAAATTTCAGGAGTGAAAAAGAATGTTTCGAATAATAAGAGGACCTTCTCGCTCTCAAAAATCTACTAAGAATAATTTTTTCAGTTTCAGAGGACCTCTTAATCCTCCTGACCAATTTATCTGAGCTGAAGGTCGTGTACAAGCCCTCGGCTTCAATTTTCTCACTAAGGCACTCGAGACTGTCGTATAGCGAATCAGGCATCCAGTCTACCGTTCAGGACACAAATTCCATGAAACGAGCGGGATTTTTTCATAGATAATATTGGCATTCTGTCCCAAAAAATAATCTGATGTATTGTCAATTAAAATTGCCTTTCAACCAAACTGAAGCTTTATAAAAACAAACATAACATTTAACCGAGAATACCAGCAACTGTTAAAGTACACATTAAAAATCGAATGTTTTTCGAAATTAAAAATTAAAATTTTAATTATTTTAAAGCTGCTTTCTCAAATGATTACCCTGAAAGATACAACTTTTAATTTAACTTTATTTATTGCAGAATTTTAAAATATCGAAGATTATTTTAGGTAATCTCATTTCGCTTAGAAATCTTCCGTTGTTTGGATGACCTTTTATGAATCAATCCCTTTTTTGCATAGTAAGATTGCTATACCTTTTAATTTATGTTATTCACACTGTTTTAGTCGAAGTTGTTGCAGGGTTTGCCAAGGTCGCTTTCTTTATTGCTTTTGAACGGCGAGAGCTTTTCTGCGTCGCTAGTCTCGAGACTTTGGCAATCTGCAGCGTTTACTGTCTGTGCAGACGGGGGTAGCAACAGGTTGTTTGACTGCTTTGGAACCGATCAACGAGATCGTTTTGTTCCCAACGTCATAAAGGTATTCGCATTTGGAGTTTCTCTGGAATCATCTAGTTAATTTTTCTTTTGCTTAGGGTGATTTTGACTCTATACGGCCAGAAGTTATCAAATACTATGCGTCAAAGAAAGTTAATATTATTCAGAATTCTAACCAATTTTACAACGATTTTGAAAAGTGCTTAGGTTCTATTGAACCTAATATCGAAGATTTACCCACCGTTGTACTTGGTGGCATAGGTGGTCGCATGGATCAACAGCTTGCGAATATTCATATTCTACATAAATTTTTACCTAGAAAGATCTATTTGCTATCGTTGGATCAAGTCATGTGGTTGCTTCCTGGAGGAAAACATTGCATTGTATGTTCGAAAGACATAGAAGGACCTTTGTGTGGCTTGATACCTATTGGCTCCATCTGTCGTGAGGCGACAACTACAGGGCTTCGTTGGAATCTAGATCATCAACCATTATCATTTGGTTCCTTTATTAGTAGTTCTAACGAGATAGTAGATAGTTTTGTGGAAATTGAGACAAGTGATACGCTATTATGGTGGTCCGAATTGAAACTGAGGAATATATTGTAGACAACAAATTCAATAGGTAATCGATGATTTACGAAGTGTGTTTCCATTTTGGTCATATAAAGGAGAGTCATTTTTGATTAGATTCCAAACTTCTTCTTCAGTACTGCAGGTGGCATGTGGCTCAACATATCTTCCCATCGATGTTCCAAACACAAGATGGATATCATGTTGTCTGTTGTCTGTTTCTTCTCTTGATCGCTCATGAAACAAGCATAGACAACATTTTCTAATGGATACATTATCTTTAGTTTCTTCGTTGGCACTTTTTGGATTTTTTTTGCAATTGTGCTGTGTCTTTCACTGCTAGAGTCTTGGCTTGGTTTCCCAGTCTCAGAAAGGTCCATGGAATCCTCCAAATGGTTTCCTTTGTTGATGACCTCTTCGAACTGCTCCCAATGCAATAAGATGATGTAATGACGCCCATATATCAAAAAGCACGAAGAGTCGACATCTATATCCAGTCCATAGATAGGTAACAAGTTAAGCGACAAAATCAGCTGTTCTTTAACCCATTCCATTGACTTCTCCGACCATGATGACAATCTGTCCATCTTCCATTTCCCAGAGTCAGCTTCGATCCTAAACAACTGGATTTGACCTCGACAACCACACACTATCAACACATTTTTTTGAAAACGAATAGAAACGACACTTTCCGACAAACAACTAACGTACATATAAGTTGAGAAACAAAACGTTGAGCCAAAAGAAACATCCTTACCCCTGCAAACTCGCTACCGGACTGTCCAAGTGACGTATATCGAAAATAAACACATTACCATATTTATCTCCAGCTGCAAAGAACAAAGACATCTCACTTGCATTTGTACTCTCTTTAGCATGGGTCATACAAGTTATAGTGCAGGAGTTTGAAGCATTTTTGGACACTTTAGTAGGGATCCAGTCAGCCCATTGAATCGAACGAGGCTTCTCTATGGAAGCGGCATTTTGATTGCTCAATATTGTATGCAGAAATATACATTCTGCTTCTTTAGAAAGTGCCAATAAATAACTGCAAGTATTGCTTTCATATATCCATAGCAATTGGCGAGCACCACCACATGAATGAATGACTTGAAATGGATCTACTTCCATCGCCACTGTGCCATTCTCTACCCATGACACTTGATAAATTCGAATAACAGTTGTTGTGGCCACAGCAAACCAAGTAAAGTCTTCCGAGACTGCTGATGCACAAATATGACCATCTCGTTTTCGAGATTTGTATCTAAATAAAATTTTATCCATCATCTTACAATTACCCTTCCAAAAATCGACATGTTGGTCATGTTCTGCAACAAGTAAATCCTTGTTACGATAGTAGGAAGCACAAGATGGCCTGTGTGGTTGTCTTGAAGGATATAAACGAATACAAGGAGCTTCCGAGAAAAAGTCGTTAGTGTCTATAATAGAAATGCGACAGTCTGCTCCTCCCGCAACGATACGATGATTGCCGATAGCTTTTATTGTTCGTACATCCCGTGCATGTAAGCTTCGGCCTCTCACGGGAATCCAGTGATATTTATTAGGTTCTGTTGATGTCCAGTGACCCCTTATAGCACCGATTCCTCCATCACTAGCACCAAACAATATGTCAACATCTGGTAAAGCCAAGTTTGGGTCTTGACTATCTTCATGAACAATACCTGTCAAACAAGTAATATCTCCTTTACAATTCTCCACGGCGAATTCGCTTATCACAGAACAGGTGGTTGCATCCCATATCGTTAGAATCCCTCTAGAGTCTCCGGTAGCGTAATAATGATGGTTACTATTTACCTTTAAGGCAATTACAGACCATATAACAGCTGGTACGCCTTGCTGGGTTATCTTCATAACTTGTACACATCTTCGTGTCTCAGTATCTAACTTTCGTATATTTCCAGAGTCATCCGTAGCCAACAAGAATGACGTAGATTCTAACGACCAAGCTATTGCGAGTACTCTGGATTGACCAGCTTCTAGCAGCTCTACTTGGACCAAATCTTTGCTGTTCGTTGCATCCGCTAATTGACTGGTTGCTATATGAATCAGCCTCACTCGACCGTCTTCACAACCTATTGCAATTGTCTTTGTATCGTTTGTTGTCGTTGGGTCCACTTCCATACACCATATAGCTCCTCCACCTGGACTTTGTTGATACAGTTGCGTTCTTCTCTCCATATCCCATATTGTTAAGAAGCCATCTAAAGTACTGGTCATAACTTTGTCAACTGCAAGCTCCACTATGCTCGTGATAAATTTTCCAGTTTTTATAGTACTCGGAACATAGTTTTGAACAGCCCAACCTGTAAACGCACTACGTGTTTCCAGGTCTCCATTTTCTCTAGCCACAAAGAATTGGTTGCCACTATGACTGCAATCAGGACAGATTGCAACTACAGCACTTGTCTCAAAGTTTACGAAACTACAACGGTGTAAGGCAATTTGGAAGGTTTGCTGCTTTGAAGATACATAAGCTGATTGGTTTTCATTCCTATCGGAGTCTTTTGCCATATGAAAACACGATCGATAAAAAATAATGTTGGCCGTTGGTCGTTCTCAGCAACGATGATGGTTTACCTAAGAGAATATTTTAGCTATCCATTCTACCACTTTGAATGGTTCAATACAAAGTATATTATATTGTATTGGATTTGCTGCACAAGCTGAACCATATAATAGCCTTTTTAAGATGTTCTCTTCTTTAGCCCCACAGAGAAAGGTATGGATAAACGTTGGCTTTCCTATCTGAAACAAAAGGAGTTTTCCAAACTTTATTATTTTGGTTTGATTGAGGAGACTTCACCATATGAATTCAAAGAGATATTAAGGTTGTAAAAAGAATTGATCAATCTGCACATTATCTCCAAGTTCAGAATATACTGCAATTGCATCTTGAAAATTTTGTGACTCTGTATATTTGGCTATATAGAAATGTAATATTACAATAAATAAAGCATTTATAAACTCCTTGTTACTTACTGGGAGTGATTATGCATCGAAGACCAGCAGCTTTGGCAGCTTGCAAACCTAATATATATATACATACGAGTATATGAAAGGACTCCATTTCAAATGTTGCTTCTTACCAATCTGACTATCTTCAATAACGACACATGACTCTCTTGAGAGACCCAATTTGTCTTTTGCCAATAAATATATTTCTGGATCCGGTTTCTTCCGAGATACCACGTCACCTGCTAGGACCAAACAAAACTTCCCAGCGCGTTCCTTCAATACTCTTTCCATAACTAGATTAACTGCACGTTGGTTGGCAGCAGAACAAACACAAAGACGATATCCTCGAGCATAAGCCTTTAGAATAATAATAATAATAATAATAATGAAATATTATCTTTGAACTAGATATAATAGCTACCTCATCGATGAAGCGTGCTATTCCAGGCCTCAATGGTATCGTGCTTTTACGTAAGAGTTCTATATAATATTGAGTTTTATCCTACAAACTATTGAACAACAAAGAAACAAAGGTATTACATAGCGCACTTGGTGTATGCTGTTCACTAGCAAACGCTTCTCTTCTTCTGTAGATATTCCACTAGGCCAACCCACTTTTGTAAAGTACCAAGTTATCTTTTCTTTTCCACCACCCACAGTATTTTGCAACATTTCATACAACGGTTCGTCCCAAACCACACCTATGTAACGTCATTCTTGCAAGACTTGTCTGAAGCATACTTGTTCTACCTGTATGATGGAGTTGAAAACTCTTGTTGTAAGATATTCTGTGTAGTTCTTCAGAGTCTATCAAGACACCATCACAATCAAATATGATTCCTCTATTTTCTTGCATGGTCAAAGGAATATTTCTCAAAATCTGTCTGCCAAAAGAGCATGTTGACTTTCGACAAGGAGAGTGTAAAGGCAATCCAATATTCTTTGTTTTGGTTAAGAACTTGGGTTTGAACTGATGAAGAGTAACGATGGGAGATGGAATAATCCACATTGTGTATTCAATTCACATAGAGATGGGAATGGATCACATGTTGTTGTTGTTTACTGGTGACTCTAAACTCTTTGTTTGGCAACCCACAACAGGTTTTAAAAGTCATTTCTTAAGAAAGAACAATGGATTACTATTTACAAGGTGATTGGAATGATATTATAGTGTTGTATTTACCAACGCTTTGAGTGATAGAACTCATCGAAACCGTTGTCGTCAAGGAGTACAAGTGATGGCTTGTAAACCAAAAGCAATGGAAAGTACTATTAATAGGAGGTACAAGGTTTAGTGGTTTATATATTGCTAGAGAATTGGCATTATCTGGTCACCAAGTTGTCTTGTTCAATCGAGGTAGCGTTCCTATTGGCGATATTTCTCTCAAGGTAAATCATATTTTCTCTCTCTCTTTTATATATATATATATATATATATATATATATAATTATATCAATATGGTGACTCTTATTGTGTGCTTTTTGAATAGATAAGAGGTGAAACTGAGAAAGATTTCCAAACAAGAATGTCCAATACTCACTTGATAAAGGGAGATCGCACCCATCCTCAGGATATTTTACGTGTTGTACAAAGTGAAAAATGGGATGCCATCTTTGATAATAACGGAAGAGAATTATCAGATAGCAAGGCAAGTAGAATGGAAAGGAAACCTTAATGCGGATTGTAATAATATTATCATAGCCATGGATAGATGGTTTGGGCCATTCCATACAACATTATATGTATATGAGTAGTGCTGGTGTCTACAAGGAAAGTGGATTACTTCCACATAGGGAAGAAGATGCAGTTGATCACAATTCAAGACACAAAGGAAAGTTGGAAACCGAACAATATTTGAAACAATCTGGGATACCCTTTACTTGTATTCGTCCTACTTATATTTATGGACCTCGCAATTATAATCCTGTGGAAGAGTGGTTTTTCAAACGCATCGACCAAAATAGACCTATTCCGATACCTGGACATGGATTACATATTACGGGTTTGGGTCATGTAGAAGACTTAGCAAAGGCAATGGTTCTTGCTTTAGGCAATCAACAAGCTGTTTCACAAACTTATAATATTCAGGGAAGATATTCGGTGACTTTTGATGGTTTTGCTAAGCTATGTGCTATTGCAGCTGGTAAAGACCCCAATAAGTTGGAGTTGATCCATTATGATCCTAAAAAGGTTCCAAAGGATAAGAAATCGTTTCCATTTCGACCACAGCACTTTTTCTGTAGTTGTGCTAAAGCTGAAAGAGAATTGCAATGGAAGGAACGTTGGGATTTGGTTTCGGGTTTAAAAGACTCCTATGAAAACGACTTTATAGAAAAGAAGAAAAGAAATGCTATCTCTTTTGACTTTTCTCTAGATGACCAGATATTAGAGTCATTAAAGGAAGCCAAAAGTATGTTGGTTTGAATAAAAAATATATATATACTTGTGGGGGAGAGAGACAATCCAAGTCTTGGAGTATAGGAAAGAAAGCCTCATAAAACAAAAGTGGAAGGAGAAGAGCATCGGCCATTTTCTGATTATTATCATCGACGCCTCTTTTCCCTTTTCATGGCACTTGCTAAGCAACTGGAAAATATAAAAGCAAGAGGTGATTGTATTTATCGCAGAACAAAAGCACCTCCTTCCATATTATTTGATGACAAAGTATCCAGAAAGTTAGATACTGAACAAATACTGAATCTTGCAGTGGAAGGCTTGGAAACTCTTAGAAACTTGGACCAGAGATTTTGTCGTTTTGAACACAGCATCTTTTCTTTATTGCATCCTATTGATAGAAATTTGAAGGATGATGAAGAGAACAGGGGTATAGATAAAGAAATTCGAGAATTCTGTTTACTGGCCTCTCCCTATTTCCTACTAAGAGCAACTCACAAGTGTTTAGAATGGCTCATTAGAGGACTGGAAGCAGGAAAGAGAAACGTGGATGACCTAATTGCTTTGGCGCTACCCTTTCATGCCACACCACCTTTCAGTCGAGTGTTGAGTGCCTGTGAACTAGAACCAACTCGCTGGACATTCTTGAAACCAGTCTGTCAACACAAGGAGTCTTTACAAAGAAATACTTTAAGACAACAGGCACCTTTATGGCTTTGGAGATTCGTCACACAAACTGCAAAAGATTGTGCACAACGTTCAGTCAGAGCTTCACAGCTGTTCTCATTTTGGGCAGTCTTTGTGAGGGAAAAGTTGCAAACGATTGGAGAGAAAGACAACATCATCATGAAAGATGTTCTTTTGGACACCCTTTTAGGTATTCAAATGAGACAAGGTGACTGGGACTCCTTACTGGAATATCGTAATGCAAGCGTAGTTGTATTATGCACCTTTTTTGAAAGATTCAAGTTGAACTCGGATATCCTGTCAGCGTGTATGAATGCGTTGTGTTGTAGTTTTGAGTCAGTTTGTTCTTTGCAAAACATGACTCAGGCAGTCTATCCATTGGAAAAAGGAAGCATGTTTTATCAGTTGTTGAAGTCTCTGGTAAAATGTTTAATGCTATTGTTCTTTTATCATTGCGATGTGAAAAAGGAAATGAAAGATGCCATTTTAACCTCAGAAAATATTTCTCAGTTGTGTAAGAATGAAAATACTCTGGTCAGAATACTTAAGGAATTGGCGAGCGAGTTGGATATTGACTACAGTAAGCCATTTATGATAGCTCTGTGTCATTCCATGATTGAGCAATTGACTACCCATATTGACTACTTGGAAGCTTTGTGTCAAATCTTTACTTTGATGCCTGTACAAGAGTTCCTAGGTCACTTGATTAAGAAACTATTGGAATTTTATGAAAGACATCTGGAAATGTTGTCATCCAAACCACAAAATACGAATAATATTGCTTTATCTAGTACAGAATCCCAATCCATTATTTTACAACGCTTGCAAAAGGTCATGAGCCGACTGAAGACTATGGCAAATACTCAAGAACTCGACTTGGGCATTCGAGAATATTTAAAACAATCCAAGAACGCTTCCATTCGAGAGCAACTTGTTGGAGTTCTTTTTGGTATATTTAGTGGTTCCATGTTATTGCCAGTTATTATTCATCGTGAAGAAATGGACTCGACTGTTTTTGATCAAGGCAATGAGACTATAGCAGAAACTTTGTTAGGTGTTTTGGAACATCCAGAAGCAGCTATTCGTGAATATGCGTTGAAAATGTTGAAGCAACACTTATTGGTACCTTTGGAGTCAAGTAGGGAGGAAGATCACTCCACTGAAGAAATATTTCGTAATATATCAGAAACCTTGATTCGTCATATCGATATGGAAGATTGTTTATCAGTTGTCAAATCTGTTTTAGAACTATTTATAGAACATGTGAAGTTACAGAATTCAGTCCGTACCTTGCTTTTCTGGTCAATTGAACGTAGATTGGAAAGGATATGGAAACAAGTGGACAACATGGATAAGCAAATAACTTTAGCATTGTTACAAAAGTTGCCATTGCTTCAAGTAGATGAGTCAACATGTATAACGCCTTCTTTATTGGGAACTTTGCTGTCGTTTGTATTCCATCCAGACATGGATTCGGATGTGAAGCAAGCTGCATTTCATTGTTGGATGACTTTGTGGCGTAGAGCAACGAGTAGAAAGGAAGTGAATCATAGCGTTGAGAATACAACAAGTAATGAGACTGATATCTCTGTTTCTATTATGATTGCAGTATTGACCAATTGGATGACGAAGGAAGGTTGCAGAACCAATGAGTCGACGTATATTATATCCATTGTCGAAAAGTTGATGAAGGATTGTTTGGACAATCTTTCTTATGAAAAGAAACAACCGTGGCAAATGCAAATGACATTTCACCAGCTTTTGTTTATTTCGGTTGTCCTGAATATGTTTTTACGTACCACTTGCGATGATGAAAAACATAACAACTCACTGAAGGAGAAGATATATTGGCTCATGACGTGCTTTGTAGAATGTATTGCTTTGTGGATACTTTCAGATGGAAGACTTTCAAAAAACAAGCCTCTTGATTCTGAATGGAAGAGTGCTTGGACAGAGCATGCAAACTGGATGGATCCTTTATTTCTTCGAAGGCTATTTTTAGAAACAAATGGTTCCCTATTATTCTTTGGTGGTATGAGTGTGTTGAAACAGTTCTATCAAACCATGGACGACGAGAGGACTCGTATTACCAAGAGAACTCAACTACTTGCTACTATTTTGTTTCCACTGGAAAATTCCAAATGGAAATGGAGCCTGTTTGATCGAGAAATGATATATGATTGTATTTGCCAATTATCGAAGAGTGGTATGGAAGAAAACATTGTACATTTATTGTTCGATAATGAGTTTCATTTTCGACCATTTTGGATAGCTTTATACTTCCTCGTTGAAAAGACAAAAAAGAAGAATGACCTTAGAATGTCTATCTTTTTTGTTCTATATCAATATTTTCCATCGGCACGACCAGCTATCGAAAGCGCATGGAAATGTACAAGTCATGAAATAGATGATAGGAAGAAAGAACTTGTTGGAAAGGGGATGTTTCTTCAAGATTCAAAGATGCAAGATCCATCTGTACCACTAGTCCATTATAGATTATCCGATGATGTTAAAGTTGCCATGTTGCGAAGCTGTTTTGAAATGAAATATTTTTCCGATTTTCATATCCAACTACTCATTTTATTGGCGCCGATAGATGAAGAACAAACCATTTCTTTGGAGCTATTGGAAACTGTAGTAGAATTATTGCAGCGTTTGGAAGACAACTTGAAAGATTGGAACGAGGATGAATTGCAAAACACGTATTCTTTGATAACTCGTTATTTTACATTTGTAGATGAAAAGGACCAACAAGTTGCCAGTGAAAATCAACGTATATGGGATGTTTATTTCAATCATATAACATCGAATACGGATAGTATTCGTATTGCATTTCTTCAGAGGTGGCCATTCGTAGTCAGTTGTGGAAATCAACAGAGATGGAAAGACTTGGCACTCGTCTTGTTTCAATTATGGATGGATACGAAACAGGAAGATGTCGTTGTATTGCAAGTAAGACAACTGATTATGAAGTTGGCTGAAGTAGATATTTCATTGTTTCTCATTCAATTGGAAGATATGGTCAAAGGTTCGCAGATGGCAACTTGGGAAGAATTGCCTTTGGTAATATCGCGTTCCATACCGTTGTTGGAAGTATTCGCTAATGTATCCATTGATGTACTGAACGATGAAGATGATTTGAGCCATTTGGTCAAGTCATTGACTATTTATCTTTCCATATTATCAAAAGCTCTTGAAAATAGAGGCGAAGAAGTGCAATCTTCCGCTTCTTCCTATGCACAGGGACTAATTGTTTCTATTTTGTATCGACTATGCAAGTATTTTGGGAAGCGATTTCCGATTGGCTCTCTGAATCTGAAAATATTTACGCAAGACGAACAACAGCCATGGGCAGGAGCATTTTCACGCGCTGCACTCATTCGTTTGATTTGTTATCTTACAAGCTTGTTTCCTTCCGAGTTGAAGGAGAATTTTACCAATGCTTTGAAATGGATGTTAAGAACGACGAATACGGAATACGTGATTAGTAACATATCTTATATAACACCTGCAGTTATTGCCATTTTATCACAAGACGATAGGGAAGATATGATTACTGTTCCATTTATAACTGAGTTGTTGTCTTTTTTGGACTCGGAAAGTTGTCTGTTATTGGCAAGAAATATTTTCGAATCACTGGGTCAATGCAAGTTGGAGACTATTTTGTTTTCTTATTTGCTACGAGACGCAACGTTAAGGAGGAGACAAGGTGGAGATCGAAATATCCAAACTTTTTGGGAGCCCTATAAGAGATTATTGTTTAGTTTTCCTTTGACCATACAGATACATGTTGTGGAACAATTTTTGCAAACTATGGATACCACTTTTGAAGAGGAAATATTTCATTTGAGTTTAGAATGGGTACGTTGCACAACACTATCTCCAATGTTTCGCAGTTGGCATGTGCAAGATGACCATAGTGTGATGAGGATGGATTCTGAAGAATATCATTTGGAGACAAGTGTTGTCTCTTTACTTGAAAGAGTGTTTTTCTTTTCTGTTGGAAGCCAAGACCGAATGGAAATGTTTCAGGAACAGTATTCATCATCGATACTTTGTTTGTTTCCTTTTCCTTTGTTTATTCGAGCAATGAAAAATGTTCTCAGTATGGAGTCGAATGAAATGGCTTATCTTGGTTTAACATGTATTTCCCAACTACTTTATACTGAAGAATGGAAACAAACCAAACATGCAACATGGTATGGGACTATGGAAAGAATCAAACATTCTATTTGTATTCAACTTTTGCCTGAAATATTGGAGATTGTAATCAAAGTGCAAGTGAAGGACAGTAAGTTACGAATGGCATCCATTGCTGCTTTAGATATTTGTGTGCATATGTATCCTCGCGAAAACTTGTTGGAGAAATTATCACCCGCACTGCAACCACTGATGAGTTTTTGTTGTGAGAAGAGAAAGACTCTGGCTTCTTCAAGTATGCTTTGTTTGAGTACGATTATAAGAAGACTACGAATATCTTGTGTGGAATATGTTCCACAGTTATTGCAGGTAATCACTACGGTTTGGGAACGTTGTTGTAAGATGGCCAACGATAAAAAGCAAAATATCAAACAACAAAACTATATTCGAGCCGTCATTGTTCTTGTTTCCAGTTTTCAAGATCATTTGAGCCATTTTTGGAGTGTTGCGTGTGTTTGTTCCATGTTGAAATGTTGTTCGACAAGTTGTAAAAATACATTTGGTCAACAAGTGATGGATCAAATGCAAAGGATTATGAGCCATCTTCGAGTTCATGTAGCGGTGCCAGTACTAAATACGGGTTTGGAAGATATATCTATTCATAGAATACATTTTCTATTGTGCTGTATGGAAAAATGGTTTGATAACGTATCGAATAAGGAACTTCGTTCGCATCAACATGAGATTTTTAGTTGTTTATTAAAAGCATTGGATATTCGAAGACAATCCATAGAGATGGGTTTATTATTAGATGAAGAGGAGGTTGCAGAGTTGGATAACAAGATTGGAAATATTTTTACAAAACAAGCATTGCGACTGATGGAAAGTGACTTTAAGGTGTTGTTTATGAGATTAGTTGGTTGGTGTGAAGAAGAGTTCTCCAGTCCACAACTTATGATTCCTTATCATTGGGATGATCTTTGTCCTTTTCGTTGTTGCTATGAAAGGCTCATCTCCTTTTTTAAGGTCGTTTGTTCATTAGCTCAAGGTTTGCGGGAACTTTTTCTACCTTACTTTTCTTATGTTTTGGATTGGTGTCTTTGGGTCGCAAGTTATCCTTCATTGGAAAAGTATTGGAAGAAGATGGAGAATCATTCCACCGATTGGAAGTTTTATAAAAGAAAAAAGGAATGGCAGTCTGCCGACTCCAATCAAATTATTGGATATCGCAAGTCTTTGGAGAGACGAGGAATCATGGAAGCAGTGAATGCGATACGGGAATATCTAATGGAGTCACCAAGTCATGGAGATGAATCCCTTTTTGACAGTATCTTCCATCTTTTAGAGAGTAGACTTGATTCCAATGCTACTATGATCGATGCAAATGTATTGGCTTCCATGATAAGTTTGTTCGCGGAGAAGATTGCGAAACAGTTATCCGTCAACGATGAAAAAGATAGTGATAATAATGTTATTGTTGCTTCTGAGAGAAGATTAGCTTCGTTGAATCGTTTTCTTCTTATCAAGTGTAGAGATAAGGATCAAGTGAAACAAGTTTCTATGGTGTGTGTCGAACAGATGATACACCGTTTGGGCCATCGTTTCCTTTCATTGTTGCCTGAAACTTTACCTTTACTTGCAGAATGTTTGGAAGATGAAACACTCGAAGAAAAGACAATGCAAGTGGTTCAATATTTGGAAGATTTATCGGGAGAGCCTATTCGTAACTATCTTGTGAAATAAATTGTTCATGGCAGCTCAAACTTGCGTCGTAAGTAGTGTGATTGATATCGTAATATACTTTTTACTTTTGTCACTTTATAGCATAGACTTACACAGGAACTCAAAAGACTACAAAAGGACCCTCCACAATATATACATGTTGTTCCGTGTCCTAAAAACTTTCTAACTTGGTACTTTATTTTGGAGGGACCTCCCGATACCTGTTATGAAGGAGGTATTTATTTAGGAAAGTTGATTTTCCCAAAAGAGTTTCCTTACAAGCCACCTGGTAAGTTGTATACTAGTTTGAGATTTTACTGTTATTTACTTGAGTGAAAGCCATCTATTTATGTACACCCAACGGTCGTTTACAGACGGATACTCGTCTTTGCTTATCTATGAGTGACTTTCATCCTGAAACCTGGAATCCGTTATGGTCTACTGCTGCGGTACTGAATGGCCTGCTTTCTTTCATGGTGTCCGAAGAAACTTCTATGAATACGTTGAAAACAAGTGTACAGGAAAAACGGAGACTAGCTTTGTTATCTCACCGATTCAATGCACAGTCGAAAACGTTTTGTCAACTATTTTCCGAGTGGATAAGACAAGATTGGGATAGCTCAGCACTGTTATTGTTGGAGAAGCAACCGAGAACAAAGCCAAGAATAGAGAATCCTATTTCCAAACTTTTTTGGATAGTAGCCTTGTTGATGTTCATAGGTTTTGTGCTCGTTTATTTTAGTTAGTCATTGTCTCTAACTAAAATGGATTGGAGTTTACTTATGAAATCCTAATGTATTCCAAGTATTTTCCATATGTAAAGGCAGTGGAGCAGTTACTGTTTTCCAAGTCTTTTGTGGTTTATCCAAAGTTTCTATATTTGGAAAGGAAATGGAATAGGCATGGAGATGAATTCCTTTAGGTCGTCGTAGCAAATGAGACAAGCCTTGATATGCCACCAAATGCGTATTTTCTTCCAAACGATCGAAAGGAAACTTTTCATCTCCAAAAATAGGACAGTTGAGAACTTGTGCACAGTGCAGTCGCAACTGTCTCTTTCTACCTGTAATAGGCTCCAGTTCCAACCAGGCAGCAACGGAATGTAACTTTTCAACCACCCGATATCTGGTAATGGCTGTTTTTCCATCCACAGCCTTTCTAATTTCTCCTTGAGTGGGTAAAGGATTGCCTATGACCAATGCCCAGTACAACTTTTTTACTTGTCGTTGTTGAAATAGTAAAGCCAAGTTTTTGGCAGCAACGGAATTTCTGGCCAGTAGCAATGTTCCACTCACTTCTTTATCTAAACGATGTACCAACTTGGGAGGTTCTTCGTTATCCAAAGAAAGAGCAGGGAGTAGCGTTCCTAGATGAGAATCCCTCAAACCACTTCCTCCTTGACAAGCTAGAAGGGGAGGCTTATTGATAACCATCAAGTTGGTATCCTTGTAAAGCACCCAATTTTGCACTCTTTCCTTCACAAGTTGAGATAATACGGGTCTCTGCCTTTCTACTGTGCCATCGCCATCAGCTTCACGGAAGCTTTCCAGTTGTTTGGGAACACAAAGAATAGAAGACGAACGCACTCTCTCACCAGCTCTCGTTACAGTTTGACCATCTATCTTGATGAAACCTCTTCTAATACACTTTTCTAAAAAAGACTGTGGTAGTCTCCCACCCAACTGACGACGTAAGAAACGATCTAACCGAGTGTCGTGGTCTCCTTCTGTCACGGTGAGAATCAATTCATCCTTTTCTGTCTTATTGTCATAAAGGAACGTGGAAAAACGTCTTGTTACTAGTTTGGATGACTTTGTCGATGGATAACAAATCCAACGTAACCACAACATCATCTCTCTCCCAATGCATTTTCATCCGGTTATGATTGCCACATGGGATTTTGGTTTACAAGCTGTCGAAAACGCAAGTTCCATATTAGGTAAGCATGAGAATACAGGCAATGAAGCATTACTCGATGCCATCGTACGTGGAATTGAATCGGTGGAACTCGATCCGAAAGTTTCCAGTGTTGGTTATGGAGGATTGCCTACTGCAGAAGGAATACTACAACTCGATGCTGCTGTTATGCTCGGCAACGGGAAAGGAGGATCGGTGAGTTACAAGAGTATGGGTTGGTTGATGGATATGTACATATATGTAATATATTTTTAGGTGTTATCGTTACAAGGCTTCCCAGCTGCAATACCGATAGCTCGTCTGGTGTTGGAGAAAAGTCGACATCCTTGCCTTTGTGGTTATGGTGCCCAAAAATTAGCTGAACAATATGGTTTCCGGTCAGTTGATAATGCCAATTTGTTAACACCGTATGCTAGACAACGTTGGGAACAGTTTCAAAAGCAGAGTGATCAAGCGGTATGATTGGGTTGTTTCCGTTGTAACTTTTTTTTTGATGTGATAAAGAGCAACGATTTGTGCGATACTGTGGGATTGATTTGTTGTACATACGATGATGTTACAAAGGAATCAGTTATTGGCGCAGGTTGTGCAACGAGTGGTGCAGCTTTCAAACAAGTACGAACGCGCAGGTTTGATGATGATGTAGATATTTATAGTTGTTGGTAGGATGGTAGAGTGGGCGATTCCGCAATATTTGGTTGTGGATTATATGCTCAAAATGGTATTGGAGCAGCTACGAGTACTGGAGATGGAGATGTTATAATGAAGTAAGTCTGTTTTTGTTGTTTGTATGGAGGAATATTTTTCATTGGGTTGTGAAGATATTGTTGTGCCTACCAAATTGTGGAAGAAATGCGTCATGGATTGGGACCACAAAGAGCTTGTGAAGTAGTAGTTGCAAGGTTACGAAGCCAAGTTCCGGAATGTCAAGCTGCGTTTGTAGCTATGGTTGGTGAATGCTTTTCGTTGTGATAAACGATGGGAGATGACATGCCTTGTTTAGAATTGTGCTGGTGAATATGGGGCATATAGTACACATCAAGGCTTTTCATATGCCATCTGGAATGAACAAGGTAATATATATATATATGAGCATGTGTTGTATAGCTATTTCAACTTTTCTAGGAGTACAAGTCCATCAAGTAAACTTATCTGAAAGTAATTATCCTATTTGGAAACACTTATGTTGAGCATGAGTTGAAAGAGTTTATAAATATTTTGGTCGGTTCATTTGCCTCATCATAGCAACACGTTGAAACACATTTCCTTTTTTGTTCCAAAAGACTTGATACACGTAGGCCAATCCTGAACCAATCGTAGTCAAAGTAGTTAGCGCAATCACAGCCACGTAAATATGATCATAGGCCATGTCTATACAATCATCATCAACTCACTTATATCTGTAGCAAATACTTACCTGGATGCATTCCATGAAACAAACTATATCCAATCAGTACAAACTGTGCAGCTGTATTCCATTTACTGATAACCAAAGGTTGTATTTTCAACGGTTCAATACGAGATACCTTTCACCTTTGATAAAAAGAACATCCAACCATCAAAATTTTCTTGTCTTACGTGAAAGAAATCGGATAGGGAGTGATTTCCAAGTTGTTTCATCGTTTCCCAACGCTTGTAAGCAGAACCAAAGATGAGACAACCATCACGACCGAAAATAAGTAGAGCCAAAGTAAAAGGTATCAGTTGATTGGCAGATAGTGTAAACACTAGAGCGTTGATCAATAACTATGCACTTTTGATAAGTACGAAGGTTTTGGGTGACGTGGGATATAAAATACTTGCCTTATCAGCCAAAGGATCCAAATAAGAGCCAAGTACAGTAGATAAACGGTATTTTCTAGCAAGAAATCCATCCAACCAATCAGTCACACCAGCTGCTGCAAGACCCATCGAAGCTGCTTCGTATTGTTGACAATAAATCAACGACGCAATAACAGGAATAGAAGCTATCCTAGTGCCCGTAATACAGTTGGCAATATTCCAGTCAGAAACTTGTTTTTCTAATGTTTCCCGAATATGCCATTCCTTTCTATTGTGGTCAGATGTAACGATATTTCTGCGTTCCAAGGCGGATGGACGAAAACTACGCCAGTTGGAAGCAGCTTGTTTAGACCAACGATAAGTAGGTTCCTTTCGAAGCCACTGAGATAATAATAGACGTTTAGACTCTGTACCAAGCTCAAGTCTTCTAGAAAATAGGGCCACTTTGGAACTTACATATCTGAAACGAGCCGCAAGTAGCTGAAGTGAAGATTCCATCGGCACGACGACTTGAAATTTTTCATCCTCATATCGAATGACTGGCCAGTTGGACTGGACTTGGAGTGGCAAGTTGAATGTTCAAGGTTCTGCACTCTCTGAACAGCCACTACTTACTTTGGTTCGAATGACCCAAGTAACTATTTCCGTTTCTGTTTCTGATGGCTCTCGTTTTTGGTTTGGACAAGGTATGTTGTTGTTTTGTTGAAGTGTCTATCTTTCTATGTTTCTTTTATTGGTTGTTTTGAATGATAGGTGATGAAAGTACCGTGGGCACTTCTGTCAAAGTCTCGAAAAGTAGAATAGAAATACTTGCAGATGCGTTGAAACAACCATCGGACGATACGACAGTTGTTGTGTTGACAAGTGAAGATAATGGGCCACAAGACTCCATCTACTTGAAAGTTATGAGAGTTGTTTTATCTGACTTGCCACTACCTATCATTTCTTTGGAGTTGAAAAGTCAAGCAGCTGGCACGTTTCTAGAAAATATTTGGGATGTATTGACCATGTTACGTTGTAAGAATGAAGAGCTGGAAAGAGTTGTGAAACGTGAAGAAACAGTCAATCAAGAGTTGCAACGAGCACTTCATTTGACGAGAGAAGAAAAGAATAGAATGGAAGAAAAGATGTTGAAAAAGTTTATGCTCCTTTTGAATGAAAAGAAGCAAAAGATACAACAACTGCTGGAGCAACAAATCACACAGATCGAATGAGTTGAATTCTTCTATGGAAGAAGAAAATAATGATCCGGTTGGTTGGGAAGATATTCTCAAGGCACAAAGTAGACTTCATGGCGTAGCTCATAAAACACCTGTTTTTACTAGTACCTATTTGAATAATCTATCTGGTAGTCAACTCTATTTCAAGTGTGAGAATCTTCAAAGAATTGGCGCTTTCAAGTTTCGAGGTGCATACAACGCCTTGAGTGCCCTTCGCCTCTCAAAACCTCAAGTTACCGATGTAGTCACGCATAGTTCTGGAAATCACGCTCAGGCCCTTGCACTGGCTTCAAGTCTCTTAGGTTTGAAAGCGCATATTGTTATGCCTTCCAATGTTTCTTCAGTAAAGCGAAACGCAGTAGAAGGTTATGGTGGGAACGTCATCTTATGTGAACCCAACCTACCAGCGAGGGAATCAACTGCAGAGAAAGTGATTCAACAGACAAACGGAGAATATATACCACCCTATAATCACAGAGATATCATTGCAGGCCAAGGAACTGCTGCTGCAGAACTTTTAGAGGAGGTCCCTGATCTGGACGCAATCATTGCACCCATTGGTGGTGGTGGACTTATTTCTGGCACTTGTATTGCAGCAAAGCATTTATCTTCACATTGTATGATATTGGCAGCAGAACCTGCTGGTGCTGATGATGCCAAGCAGTCATTGGAAAGTGGTGTTCTTATTCCTCAAACGAGTCCTCATACTATTGCCGATGGACTGTTGACAAGTTTAGGTGACTTGACTTGGACTATTGTTCATCATCATGTGAAACAAGTAATCACTGTGAGCGATGAGGAAATCATAAATGCAATGAAGTTGATTTTCGAAAGAATGAAGTTGGTAGTGGAGCCTTCAGGAGCAGTATCTACAGCTGCTTGTTTAACCAAAGACTTTCAACGTTTAGGTTTGAACAAAGTTGGTGTGATTATTTCTGGTGGAAATTTAGATTTGAATAAACTTCCATGGCTCACTCGCCTTGGTTAAGTCTTATTTTATGGAATATACTTTTTGTTGTCATGAAAGCATATCCAAGAACTGTCTGTCTGTCACCCATTCTAGTGCCACTTATCTTGCTTCTTCCTTCTTTCAAGTCATTGATATGGACACTTGATTTTATTCCAAAATAGTTGTCACAACTTATGATTTGTATTTTGTTGTAATAAAAACTTTTCATTCATTTCATCCAAAAATACACGCCTTTTCAATGAAGCTGATAAACTCATAGCTGAGACGACCTTGTAAATACCAAACTACCTCCAAGTTGATCTATTTTCAACAACATTCTCTTTTATACTTACATCATCTTCTTCACTACACATAGGCAAATGTTTTCGCAACACAACATCAGCAAAATGTTCCAATACATTGCGAAAAGATATTTGATATCGTTGGGGAAAACTCCAAACATAGGGTTCCTTTTTTATTCCATTTTCATTGCACCACGTTACACCATTCGAAGGAAAATTTTCTACCGACAACATTCCTTTGTCACCAAAAACTTCCAAACGTTGATCATATCCATAACAAGCATTTCTTGCACTATCCAACATGGCAACTGCTCCATTTTTAAACTCCATCAATGCAGTTGCCGTATCGTAGATGCCTGAACCAGCTAATTCTGGTAAGCAACTTGTTGCAGTAGCATATACTGAAATGGGTTCCGAGTTCATTATCCACCTCACCAAATCAACATCTAACAGCAATATGAATATATAAACCATTCAAAGCCACAACAACAAAAACTACTCACCGTGTACAATCATATCTCGAAATATACAACTATTAGAATGGCGAAGAAACTATCGAAATAAGAATTCGGATAGACGGTGTCAAAACTTACTTGCAAAGGTGGCACAGGATGATCTCGACCTGAAACTCTGATGATTTGCAATTGCCCGATGAAGCCTTTGCGTACTTCTGATACAAGCTTCATAAAAGAAGGATCGAGTCGTCTATTCCAATCAATCAATAACGTGAGTCCCTTCTCCTTTGCTTTCTGGTGACACATCTATACATAGTCTAGTTGCTACTTATTCAAATGAAAAATGCATTCTTACCTGAATTTCTATAAAGTCTTCTCCCAAAGGCTTTTCACATAATACCGACTTTCCACTTTCCAACGCATCCAAAGTCAACGTCTTATGGGTATGCGTAGGTGAGGCGATGACGATAGCATCAACTTCTGTATTTGCTAATACTTGAGAGTGCCAATCTTCATAGAGTTTGGATCCCGTTTCTGCTACAAGTTTTGAAGCTTCTTTTCTCTTTTCTGGAATATCATAAACTCCCACTAATTTTACTTTCAAGCTTGTCGCAGCGTTGTAGATATGGATTTTACCCATTCTACCAGTTCCTACAACCACTAAACGCAAGGCTTTGTGCATATTCAACTTTGAACAATTCTCAATAGGAACAACGCTCTAACGTATCATTCTCAACCATCACTAACCCGCAATTGAAAGTCTTCGCTTTATATAGAAATGTGTTGTTCATTTACATATGTGCATTTAGGTTTCTATAAAAAGTTTATCTATTCTCTCATTGAACTAGACCAAATAGAATGAATAATATTATTATCATAACCCATCCATCAATTGTTTCAAGTCTCGCAAGTTTTCAAAAGGAATCACTTCAATCGTTTTCTTTCCGACAAAGTGTCCATAAGTGAACTTGCGACCTTATTTCTTGAGACTAGAGATATTAGTAACATGCAATTAGAAATCCATGGACTTACTCCAATATCACTTGGGAACATACAGTCACGACGTACGGTGATCCGATGTGTAGGTTTCAGTCCTATGTACTTGTGTCGTCAGTGGTAGTCGTCATAAAACTTTCCTATACAACCCACCATAAGATAACGCTAAATGAAAAAAGTTTAAATCCTTTTCTATGACATGTGGTCGATGATGACTAAAGCAAACCTAACGATTGTCTTCTTCATTCATATATACTTTAAAGCCCAATCATTCATACATACGTAGGCAATACCATCCGGTTTTAGCAATTGCTTACAAGACAAAAGCAACTTGTGGTGAGCATAGTGATTGCTTATCTTGAAACCAATACATATTAAGTGAAAACGTATGATGGCATCGACTTACGAGATCAGCCAAAAATATTTTGTCAAAACAACATTCTTCTCTTTGATATCTAACCAAAAACATGGAATCTCCCCACTGAAATGGTTCAACTTTAACATTCTTCTGAATCTCCTAACACACTTCTTTGAACAGAAATAGAGAAATACCAAGTCTGGGCACTACCATTGGAAGATATTCAGTAACATTGTATTTTATGTTTTCCACGAGTTCTTTATCGGGATAATCTGTTATCAATACATGACTTGCGCCACGTAACGCAGCCATCAACGAAGGCACGGCTGCTCCAGCACCTAAAAACAGTTTAACTTATAAACAAAAATGGAAGGACAATAGTTACCAAGTTCCAATACTCGGTTGTTGTGCACTTGGATATCTACGGAAGGAATGGGAGCTTCTCCTGTCCACAACTTTCACCTTTAGTCCACTCGAAGAAATAACAAATCATACCAGAGAGAATATCTGCCAACAAAACTGCACCATTCCACAGATACTGACCCCATCTGGAACAATAGTGGTTATAGACTGCCTTTCATAATAATAAAAGCACCCACAGTGGATGTTTTCCAACGAGTCTAATGTTCTCGAAAGAATAGCCTTGCTTCGGACTAGAATAGCTTGTATAAGCAAAGTCGGGAACTTGCTCTCGAAAATGTTCAGGTTCTCGAAAAACATTCTTCACTTTTAAGTACAAATATTCCTATTTTAGACCAAAACAAAGCTACCTCTAAAGAAGTATCTTGTAAAATATCGTCCATTTCGTCCATCACAATAGAAAAGAACTCATTCTTTCGAGAAAGCTATTCATGAGAAAAACGAGATCTTTAAGATACTTTAACTGATTTTCAAACTGCTTTTCATGTCTCTAATTGTATGAATGTATAAGTTGATAGGAACCCAATAAAAGTTTGATGGTTTCTTCTTTTCATGGAGAACAATAGTGAACGTTTAGAAATAGTTCAACGACTTGCAAACGAGCTGTATGAGCAGGGTCACTCTGAGGAAACTGTGGAACAACTTCACAGTTGTTTATGTGATAACCCTGCATACTTTTTGCACCGTTATGGCTTCTTTATCAGTGAAATGGAACGAGAATCTTTGTTTGGGAAGCTTGCAGAAAAAGAGTGGTTGGTAAAAACGGAATTATGGAGATTAAGGAAACAAAGGTTGGTTTGGTTTTGAGTTGTTAACGTTGTATTGAGTTTCTACTTCTAGAGGGGACTCGTGTTCTTCACAAGATAACGTTGTTCGAAATAGAAGGCTGGCAGCTATGGAAAGTCTCATATCAAGGGGTCAATATTTTTCGGATGAACAAATGGAGCTGAGAGACCCTTTGTTGTATTACAGATTATGGGGTAGATATGCAAGTTATCTCAATTCTGCAGAGTTGGAACAAATTCGTAACCATGATGCTGTTATTCACGCTTATCCCTCAAGAGCTTCAGAAGAAACTTTTGCAAGTAAGAAAAAATCACAAGTTGTTCATCATATTCCAGAAAAAGAACCTGTTCGGCCTTTGACCCATTATTTGTTGGAATATTTTGACGCAAAGAATATTGTTGAAAAAAGAATGCAGCAACGACGACAGGAGAAGAAAGACAGTTCAGTGTCTGGTGCAAAGAGAAGGATGTTGCACTCGAATACTTTTGGTCAAATGAAGGATGAAATGGAAAGAGAGTATATTGAGGAACAACTAATGGAACAAGCAAGTGATGAAGAGAATGAAAGTGATATTTCCAATTGGACGTTGGATGATTTTCAACAAAGCAGAGAAGAACTTTTGGTTATTATGAGACAACGGTTTCTAAATGGACATGATGCAACATTCTTTGATTACTCTTCTATAGACAACAATGAAGATTATGATGGGATGGAATGGATACAGAATGATATCGAAGAAAGATATTTTGATGGACAAGAACCGGAAAGAATATCCACAATGGACGAAGACAATCATTCTACAGAAGAATAAATTTTAAAACTTGAAAATATCTTCTCCTTTGTAGCCCAATTTGTTCAACAATATCATCATAGCTTTGGTCATTGCAGGTGGACCACAAACCAAAATCTGTAAAATTTTAGAATTGAGAATTTTATCCAATCATTATACTTACCCTAGTAGAAGGAGATGCATAACCTATGTGATGTTGTATATGCTTTTCATTGATAAGACCTATCCCTTGAGACCATGAATTAGGCGGCTATGAGCAAAAAAGAGTCTGAATAATCTATATCAACCACTCTATATGTATTGCTTACTTGATTCAACACAAAATAGAGCTTCAGTCGATTGGGGAATTGAGATGCAAAAGATTCCAATTTGTTTCTAAAGATAATATCTTGTTCCGTATGATTAGCATATATCAAACTTATTTGTGTTCGTTCCAATGGATCATTCAGTATCGTCTCTATCAACTGAGATAGTTACAAAATATGGGAAATATTGTTCACAACCCAATCTATTTTACAAACCTGATACATAGGAGTTATTCCAGTTCCTCCAGCTATCATTCCAAGACGTTTCTTCATATTTCTTTGATACTCGAATTTGCCTTTCGGACCACGGAATTCGACACAATCACCATCCTTTAATGAGTCTAAATATCTAGAAAAGAGACCGTACGGAGCTGGATAAATCTATAAGTTATCGTTCAACCCATCAATGAAATATATTGGAAAAAACTCTTTCACCTTGACCAAAATATCAAAACAACCACCCACTTGATTGGGTTTATTGATGGGATTATAAGGTCTTCTTACTTCCTTTCCGTTGATCCAAGCTCTGGCATATATGTGTTTGCCTAGAGGTACATTGACAAGTTGTTCTGGATGGGAGGCTGCAAAACGAACGAG